TGTTGAGTGAAGTGAGCAGAACCAGGAGAATGTTGTACACAGTACCAGCCACGTTGTGCAACGACTAACGTTGATAGTCTTAGCTCTTCTCAGCAATGCAAGGACCTAAGACATCTCCAAAGGTCTCATGATGGAAAATGCTCTCCGCATCCAGAGAAAGAACTATGGAGTTTGAATGCAGATTGAAGCATGCTATTGGCTATTTTTTTCTTCTGTTTTGTTTTGTTTCCTCTTTCTGATGGTTCCTCCTATTGCTTCTAATTCTTCCTTATAACATCGCTAATATATTTAATAGGAATGTATATGTATAGCCTATATCAGATTGCATGCTGTCTTGGGGAGGGGGGAGGGAGGAGAAAAATTTAAAACTCGAAAGCCTATGGAAGTGATTATTGATAAATCAAAATAAATTAATAAAAAAAATGTTTTTTTAATCTGCCTCCTCCTGTTTTAGGAGGTCCAGTGCCAAGCCGAGGAGGCCTGATCCCAATTTGTTATGCAATTGGCATGCACTGCTTAATAAACTGACATGTTTGGAAGCTCAAACCTTTGTTTCCTCAATTACTTCAGATTTCATCTGTCCCACGCTGTACAGTTTACATAGATCATTGCATTGTGAGCCCAAGGACCTCCACCCAAACCCTGGGTCCACTGCTTACCACCCCTATGTAGGCCACTTAACCTCTCTGAGCTTGGGCTTCTTCACAAGCCAAAACACAGGCCTGCATTGGATGGTCTCTCAAGCCCCATCTGAATTTAAATCCAAAGATCCTGTGTAGGGAGCTTGAATATCATTATGCTTGTTTTTCCACAGATGAGGAAACTGAGGCTTTTAAATAAGTCACTTGCCCAAAGTCCCCTTTCTAGTAAGTAAAAGGGCCTGTTCTAAACTTAGTTCTTATTTGGCACCAAATCTAGTGTTCTTTTCCATTACCCTTTGCTTCTTCAGTGCAAGACGGGAAGCCAGGCAGACTTCAGGAACCCTGGACACTCGCAAAATTTGTCCAGCAGGAGCTTGGGCAATGGTGCTTAAGAGCACAGATGCACAGGGGCCGGAATTTGAGCAGACACAAGTTTAGAAAGCACACGGATGTGGGAACAAGGGTAACAAACAGCTATTTGTCAAACAGAAAAGGTTGAACCTAGTTCCTGTTCCCTACCGCTCTTTGGTGTATTCCTGGCACTGGATATGTTTGTTAATAATACCTAAAAAAGCACTGTAGATGGCCTATTTTTATTTAATGTCTAATAAAAGGGAAAACTTTACATTGCACCTATCAACCAGATATTGCACAACAGATGGCGAGGCCAGTCACTTCCAAAGGCGACCAAAAGCCAAAGCTTTTGGAAATACCACCCTTCACTCAGCCCCTTTCTGTGGGTGAACTGAACAGTGGTGAAACACTCCATTAAGCTAACTTCTAAGACAGGAATGGAAAAGGAAGTAGTTTAGGGAAGTCATGAACTTGGCATTCTTGGGTACAAAAGTAGTGGGAAATTGTGAATTCCAGAATGGTCTACTTGCATTTCTAGCAGTTTGGAAGCTTCTTGCCTGTGACCTCAAAGGTCACCCAATCAGAGCCACCTGAGTGGAATCTTACCTCTCCCAACAAAACACCTGTGTGGCCTTGGAGACCGGAGTGAAGAGGAACCCAAAAGGCCCAGCAAGATTGCTACCAGCTAGGTTCTGGGAGCAGTCTCTCCCTAGAGCATCGTGGACCCGCTCTGCCATCGTGCCCGAGGCTCCCTGGATGCATCCCTTGCCTGCCCTTCCCCTCTGGACAGCTGGTCCTGGAACCCAGGTAGGAGACTGGTGAAGTGCACTGGTTTAGAGGTATCAGCCCTGGACTAGCTACCCTAACTTGGGAGGTGTCAGCTGTTACCCTAAGGGGGTGGCAAGGCTTGCAAACTGAACCCTAACTGCCCTTGCTGCCCTCACCTCCATCTCTGTGCTCTTGCAGGTGTCCCCCAGCTGGTAAGAGGGCCATGGACTGGTTCTTCTGGTAAGTATTTTGAAGTTCTAGCCACGGACACGACAGTGACCTGGAGCAACTCATTGCCCCTTTCATAAAATGAGGGCTTGAGCAAGATGACCCCTCTGGTCCTTTCCAGTTCTGTGGTTCTGATATCTAATGAGTTAACACTGAATGGAGATGCTGGGATCACAACACAGTAACCTTCCTCCAGGTAAGCTTTTTCTAAGTGAAGTAAGGCTTGAGGGTGGCCTGGGTAGGGAACAGTGACCTGGGGCTGCCTGGTCTGATGGCTGCCCCTTTCTCTGGCTTGGGTCTCTTGCCCAATTCTACTTCCCATTCCTTTCCAGGACCTTTACTATAGATGTCTCATGAGCCCACATCCCAAGATGGGTTGTGTCTTGTTTTTCTTCATCGAGTAAGTGGGCGTCATTTGATTTTCCTGGCTCTAAGGTGAAGGGTTTGGTTGAGCTGTGGCATCCCCTTTGGCCCTGACACCTCTGATCCTTAAGGCTTGTCCTGTCTGTACCACCTTTAGGATCTCCCTCTTCCTCTCCCTTTAAAACGGCAGGACCTAACGCTCAACCGGGACCTGGAGAGTTTGAGGTAGAATCTCCCTTCCTGAAGAAGTTACTTTCACTTTCCTGTCCATTGTCCTGGCTCACCTTCCCTCTGGTTGTCAAGGCAATCCCACTGGCCTTGCCAGCAGGTTGAGGGAACTTCAATTAGACAAAGATTAAGTGTCTACTAAGAACAAGGCCCTGTGCTGTGTGGGGAATGCCGAGATGTTAAAGGGCAGTTTTGGAATTTAACAGGTGGCATAGGAATGTACTCAAATATGATGTGACCTAAATGTGTTTGGGGCAAAAGGAAACCTTTAGAAAAGAGGCCAGGAGGGAGAGAACAATTTGAGCTGGAAGCTGAGGGGAGGCTCAGAGAGCCTTCACCGGGCCTTGAAGATGGAGGGCTCCACGTAAGTGCAAGCTCCAGATCCATGGGAGTACCTTGGGGCATGCGGGAAGGGGTGGGAATGGTCCCAGGAAAACACAAAAGCAGTGATGATGGGGGGCTGCAGCCTAAGGCAGGTTAGAATAAGCTGGAGGAGCCCTGACTGCCAAGATAAGGAGTTGATACGTGAGGCATGGGGAACCCACAAGTTTCTGAACGGTAAAGCCATCAAAGCAATGTACCAGCTAGACTCCACCGGCAGTACTGTGCATTTGAGAGGAATCCCGGCAGGCAGGAAGCCCAGTTTGGCTTATGCTGTTCCCTGGAGGCCACCAACTCCATTCTTACCAATCCTGGCCTTGAAGTCTGTCAAGGCCATCACAACCTGCCTGGCCCAGAAAAGCAACACAAACAGAAGGCGGCTGGGTAGTCCCCGGGCCCCAGCTCCGGAATAAGAAGCCCCTTGAATCTCAGAGGAGTGGAAAGGGGAAGCTTCCTAGCATTGAGCCTGAGGGGATGATCAGGCAGTGGACTGTTATTAAGAACGGAGGGGGGAACACAGCAGAACTGGCCACCAGACCCAACACCCAGTGATGGCTCCTCTTCTTTCCCAATCCAGGCAGGAATCCCCCCAGCTTTATTTGCTCCCTTTGTGTTTTGTCTTTCACATGCATCCATCCCAATGGTCTAGTTCTTGTAATCTTGCTAATTCTAGGCACTTTGTTCACTCACATCAGCATTTTTCTTGAATTACGAGCTATTAATAATCAGCCCTTGTCCAGATGCAATTTAACAAGCATTTGCTTAGCACCCATTACGTGCTGGGCTAAGGTAGGACCTGGGATATGAAGATGAGGAAAAAACTCAACAATGCCTGCCCTCAAGTTCATAATCTCCAAGGAACAGGACTGCAACATTCTTTTTAACTCCTGTGGCTCTTGTGAGGTAGGTATTAGCACCCAGTAAACATGGGGAGTGGGTGACTTGTCCAAGAGCACAAGGCTTATCACTGGTGGGGCAGAGACTTGAACCTAGGTTCTCTGCCCCCCTGATTCCAACTTCCCGGCTCTTTTGAGAAGAAAAGTTAGTCAGTCAATTGGGGATTTAATATATTAAGATGAATATGGAGCACTTCCCTGGCCGGGCACCCTCTTATGATCATGTCCAGCTTGGTGCTTGGCTGTGCTCTCCCTCCCACAGGGCAGAAGGGGTGAAATTAGCAGAATGTCTGGTTAGGTCCTGGCTCCATCATGGCGGACAACTTACCCTCAGCCTCTTTCTTCACCTGTAGAACGGGAAGGCCCGTCTTCATATAATCATTGTCGGGGGAATGGGGAGGTCAGGACCTGTAATGTCATCCATACCTCCCCCTAACCCCACCCCCACCCCAGAATTCAGAGCCTTACGGCAGCCACGGGTACTAAGAGCTGCTGAGCCCAGGGCCCTATGCCACTGGGCCAGCTTGGAGGACCCGCTGTCGCCCAGCAGCAGACATCCCTGTCATTGATCGGTTCATCTCAGATGTTCAGCTGTCTCTCTGAGGGGACATCCTCTGACTACAGAAATGCCAGCTCAGTATCTTCCTTTCCATGTCAGTGGGACAGAGAGGTGACCCCGAGGCTTTCAAGCACTCTGTCGGGGGGAGCAGGCCCTGGGAGGTCCTACCAAGCTGCAAAAGATTGTGAATGGTGCCTGGGGACAATCACTCGTCTGAAAACCAGCTGACCTAAGGGCAGACCAGACCATCTTCAAAAGGGTGGCCATCAGGCAAAGGATTTTTCTGCCCACAAAGATTCATATAAGCATCTACTAAAGCACAGAAGGGTAGTGACCTGTAGTCATGAAGAGAGCAACCATACTGATGAAATCACAGATTTTTGGAAGTAGAATTATTCTAACAGCTTGGAAGTAGGAAACGAGATTTCTACTTAAACTAAGCCTTGAGATGGGCAAGAAAATGCCCGTGGGCTCTGGGCTCCCCGTGGGCCGACCTGATGAGCTCTTGGGTTGTATTCTGGAGTCTAGAGAGGGCTGGGCCATGCGGATAAAAAGACAGACCACCACTGAGGCCATGCAAGCTGAGATACAAGGAGCCCTTTTATGAGAAGCGGTGTGAGTGAGGGCCCTACTTTGGGACATGGGGCCTGCCACAGCCCGGCTTGGTGGCGGGAAGCAGCAGGTAAGGATTTCCCTGAGCACTGCAGCCGTGACCAGGGTCTAATGTTTGTCCTTGTAGGGCTGCCCTTGGGCCAGGTCAGGATAAAGCTCAGCTTGGTTTCTCAAAGAGGTACTCGAGATCTGGGGCCCGCAACCTCCGCTCCTTATTCTTGTTCTTGGCAAAGTCTCTCAGCATCGCCATGACATCGTTTTCAAAGATCTCGGGGGCTGGCTTTGCTTCTGCAGAACAAGAGAAGATGAAGGGGATAAGAGACAGAGCTCAGGCCTGAGTTCTCAGCCCTAGGGCTCAGGGTGCGCTGCCTCTGCAATGACCAGGCCCAGACCTACCCTAGCCCAGCTGAGTCCGGGACTGCCCTCAACCTCTCTTTGTCCCAGGGACACATTCCCTGCTTGTTTCCAGAGTGTGTAAAATTCCCCCGACTGTGCCTTTTCTTCAGGCAGGGACTTTCATACGGAGGCAGCTATGGGCGGAGGAAAGTGAGAAGCACCAAAGTGCAGTGTTGGGCCTGCCTGGAGTCAGGAAGACCCGAGTTCAGATCAGCTTCTTCCTAGTTGTGTGACCCTGGGCAAGCCACTTTACCTGTCTGCCTCAGTTTCCTTAACTATAAAAAAGGGGTACCAACAGCACCTACCTCACAGGTCTGTTGTGAGGGTCAAATGAGATGATACGTAAAGTGCCCGGCATTGCACTCGCTATTACTAGTAGTTGTGGTTTTCAGTGTTATCATATGGTGCCCTGCCCACAGATGGCACCGAGAGGATTAGAATCGCTCCTGTGTCATGTTCTCCTTGATCCTATTTACAAGTAACTACTTATAACTGCCTAAGTCACGATTCTTTGTCTCTGCACTTAGCTGGCCTGTAATGGGCTACGTCAAAAACTCCAGCTCCCCTGCTCAAGGCATGTTGCTGACCCTGGGGAATGTGTGAGGAAGCCAGGGAGTCTGGGCCTGATAGCTTCAGCCCACCAAGCTACCCTCCAAGGGTGTCTGGGCCGCTGTCTCACACCTGTACTCAGACAAAGAACGCTTCTTAATCTCATGAGAGACGAAGGGGGGGCACTGCTAACCCCCATTACCAAACTTCCAACCAATTGGTGCCTCAGCTCTGTAACCAGTCAGGTTGCCCTCACTGCCATGATGTCCTCTACCCTGCTAGGAAAGGGGAACTGTCCTTTTACTCGGGGTCTCTGGCATTAATGGGGGAAAGCCACTGACCCATTTACTGACAGGTAGCACATCCCAGCTAATAAATATTATCTTGGTCAGAGATCCACCTCAATTTGCCCTGTTGTTGAAATCTCAATCACAATAGGACTGATGTCTGATTTGATTAGAAAAACAAATCACATGGGTAATTTGGGAAACCAGTGCCAAGTGCTTTCTTATTCTAAGAAGCCCTTTCTGAGGGCAGCAGTCTTTTTTTTTTTTTTTTGGTTAGGCAATGAGGTTAAGTGACTTGCCCAGGGTCACACAGCTAGTAAGTATTGAGTGTCTGAGGCTGGACTTGAACTCAGCTCTTCCTGACTCCAGAGTTGGTGCTCTATCCACTGAGAGAACAGCAATCTTGTTGCTTTTACTCCCCCTGTTGGATATATAAGTTACTTGAAGGCGGGGACTTTCTTGCTTTTTAAATGTGCCCCCATGTGGAAAAACTGGGACACTAATGCACTATTGGTAGGGTTGGGAACTGATCAAACCATTCTGGAGAGCAATTTGGAACTGTGCAGAAAGGGCTATAAAACTGCACATGCCCTCTGACCCAGCAATTACTAGGTCTGTATCCCAAAGAGATTAAAAAAAAAAAGGGAAAAGGACCCCATGTACAAAAATACTTATAGCAGCTCTTTCTGTGGTGGCCAAGAACTGCAAATTGAGAGGATGCCCATCAACCGGGGAACGGCTGAACGAGTCGTGGTATATGAATGTAATGGAATATTACTGTGCTATAAGAAACGAGGAGCAGGTAGACTTCAGAAAAACCTGGAAAGACTTGTATGGACTGATGCAGAGTCCAGGGAGCAAACCAGGAGAACTCTGTACACAGTAACAGCAATATTGTATGATGAACAACTGTGAACGACTTAGCTCTTCTCAGCAATACAATGATCCAAGACAACTGCAAAGGACTCATGATAAAAAATGCTTTCAGTCTCCAAAGAAAGAACTGATGGAGTCTGAATACAGATTGAAGCATACCATTTTTCATTTTCTGTATTTTGTGTGTGTGTGTGTGTGTGTGTGTGTGTGTGTGTGTGTGTGTGATTCTTCCTTTGGGTCTGTGTCTTCTTTCACAACATGACTAATACAGTAATATGTTTTGCATGATTGAATATGTATAACCTATAACAAATTACTTACTATCTTAGGGAGGTGAGAGGTGAGGGAAGGAGAGAGAAAATTTGGAGGTCAAAATTTCTAAAAAGGAATGTTAAAAACTGTCTTTACATGTAACTGGGGAAAAACACATTATTTTTTAAAACCTGTATCCCCAGGACTCAGAACAGGGTCTTGCCCACAGTACCATTTAACAAACGCCTTTTCATTCTTTTGTTGTCAACAGAACAGTGGTGACATTCTTGCCAGCACGCTCTTAGGCAGCACTGACCGCAGTGTCTGACGCTGGTGTGGCTTAGTGGACTGACCCTGGGCTCGCAAGTGAGAACTGGACTCCCGTTAAAGCTGACACGCTTATGAGTGGGGTACCCTTGGGCAAGCCCACTATTCCAGAACCTCAACTCCCTCATCTGTAAAATGGGGGTAACATCCACACTCACAGTGAAGGGGGCTACAGGAATGGAACCCAAAGCCTGGCTAAGGAGAGAGACGGGTGAGCTCTCCTGCATTCCACCCTCTTCCTCAGCCAGCACATCCTGGGTCACTGTCATCCACGCCTTTCCAGAAACACTCCAGAGGATCACGGTAGGGTGCTGTAGGCCTCTGAGTGGACATAGCACAGTCTGATCCCCTCACTTTACATCTAAGGACACTGAGGACCACAGAGGCTAAGTGATCTGAGTTACCCAATCAGGATGAAGCAGGAGAACCTGAATTTGAACCCTGTTATTCTGACTCCCAATCCAGCTCTTCCCTGGATACCAGCAGCACCCAAAACAGCAGGAGCTATTACAGGAGGCTTTCCAGGTCCTCTAAGTAACAAAGTGCATTTTTTTAAGCTTCGTGACAGATTAAATAGAACTTGTCTGAATGATGGGACAAGGCTCAAGCATAAAATGAGATGCATTTTAAAAATGTTCTTTTATGCCTGAAAAACAAATTTTATGCCTTGGTGGACTGTCCCACAGGCTAGCTAAAGAGCACCAGGCTCAGCTCACAGGGAACTGGTGATCACAATGGCTGGAGAACCGGATGAGCCGAGTTAGCAGCCTGGCTTGCCTCCTGCTCATGTGACCTTCATCGGGTCACTGAAATCCCAAGGAGGGTTGGCCCCTCCAGTTCTCACCTGTATGATGACACCATCTATGTCTTCGGTGCACACGTATGTAACGCGGTAGGGGCAGATCAAAGCCCGGGGCTACTGTGTCTGTTCTGGGAGCTGAGATCAAAGAGGCAGCTTGTTACCGTAGACAGGGCCAGAAAATATGGGTTCAAATCCTGGCTGTGCTTGTTAAAGTCAACCTGATTAGACAAGTCACTTCCTCTTTAAGACTGGTTCCCCTGCTGTGAAACAAGGAAGCTGGGCCAGACAACCTCTTAAATTCATTAACTATAAAGGCATGTGGGCCCAGTCTCTGGTCAAGGACCAAAGAGAACACAGCCTTCAAGACAATGGCTCCTGGTGTCAGCTAGCTCCCAAGGACCCCCATTTTGCTGTGCTCCTGGGTTTCACCAAGGGAATGTAGCTTTCAAAGCAGAAGGGCCCTTGGGCCATTTGTCAGAGGAGGCCAGTTCAGTGACACATCTTGTGTCAAAGCCAAACTGGAACCCAGGTCCCTGACTCAGGCCTAGAACCCCAGGCCACGGTGGCCAGCTGGCGGTACCTGTCGCCCAGTAGTAGATATCCCAATCATTGCTGGGCTCATTGATCAGTCGATCATAGAGGTTCAGCTGCCTCTCCGTCATTTGGTGTAGATTCTCCTTGGCAAAGAGGCTAAAAGAGGAGAAGAAAGAAAGGGATTCAGGGGGCTGTTTGTGGCTGCCGGGCTGAGTGGGCTCAGCCATCCAGGGCTTCCACTTCCCCACCTGAGCAGGATACAGTTCTCTAGCATGCCTCGCTTCCTGCTCTCGTAGAGCAGGCGAGCCCTCTTGGTTTCAATCGGCTCATCTGTTCGCTCCTCCCAGGGGGGTAAGGGGATTTCAAGCATATCCTTTTGAGAGTCTGCTGGGCTCTCCCCTCGGAAGAATCGTCTGGACGATGAACCACCCACAAAGGGAGACATGAGAGTGTGCCTGGACAAGCAAGAGGCTGAAGGAAAAAAACAAAACAAAAACAAAAGCCAGATTGAATCAAGCTGCATGCAATTCAATTCAATAAACATTTATTAAATCCCTACTATGTGCCAGGGACTGTACACTGAAAAGAATGTGCAAATTCATAAAACGCTGAATTTAGATGTGACACAGCTGACCACAGGCAGGATGGACTGGAAGGTGAGTAACTGGAGGCAGAGAGAATAGCTAGCTGCTAAGCCAGGTAAGAAATGTGCTAATTAAATTCAACAAACACACAGCTGCTAGGGTCAAGGAACAGTGCTAAGCACTAAGGATACAAAGGCAAAGCTGGAACGGTCCCTGACCAGGATCGACATCCATTCTACAAGAGGATACAACAGGGTAAACAGAAAAACCTAACAAAAGAGATGTGAGGAAGAAGGGAACAGTAACAGCTGGGGTGAGGTGGGAGGGGGATCTGAGTTGAACATTAAAGGAAGAAGAGGACTCTATGAAAGGCCAGGATGAAGAGGGAAAGCACTCCAGGCATGGGGATGGTTTGTATATGAATGAATGCATGGCCATGTGAGATAGAACAGCCAATTGAGGGAATAGCTGGTAGTCCAGTTTGGCTGGAATAAAGAGTGTGTTAGGGGACAATGCTGAAGCTAGAAAGGTCCTTTTTTGGTTCTTCGTATATGGAAATATTAATGTTTGTCAAGTCACCATAATAAAGAGAATTTACAGGATCTGAAAAATAAATCTGGAAAGAACGGTTAGCGCCAGATTATGGAACGTTTTCATTGCCAGGCAGAAGAATTTGAATTTTCTCCTAGAGGTAAGAGGGGTTCGGCTGCTAAGGTTTCAGAGCTGAGGAGTAACATGGCCATGACTCACGGAGGATGGATCTACACGGCGAATGAATGGAGAGAAGACTGGAGATGGGAAAATCACCTGGGAAGTGATAAAAGTTGTTCAGGGAGCAGCAATAAGGGCCTGAAAGAGGAAAACACCCACGGGAAGGGAGAAACAAGAATAGATGTGAAATACCGCGAAGAGAGAATTGACAGGACTGGGGAAATGATCAGATAAAGAGGCTGAAGAAGAGTCAAGGTTATGGATCTAAGTAAACTTAGTATGGAAGATTTTGGCGTTTGGAAGCAGATGAGAAAAGTGCAGTTTAGTGGAAGAGAACCTGGGTTTGACACTCCGATTGGATATTTACTATCTCCGGCCCTGAGTTTCCCGTGTATCAAAGGAGGCTGGACTAGTAGATAATCTCTAAGGGTTCTTTCTAGGTCTAAATTCTGATTGCCCACCATTCCTACTAGCTGTACCTCCCTCTATCTCCTTTTCTCTCTCCTTAGTAGAATTTGGTTTGGGAGCAGCAGGCTTAAGGTCTAGCTCTGCCCTTATCTCACTCAGGCAAGCTATTTAACTTCTCAGGACTAAAGCTGATCAGTGGCCTAAGGAGAGGAACAAGACAGCCCAAGCTATCTATCTATCTGTAATATCTATATCTAATCCAAGCTATATGGAAAACTGCTCTAAATCACCAATGATTAGATGCGCAAATTAAAGCAACTGAGGCTGTACCTCAGACTCATCAAATTGACAAAGGTGACAAAAAAGGGGAATGACAAATGCTGAAGGGGCTGTGAGAAAGGCAGGTCCGTACGTGTGGCGTTGGGGAAGCTGGAACCAGAGCCTTTGACTGCACAATACTATTCTTGGGCAGCGCTCCAAAGACGAAAGACAAATGGACATACATAGACAAAAATGTCTGCCGGTGCTAGAAGGTACCCATCAACCGGGGCACTGGAGAACAAACCACGGTGCATGAACGGAATGGAATACGATTGTGCCACATCGACACACCTCTTTCGAGGCACGACCAAACAATAAGCTAAGGGCTTCACAGACATCCGATTTGATCCTTACAACTACCTGGGAGGCAGGTGCTATTATTATCCCCATTTTACAGATGAAGAAACTGAGGCAAGCAGAGGCTAAGTGACTTGTCCAGAGTCATACTGCTTGTAAGTCTCTGAGGCTGAATTTTGAACTCAGGTCTTCCTGACTCCAGGACTAGTCTTGAATCCACCCACCAGAAGAACAACTTGTACAATAAACACGAGGGCCTGAGGACTGAGGGAAAAGAACACCACCTCCTGATAGAGAGGGGGGACTAAAGATGCAGAAAGAGACATTTTTGGACTTGGCCAAAGTGGCAATTTGACCATGCACAGAGAGTGAACAAACAAATGCTTAAGTGAAGAACAAACAAACCTAAAAACCTTCTCCAGGCATTGGTTTCCTCACCTGTATTATGTATGAAAGGGCTGGGCTAAAATGGTCTCTAAATTCCCTTCCAGCTTAAAACTCCTATGAATGACCAAGATTTGGAAACTGAGTACCAAAGGTGAAGTGATGTGCCAGGGAGGAAATTAAAATCGTAGCTTCCAGAATAATTGGGTCCCACAGGAAACAGGTCCTGGCCTTAGGTATGTAGGCACATGCCAGAAAAAGACCTAGCTCCCTGCCGGGTCCTGGACTGTACAACCTCGGCCCACCTTTACATAACAATTCAAATGCTCAAAGCCTTGGGAGGGTCACTTCCTCTCCCAGCCTTCGCAGGGGCTAGGCCTCCTTTCTCTTGGGGCATTCTCTTTCAGTGACTTCAAATGGACCACCACAACACGAAAGAATTTGAAGAGCAACGGATAGTATTACAGTTGAGGGCTCTCACGAATAGCTCATGTTATTTATTCCATGATCTTGGCTGAGAAGCAAAGCAAGAAATAGGAGCTATCCAAGTACTTCCCCTTTAGCCTCTAGGTCAGGGTGAGGAACCTTCCGCCTCCAGGCCACACGTGGCCTGCTCTGGGTCCTGATCCCTAGGGTAGATCTTTCTGAAGAGTCTTCCCTCCACTTCCAGATTAAACCTCTTTTTAAAAAAACAAAAACAAAAACACGAGGAACCACGCACGTTTCTTGTTTGAGCTTTGAGCCGCTTCTAGGTTTCTGGCTGAAAGTACCAACATCCTCTTGACTCCAGTACCTTCCTTACCAAAGCAGTGATTATGTTCCATCCACCGACCTAAGCCAGCCACTTTCCTCCTCCTCCTCCGGTCTCCAGATAGCTGTTATAGCTGTTTCTGAAAAAGGCATTCCAGACTCCTCTTCCTTCCCCTTTCCACCCAACCACCCGGCATCCCCTTCCTGCACCCCTCTGACTTCTTATTAAAACTATTCAGACTTCACACAATCAAAGGATTCTGAGTTTTAAGTCCCTAATTCGACAGTGGCAGAAAGTTGGCGGCCCAGAAATTCCATTAGAATAGGCTCCACCATTTGCATGTTAAAGGCAAACTCCACAGCTTCCATTCAATCCAACGGCTATCTGCATCTCAAAAGAGTCATCCCGGCTGGGGGTCAAGCTGCAATTCGCCACCACTGGGGGGGGGGGCAGGGATTATTTAAGGGACTCTACCAGAGGCGGTTCAAACAGAGGTTCTAAAGCGCCGAGGTAGGAGTGTGGTCAGTAAGATCCAGGCACCGGGGCCTTGATCTTAAAGTTTTGTTGTTCATCACACACTATCTTGTGTTTTCATCTTTGTCCTTGTGGTCGTCACGTCTGACTCCGTGACCCCATCAGGGGTTTTCTTGGCAGGGGCACTGGAGTGGTTTGCCATTTCCTTCTACAGCTAACTTGACAGATGAGGCAACTGAGGCATACAGAGTTAAGTGGCTTGCCCAGGCTCACACAGTAAGCGCCTGGGGCTGGATTTGAACTCAGGCAAGCAAATCTTCTGGATTCCAAGCCCAGCCCACCTAGCAAGACCTTATTTACGTCCCTGGACAGCCTACTGAAGGCCACTTAGGCTTCATCTTCCACAGCACCGAGCCAGCACAGTGGTCCAGTCCTTGCTCAATTCATTCATTTATTAACATTTTATTAAGCAGCTAAAAGCCATAAAGTAGGATAGTGCCAGGCCCCTCATTTCTAATGGAGCTTCCCTTCTGGGAAAAGGCTCGATTGGGGAACCCTGCCTTCTTCCACGCATTCATCAGGCGCAAAGTCCGTGCTGGGCACTGGGCCCCCCTCCAGGAGCTCCAGGACCCCGTACGAGCCGGGCCGGGCCGGACACCGGGCAGGGGCGTCAGTGACCCGTCAGTGACCCTGGAAGGAGGGGGGTGGGGGACTCGGCTTCCAGGCCAAGCCCGGACCGCCCCCCTTTACAAAAGCGGGGACCACGGGGCCTTCCCCAGGGACGAGCGCAGCCGGTGCTTCGTGGGACCTGGGCAGAGGCCGCGGGAAGGACGGCTGGGGGAGGGGCGCCTGGCCCCCGCGCCCATGTGACACAGAAGCAAACTGAGGCCCAGCCGGCAGGCGCTGCCCCCGGCGCTCTCCCAACGTTCACGCACGTCACCTCCCCCATCCTCGCAACCGCCCCGGGAGGGAGAGGCCGGCGCATCCCCACCGGACCGAAGACGAAGCCGACGTAGCGCCTGGTGCCCGGGGCAGGATCGGACCTTCCGGAGCCGGAATCGGGCCGGGGGCGTCTTACAAATGGGGAAGCCGAGGCCCGGCCCTCATTCCGGGCAGGGCCGGCCGGCCGGCCTTCCCTCCGGAGCTCCGCGGCCTCCCCCCGCCCGGCCTCGGCCCGCTCTCCTCACCCGAAGCGCGGACGCAGCCGCCCCCGCCGCCGCCGCCGCCGCCGCCTCTGCCATTTCCGCTCAGGCCCGGCCGGAAGCGCGTCCGCCCGCCACATCCGGGGACCTCGCGCCGGCCCCGACTCGCTCGCGGGGCCTCGGAGGGGAGGTGGGAGAGGCGGGGCTGGGCGCGCGTGCGTGCTGCGTGTGTGCGTGGGGCGGCGGCGCGCGTGACGCCAGCGCGTGGCGCGGGGAGGGGGGACCGCGGCGGCGGCGGCGGCGGCGGCGGGAGCGGGGGGCGGGGCCTGCGGCCGGGCAGAGGTTCGCGCGCTTCAGGCCTAGTCCGGACTCGCCGCCGCCATATTCCCGGTAACGGGGGCGCGCGGCGGGGGGCTGCGGGGGCCGGGGCGCGGAGGCGGGGGCGCGGCGGCGGCGGCGGAGCGAGGGCGAGCGGGGCGGGCGGGGCTCGGAGGGCGGGCGGCGGGGCCGGGCCTAGGCCCAGGCTGGGACGGAGCCCGCGCTGAGGCGGCGGCGGAGGCGGCGCTGGGGCCCGGTCAGTCCGGGGCGGCGCGCGGCGCGCGGCGCGGGGAGGCCCGCGAGCGCCGAGAGACCAGGCGGGGAGGCCGCTTGACGGCTCGGGCGACGGGCGGGCCTGGCCCCCGAGGAATGGGGGAAGGGCGGGGAGAAATCAGGCTGCGTGGAGGGATTCTCCCTTCTCCCCGGGAAAGCGGGCGGCGGGCGGGACAAGGTCCGGAGAGATGGGGGGGGCGGAGAGAAGGCAGGCTGCGTGGAAATCAGGGGGCCGCTGCCCCCCGCGGAGGCTCGGGGGGGCGGGGAGGAGAGAGCGGGGCTGCGTGCAGAGGCGGAGCCGGCCCCCTCCCCCCCCCCGGCCGCGGCGGGCAGGGGTGTCCGAGGACGGGGCGCGCCCCCTCCCCGCCCTCCCCGGCCTGACTCGCCCCTTTCTCCGGACCGCAGCGGCAGCACTGCCAGCTTTCTTCCTCGCGGCGCCCCCGGGGTCCCGGAGCCATGTCGGAGGGAGTGGACCTGATCGATATATACGCGGACGAGGAGTTCAACCAGGTGAGGCGTCGGGAGCGTCCAGCCGCGATCCCCCCCCCCCCGACCCCCAGCCTGGTGTGAGGGAGGGGCTGGGGAGGGACTTCGTGGCCGGCCTGGAGATGCCCCGGAGCCGCCCGGGGGGGGGGGCCTCGCTGTACCCCTCGGTGCTTTGCAGTGAACTTGAGCCCCCTTTGCTGGCCACGGTTAACTGAGGCTGGGGGAGGAGGGGGCGGGGACCCAGGCGGTCACACCTAACTGGGGCTCCGGACTGGGGGGGGGCTCCCGAAGAAGATCGTGCTGGGAGAGTGCGTGCCAGACTCAGCCGCGGTGCCGTGTTCCGTGCCCCTGTTTCAAAGAACGGTATCGAAAACGTTGGGAGGGTTTAATTTTTTTCGGAAAGAATCTTCTTTGTGATGTAGCTGTGAACTTTAATCGCCTGTCTCAAAATCCATGAACGTGGCCCCAGCTAAAATTTTATTTCGTTGTGTCCCGGCCGAATCCATCAGGAACAATTCTGCTTTGGCCAGTGCTGGACCTGGTACCGGGAAGACTTGGCTTCGCATCACACCTCCATGTTGTATGGTCAAGGCTAGATCCCCTAAACTCTCTGAACCTCTGTTAACTCGTCTGGAAAATGGTAATAATGGTAATGCTCTCCTTTGCAGAGAGCTTCCCAGGTTCCTGGAAGTATCCGCTTCATAGGGTTGTCTTGGGGCTCAGATGAGAAGTCCTGTCACACTTTGCAGAACTTTGAAGTGCCACGCAATATGATTTTGTTATGCCTTGAAATTTCAGCTGTGGAAGTTACTCTTTCCATTGTTATCTTCCAGACTAACCTGGTCTAGGGACCAGAGAGAAAGGTGGAATCTGCCCTAGGAAGGGGCAGAGAAGGGCAGGGGCAGTTTCCTTCGAGGTAATTGTGAAGAATGGCAAGGATATCTTGCCAACCAGACCCTGTGGGAAAATGCCTCTAAATTACGGATACTCTGTTTTGAACTTGTGCTTAGTAAAATGACCATTCCCCTCCCAGGTTAGTAGCCTACACAGGCAAAGACGGCAATAATGATTTTTTCCTTTTTTCAAAAATGCCCAGTAGTAGAAAAATGAGGAAAGTAGGGTTATGTGGAAGGGAATTTATAGATTATGCAGTCTAACCCTGATTTTACAGATGAGGAAACTGTGACCTAGAGAAAGGGAAGTGGCCACCCGTGGTCATACAGGTAGTAAGGATCCACTTAGGTGTCATTCACGTCTACCGTGTAGTGGCCGAGAGCTACTACTTTCCTTTTATGGCATTTAGTCATGGCTATTAATACAAAATAAGACACAGTAATTTCGGGCCAGAGCTGAGAAGAAGCTCAGAACTTAGCCAGTTTTTGCATTATCCAGGGAGGAAACTGAGGCTCAGATGAATGAACTTAAGGTCATATAACAAGTCAGTGGCAGGGCTGAGGCTTGAATAACTCGAGACAGGCCATTTCCTGATGCTGCTCTTTTCCTTATCTTTTAAAAGCCTGATTCATAGTCAGACTGTCTCAAAAAGATGGCAGGAAAGGAAGAATTGGAACATTCTTCCATTTCTCCTGTCAGGTGGGCACCAAATGCTCTTTGTCTAGAAAGTTTAAAGGACTATTCCTTGTTCATGGAACTGTAGATTTGGAGCTGAAAGGGTTCCTGGGAGGCTTCTGCTTCAACTCCCTCATTTACAGGTGAAAAAGTAAAGGTTTTAGCTTCTCAGTCTCACCTAAGTATAATGAAATAGTTGAGTCGTCTTTGAGCCCAGGTCTTAGGACTCCAGCTAGGGCCTTTCCACTACGACCCATTGTCTCTACTGGAAGAAGACTCAGAGCGGCCCATCCATCTTGTCCCTGCTCTGTCAGGCATTTTCACGTTTTTCCCAAGCTCTGTAGTGATGAGCACAGAAAAGAAGTGGGTCTGGCTCTGGAGTAGTTTTCCCATGTCTCGGTTTGATTCTCAGTTGCATGCAGCTTGGAAGGGCTCTTTTCTAGCTCTCCCAGAGACCGAGGATGGATGTGGGGCAGTCCTACTGATAGCCATGTGGCACCGGGCACTGAGCACTCACTGATGGAGAGCCAGAAGGGGTCGCAGAGGTCGTCGAGTGGAAAGAGGGTTGATTGTGTTTGTTTGACTGCTGTGTATTTTGGAGGAGGACGGGCTCCTTTTTAAAAAGGCAAGCTAAGCAAATAAATTTGTGAGACTGATTTTCTTGTGATCTGGACCTGCTGAAAAAAGAATATAAATTATCTGCCTCTTATTATTAGATAAGGGGTTGGATTGAAGGCAACCAGAGTAGATTGAATGTAGGCACACATTAGGCGTGGTGTGCGTGAGGTATTGTGAACTGGCCGAGGCTCAAGAAACCCACTGAAGTCTAAATGGAAGCTCCTTCCCATGTGCACCCTCTGGTTCCCAGGGTAAAGCTTGACATTATTCTGTGACTGTCTCATGCAAAGCAGGCAGCAGCAGCTGCCTTCTCACAGGTATGCTTTGAAATCCTAGCTTTTCAGAGATTTTGTTTTTGTTTGGAAATCTGGGGCCCATATCAGCTCCTTTGATCTAGGGATAGGTGCTGGAAGAGCTCTGATTTCCTATGTTCTGCGCGTGGGTCTCCAGTCCAGTGGCCTTGACTGGCTGCTTTGTTGAGCCATATGTCCCTGTGATTCTCCTCCTGCTAAGACAGTTTGATTGTAGATGCCAAGCTCCTTGACAGCAAGAAACCGTTCTGAGCTTGGTCCCTGCAGTGAGGCAGCATCGTCCAGCTCTGCTACCTGCAACCACGGCACTTTGGCTTTCCTTTTAAGTTCCTTAAGACTGTCATGTCGGGTTTGCTCACCTTGGCTGTAAGGCCGTGGGTCTCAGGAGTGTGGGTGGGGGCTGGTTTCTGACTAGCTGCTTGTGGGAGCCCTTGCTCTGCCACCATTATGATCACCTGACACATTTCTGGATCATAGATGTTGCTGCCTAGTCCTCATATGTGGAAGGAGCTTCATCCTCTGGCTTCACAGACGCCAGTGACTCTGAGTTCATTTTACTTTGCATTCTTAATTCCTTGGGTTTTTTTAAAAGTGGGTGTGGGGTCAAAGGAACAGGCATTTATTAAATGCCAGGCACTGCTTGCTTTATGCAGAGTAAGGGTTAACCAGGAATGAGAGCTTTGGGTGAGAAGTGAAGCTCTGTCAGGGCTAGGATGTGAGGCTCAAGAGAGCAGAGATTGTTGTTTGTGCTGGGCACATAGTGGGCACTTAATAAAGGTTTGTCAGGTCGATTAATGTTACAGTGTTCCTGTCCACAACCATGTGGACAAGTCACCGTTTGATCATGTTAGACAAAGCAGTAAGTAATTCTCGTTTTAAGTTTTTACGTCTAGGAACATTCTGAAGTTTTGTGACATCAGACCCATGTGATGCTTTATGCAGAACTAAATAACGATAGTAGCTGCTTGGGCCCCAGCCCGCTCCACCACGTCTCCATTCATGTTGCCACTGTTCCTGCTGTCCTCGTCCTCCTATTTCTTCATACACTGAGCCTGGTTTGGGTGTAAGATCTTGATCTACCATCTTGACCACCTGAAATGACACCTTGTTTTTTGCCTCCTTGATTCTGTGTCTTGTCCCATGTCCCAACTGGAGATTCTTTTGATTTTTACTTTGTATTCTTTTCTTCATTTTACTGTGCCTTGTTCTGATTCGAGTTAGCTGGACTATAGACTTGGGAGTGCGTTTGGAACTGTTTTTCTGTAGTACAGGAAACAAAACACCATAGAATGCATTTTACCCTAAGAGTGAGTATTCTTCCATTACATAATCCAGAAAACTGGAAAAGTAAAGAGGTCTTTAAAAATCAAAGGAAGCCTGTGATGAAAATATGAGAAATAAAAATAAGGGAGAAAGGAGGGTTTGAATTTAGTTGTAGTCTGCTCATTTGGTCCTTGCTAAGGTTTGATGTCTCATTTCTGGTTATTACTGATATCTTATGTTTGTACATCACTTTTACCTGCAGATGTAGTCTTCTTCCCTCCCTCAAAAGTCATCCCTTGTAACAGAATGAAAACGAAAAGGCAGTTCTGTAAAAGTAACCAATATATCAGGAAGGTAGCATGGGGTACACAGTGAGTAGGGGGATTTGTGGCTCTGGAGTCAGAGGATCTGTATTCAAATCTTCCTTCTGATGCTTAAGAGGAGCTTGGGCAACTCTGGACCTCCATTTCCTTGTCTGTAAAATGAGAATTGGGCTGGATGGCCTTTCATCATCTGATCAGCTCTCTCCCACCCCACCCCCAAATTCTATAAAAAAAAAAAAAAGATGGGAGGTACATCCCTTCCCCGGACCAACTTTGCTTTGATTTCTCCCTCCCACTCAGTTACGTTGTGGACATCATCGTGATGTTGTTTTCCTGATTTTGTTCATATTGTTCTGCATCAGTTCATAGAAGTTTTCCTTGCTCAGAATCTTTATATTCCTGTTTTTTACAATATGGTGATATTACATTCTTTATGTACCACAGTTTGTTCTGCCATTTCCCAGTTGATGGGTTTCCACTCGTTTCCAGGCTTTTTGGTTTTTTGCTACCATAAAAAAATCCTGCCGTGAATTTTTGAGTGTTTGTGACTTCATCTTCGGCCTCCTTAGAGGATATGCATAGCAGTGAGACCTCTAGGTCAGAGTTTATTGTACATTTTAGTCACTTTTGGCCCAATTTCAAATCACTTTTCATAATGGTTGAGCCAATTAATGCCTCCTCCAACAGTGTGTTAGTAAGCATGCTTTCCTTTACCCCTCCAGTGCTGGGAGACACTACCAGCTCTACCTGTCCTAAATGGAGTTGGCCTGTAGAATTGGTAGCATTTGACAGAGGATGTAACTGAGGCACCTTACTTCTCCCACTCATAGAATGCCCCCCACACTAGCACCTAACTCCACGGCGTGTGGCTCATGCCATGGGCGGTTTATCAGTGTTTCGTTGCTATCTCCTCATGATTTTGTAAGACCGTCTTGTCCCTGGCCCTGAAGGTGAGATGGCAAGAATTGGTTTTTCTCCAATAGAAGAGTGGTGCCAGCTTCCCTTCAGGAAAACCCTGCTGTGCTTTGTTGGTTATTTCTTCCATTAGGTCAGGTTTTCCAAAGTTTCCTCACATATGACCTTCTAATAAAAGCCCATCATAACAGTGTCTGGGCTGGGTGTTGGAGCTCCTGTGATTGCTGTGTTGTGAAGTGTCTGCTGCCTGGTCTGTCATCTCCTGCAGGTCTGAATAGGCCAGAAGGGAGATCTAGGAGGGCAGAGACTCCTCAGTGATGCTGCTGTTGCTACCTTTTAATGGTTTTTGTTTGTTTTATTTTAATGAACTGGTAGCTGATGACTCTTGAAGAGAAGAGGTTATTTTGTTGTGAGCTTTGAGGTTGGCTCACATTTATTTGAAACGTATTTTCTTGTTGATTGACCTGATTTAAGGCAATGATTCCGAATTCCTCTGGAATCATACCATGCTAAGGAAACTGCTCTCTCCATATGGCATTTACTACGTAGAGTAATTTATTTTTGAGAACTTGATAACATAGTATGAGAAACATTTTGGAGTGTTGCAAACGTAGATTTGTATATTTGAAACTTTATATTTAGAAAGAACTACCTATGATGTGACTTTTGTGAGTGGTGTTTTCATTTTGTTTCCTTGCCTTAAGAGAATTCATGTCTGATTGCCAAGTAAATTTTATGCTTGTTATTGTCTTCTTTATCCATAGTGTACCCACTCATTCTCACTGCCATTATCTAGAACTGTGTTAGAGACCATACGAGCTGTGCATTAATAGATTTTTTAAAATTCAAGCTAAGTTTAATTAAATTATATAATTGGGGCTGGGGGTGGGTACAGTTCTTCTCACCTACATGCCCTGGAATAGGAGGTGACTATCTCACAGGGGAAAGTCAGTTTTACACTTTGTCCTAAACAGTCCCTCACCGACCTTGCCCTGTGTGAGTGATTCTCTGTTTAGATGGTGAGTGGGAATGAAGCAGGAGAAATGGACTTGAGGGGAGATCCTCCCCTATTGAGGTGGGGGAGGGTCTTGGGTCAGTTCGCAAAAGTGTGAAGAACATAAGTTCCTTAAGGTCTGGATCCCCAGCACCTCGCACATAGGAGGTGCTTCTTTTTGGGGGAGGGGGGTGAGGCAATTGGGGTTAAGTGACTTGCCCAGGGTCGCACAGCTAGTAAATGTCAGGTGTCTGAGGCTGGACTTGAACTCAGGTCCTCCTGACTTCAAGGCTGGAGCTCTCTGCACTGTGCCACCTAGCTGCACTGAAGTGCTTCATTTCTGAGAGGGTGCGGACCACCCCATTGTAAGTAAGCCGCTTGGGCAGTGCCGTCTGGTCATCTGCCCCACAGGGCTGGTGAGTTCCCGTTTGGGGAGCTCACTCTATTCGCCTCTCGTCCCCTAGGATCCAGAATTCAGCAACGCCGATCAGATCGACCTGTACGACGACGTGCTGGCCGCCAGCTCGCAGCCATCCGACGACCGCAGCAGCAGCGCCGAGCCGCCGCCTCCCATCCGACAGGAGCAGTCTCCCAAGCCCAACAGCAAGTCGCCGGCGATCCTGTACACCTACAGTGGGCTGCGGAACAAGCGAGCCGCGGTCTACGTGGGCAGCTTCTCCTGGGTGAGCCTGGATAGCCGGCAGCCAGCAGGGTGGCCATGGGACAGACTAGCGCCTCCTAGAGCTGCCTTGAGGTTGGTCACGGAGGGGATGCCATCCGAGTCTACTCCCAGATGAGCTCAGGTCCTGAGAGCGGGGTCAGGTTGGATCAGCCTCTGGGCGGAAATCCTCAGGATTTGAATGGTGCTGGAGAAAGCAGTGCTTGAGTGGGTGTGGCCATTTCTGTCATCCTCGCCGCCCCTGACCCTGGGGCTTTATATCTAGCAGGGTCGTCTCTGGGACGAGCTTTCAGTGAACACCTTGAACTCTTGGTGGTCATTAGATGGTCCTGTGATAATGGTGGGTGACGGGGATCAAAGGCCCTCGTAGCTCTAGTACGCTCTGGGTAGGTGGTGACTCTTGTTCTGCAAAAGTCCTTTCTGTTATGTGGCGTGGGCTGGTGGGGGTGGCGTGGCCGCGTGAGCGCTGTTCTGTACTCGGGGGAGAGCTCCTGGCTCTGCTGCATTCTTGCTGTTCAGAGGAGCAGCTTCGGAGTCTCGCGGTAGCCACCTGATCGGTTTACACTGATGATTGTTAGCCAAGGCACTTTGGAGGCCAGTGGTGAATCAGCCTGCCGCGTCCTTCACCTCTAGAGGCGGGAGGGGGGACGGGACGCTTGCCTTGACTGAAACAAAACTGGTTTGGGGCCGTGGTGGTGATTGGAGTTGTGGCTTCAGGGAGAGGGACTTACAGGGAGCCTCTGGAGGAGATCCCCAGCCCTTGACTTGTCTCTTCTGCTCTACTGGTCCCAGTGGACAACAGACCAGCAGCTGATCCAGATCATCCGCTCCGTGGGGGTCTATGATGTCGTGGAGCTGAAGTTTGCAGAGAATCGAGCCAATGGCCAGTCCAAAGGGTAAGAGCCGAGCGGAGGAATTTCCCTTCCAGGTGCCCGCCCCAGCGAGAACCTTCGTCATCTGGGCTCGTGGGACAGAGCCCTGCCCTGCTGCCCATCCCCGCCCCACACGCTCTTCCGGGCTGTCGGCTCTGCTTGTCCTCACGGAACGTGCCCGTGACTTGGTGACCTGGTGAGGCCAGTGTGGAGTCGCAGCACCGGTGTTTTCTACTGGGCAGCAGAGGAGCTGGGAAGACCAGAGGCCAGAGGCCTTCCCTGGTCCTTTACCGGCTTGGGAATTTGGCACTGCGGGTGTTCAGAGTCTTCAGTCTCCCCGTTTATTCAAGTGGTTGCCATCTCTTCCTTTCTTCTCCCTTGCCCTTGCCCAAGGTATGCTGAGGTGGTGGTGGCCTCTGAGAACTCTGTCCACAAACTGTTGGAACTCCTGCCAGGCAAGATTCTCAATGGGGAGAAGGTGGACGTGAGGCTGGCCACCCGGCAGAACCTGTCGCAGTTTGAGGCGCAGGCTCGGAAACGTGAGTGCGTCCGAGTCCCAAGAGGGGGTACGTGGAGATGGTCTGTATGGAGGGGGAGAGGGGGGGGAGGGCTTTTATACCACGCTGTAGGATTAGCCTACAGCGTGAGGGAGGCTGGGTGGAGGGCGGGGATAGTCTGTGGGAAGAGGGCTGGAGCCACTTTGCGAGGGAGGGTACATCCCCAGATCTGGACACCAGCTGAGCAAGTTCCCCTCGCGGTCCAGCAAATCGCTCAGCATGCTGAGGTGGAAGGGCATTAGGAAAGCCGGGTTCTAGTCCTGACTCGCATCAAAACGAGCCGTGAGCTCGTGGACAGATCAGTCGATCTGGGCCTCAGCTTCCTCATCTGTTAAATGACTGAGTTGGATTAGATGACCTTTAAGGTCCTCGCCAGCTCTGAGAATTGACTTACAATGGATGGAAGTGGCCGTGACCCATCCTACATTGTAATGTGGAAATAGTGTGGTTAGGAGACTACTGTGCTTTCCCATTTGTCTTTGGGAGCAGCCACCCAGAGTGTCATTTCTGTTAAGTGAGCTGTAGTCTTGGAAGTTGTCCTGTGCCCAGAGGGTACGCAGAGAATAAAGCTGGTGCTGTTGTAGCTACACGTGCAAGCAGAAGGGGAGTCTGCACGGAGAGCTGGAGCATCTCCAGCGTGGTCCAGGGGGGAGGGAGCCCTGACAGCCGACCTAAGTGTCCTGGTCCGCTTGGCAGGTCTAGCTTGGTAGTGGAGAAGGGGGGGTCGGGCTTCTAGAGCTTGGCCAGGCTCCCTTAAGTTCATCTGATTCTGTACTCACCAAGCAACCTTCTGATCTTGATCTGATTTCCCAAATAGGCTCTCCTACTGGGAAGAGAATGCGCTGACCAGCCGACACAAGTACGCCGGTCCGCTTGGCAGTCATATTTCTCATTGTAAATTAATAAATTGGCATTCTGGCTTATGAATCAGTCTCTTGTGACTTTGGTTAGCGTGAACCAATCCCCAGGGTCCGATCACCCCTGGGTGAACTGATAAAATCGAGTTTCTGAACCCGCAAAAGCTGAGGCCCAGACCCTGGGCTTGTGGTGACCCCACCAAGATGCAGTCCCCCTTGGAGGCCCAGCCTGACACAGCCAGCCAGCCTTAGCCACAGTGGGGAGGTGTCTGAGGGTCACTAGGTGACCCTCACTGCCGCTGTTTTAGGGCCTACTTGCCAAGCCCACGTTGGGTCTCTGCCCCCAGGTACGAGGATGGTCCCCTCGCTCTTTGGTAGGGATAGCTCTCCTGTGATGTGATTTAGGGGTTCGATTCCTCGGGTCGTAGTCACATGCCTCTTCTTGGCCACTTAAACCTTCCAAGACCCTTTGGTTCCAGCATCACTCCTTCCTGGCCAGTCTCCGATGGCTCACTTTGCAGCAGACTGAGAGAGCAAACCCGTTCCTCTTTTCCGCAGTTCCCTCGGGGGGGGGGCCTTTGCCTTGACCGAGGCGATGAGGCGACAGAGCAGGGTTTTCTGTCTGCCTCGTCTTCCCGTTCAGCCAGAGGAGCAGGTTCTGCACGATCGATGCGAGGCGGCTGCTCTTGGGCCTGGGGAGAGCTCAGGCACACAGTGAAGACCTCCGAGGTTGGAAAGCTGATGCTCAGGAAGGGGAAGTTGATAGCTTTTCTGCAGGTTTGGAGGCTGTCGAGAGACTGTGAAGAAGCGGGTCAGTGAGGCGGTTTGCAGCATGAGAGGGTCAGATGCTTGGAGGTGTAGTGACCACTGAGTCAGTGGGGAATGGTGTGGCCTCCGGAATAGACCGGTCAGGCAGGGGGTGGTACTAGTTAGGCATCCACGTTCGCTAGTTGGAAGATTTCTTTAGCTTTTTGGTGAAGACTGCTGTTAGTGACACCTGTTGCCCTCTCCTAGGATACTTCCCCCAGATGTCTTAGCTCCGCTCTTGTATTGAAATCCCTATCTGGGTCAGGGCTAGAGTGTCTTCTGATGTAGTATGTTGACAGCAATGCTTCTCAGGCAAGGAAACATCTTTTTGAGTACTCTGAGCAAAGCAGCGGACTGGTGTGCTCTCAGCTTCCTGTGGCCTGCTTTCCTCTTTCTCAGGAGGTGTAGGGCATGAAGTGGGCCTGTGGTGTTCTGTAAGCATCTTCTTGGTCCTTTCTGCCGGAGGTGCTGGCAGCGACCCTGGGCAGAGGACCTCACGATAGCATCTTCTTCCAGTGTGTCTCCACGTCACCCTTTCTCCTTTGATTTTTGTTTGTTTCTTTTTGGTGAGGCAGTGGGGGCTAAGCAGTTTGCCCAAACAACTTCTCCTTGTGTTCCCCCGGCAACCAAACCTTCCCAAGCCCATTGCCAGTTTCTTGTCCATAGGTGGGCTCTGTCCCTCTCTCCAGTTGTGTTGTGGCAAATAGATAAGTTTGTCGGGGTAGGTGCAGCAAGATGAAAATGCTTCAGTACTGACCAAGAGAAAGGGTGTGGGCTTGGTCTGAGTTCTCGTGTCAGCTCAGTCTTGCTGAGTGATCTTACTTACCTTCACTTGCTTGCTTGGCTCCTTTCCTCCTTCTTGAAGGAGATGCCTTTATGGAATCTTTGGAAGTCTCAGGATAGATGAGTGACTGGTGAACCATGCCCTCTGGGTGAAAGGCCCCACGAGTAAACGGTAGCAGCAGTGATAGGGATGACATCTGCTCCCGGAGCCTGTGGCTTCACTGAATTGTGCCTTGAAAGCCTCCTTGCCAGGAGTTCTGCTATTCTGCAACGTAGGCACCTCCTGAGTGAGGGGCCACGTCAGTCCTGTCCTTCACTAGATTGAGACAGTGCCGTGGTTTTGTCTGGTGCCTGGGGCAGTAACGCTGGCTCTGTTTTGCTTCATAGGAGTACCGCCACGTGCCCACTCCCGAGATTCTAGTGATTCCGCTGATGGACGGGCCACACCCACTGAGAACCTTGTGCCCCACCCCCCCGTGTGGACAAGCCCCCCAGTGTGCTGCCCTACTTCAGCCGCCCTCCCTCAGCTCTTCCCCTGATGGGTCTGCCCCCACCACCCATCCCACCCCCGCCACCTCTCTCCTCGGGCTTTGGGGTCCCTCCTCCCCCTCCTGGTATCCATTACCAGCATCTCATGCCCCCGCCTCCCCGACTGCCTCCCCACCTGGCTGTGCCTCCCCCAGGGGCCATTCCACCTGCCCTGCACCTCAACCCCGCCTTCTTCCCCCCACCGAATGCTGCAGTGGGGCCTCCGCCAGATGCTTACATCAAGGCCTCTGCACCCTATAACCACCACGGCAGGTAAGGACTGCCTTGTTTCCTTCTAAAGAATTGGGCTGGGTGTAAGGGGAGTCCACGGGCCAAGCATCATCTCTTGGCCTGTGCTGGAGAGGAGGGTTTCTCCATTCTGCCTGGGGGAGACGAGCACGTGACCCTCACCCTTCCCTCCTGCATCTCTGCTGGAAAGATGCGCTCTGCCGCCTCGCTTTTGTATTGCCCCTCCATCGGGGCTTTTCTTGTCTGCTTGGCCTGGGCCCCGTCCTTGTCGTTCAAGGACTTGGTTGAATTTAGTTCCCTGGGTGTTGGGGGGGGGTGGCAGTGGGGTACAGTGCCAGCCTGTTCTCAGGAAGGGTGTGTTGTCTTGGAGGAGGGGTCAGTGCAACATCATACCCAATAAAGTGCCCTGCTGTACGGTACAGATCTAAGTGCCACGGGCGGTCAGGGATGGTGTTGTCTCCGTGCAGCCGAGAACTGGGCCCCCCACCCCCAACGGCATGTGAAGCTGAGTTCGAGGAGATCATGAATCGGAACAGAGCGATCTCTAGCAGTGCCATTTCCAAAGCTGTCTCTGGGGCCAGCGCAGGTAACTTCTTTTACCTTTGCGTCCGTCTCCTGTCTCTCTTCCCTTGTCCTCTTCTCTGGGGTGGGACTGCTTGTGTAGGCCATCTCCCTCTGCAGGGGTTTTGAGAGGGATAGATAACTTGGGAAAAGACGGTTTGCTTTTAGGCATATGTCCGGGAAGGTATTTTTTGTTTTTTTGTGGGCTGGAAGTCATTCCCAGATGTACTTTTGCACAATAAATCTAGCTTTGCACCTGGGATGGAATGTTACGTGCAGCATTCCATTGTTGCTCTGGGCTATAAAAAGACATCTTTGCCTTGTAAATGTCTGCCTTGAACAAGGGACCACCCGACATGCAGAGGTGGAGTGCTCTAGGATGACAGTGCCCTAGGTCATATTTGCCATTTTTGTGTAGACCCCTAGGATTATGAGGGAGTGATTTCTGACTGGCTTTGACTGCTTGATCACAGTCTTGGAGTCAGATGACGCAGAACGTGCCAGGCCATGTCAGCTGTTACAGGCTAGCCTGGTGAATCTGATGGAGCCACAGGTGGGAGAGGCCTGGCCCTTGCTGCGCCCACGCCAGGAAACCAGGCGGTGCCGGGCTTGATGGCGATTCTCGCTGCTGCCTCACAGGGTGACTTGGGGCGAGTAGGCAGAGGTTTATTAAACAGACGTTCACGTGGTGATGACCTTTCTTATTCTATGCTAGATCTAGGGCTTTGGGCAAAATTGACAGGCCGGGACGCCAAGAAGAGCATTGGCTGGGAACATTAGCGTCATCCTTCCCGGGGTGGTCTTTTCCTCATCTTGGGCCACGAAGCCTAAAGTGCTCCGCAGGGCTCTGTGTTGGATTTCTTTCCCACCTGCTAATGTGGGTTAGAGGCAGGACGAGTAGACCTACATTTTCCTCTACTGCTTTTTTTTCCTGAAGAATCTTCTTCCACATTTGATTAAATCTTTATCCAATTTTTCTTGCTGTCCTGCTGTATTTCTTTACTATTGTATCTCCCCATCTCTGGGCTTTGCTTTTCTGTCTTGCACAACTACCTTCAAGTCCTCATTTCTGTTCCCTCAGAATATCCTCAGGACTTTGTTATTCTCGGACTCTTTCCTTCTTGACCTTGCCTTCTGTCCCAGAGGGTCTTGGTTAAGGCCTGATTGCTGGCTCTCTGAGCGTGAGTCCTATGCTAGCCAGGGCCAGGTGGGAGCTGTGGATGGCTGCGTGGCTCTCAGGCAGTCCTGGGGCACGCACGGGCCCCTCTGGTTTGGCTTGTCTTCCGTCTTTTCCCTCTTGGTCCAGTTTGCTTCCGTTACTCTCCTACTCATTCTTGGCCTTTCCTACCCATCCCGCATCAGGGGATTATAGTGACGCTATTGAGACGCTCCTCACAGCCATCGCTGTCATCAAACAATCCCGGGTCGCCAACGACGAACGTTGCCGTGTGCTCATCTCCTCCCTTAAGGACTGTCTTCATGGCATCGAAGCCAAGTCCTACAGCGTGGGTGCCGGTGGTAGCTCTTCCAGGTGAGTTCCCGATGGGTCTGCTGGCCTACCAGCCCCCACGGCCCTCTGCTAGGGATTGGTGAGGGGGGACAGGAGGCCTGAGGAAGGTGCCTGTTAAAGTCACGGCTGTCGGCCCTGACCTCTCTAGGAAGAGTTCGGGAAGACAGAGGAAGTCAGAAGGCTTTTATTAATAATCATCGCAGGCTAACTAGGAGCTACCAAAGGCAGCTCCGTTAAGAAAATACATTGCAGTTTGCGTAGGCTTTGTGTTCTGACGTAAACGGAGGCTGTAGCCTCCAGGCAGGTTAGCCAAATGCTCATACAAACAGCAACGCCAAAAAAAAATTGTTCTTGAGCACCTTGAAGAGAGAATGCCATTGAACCCCTCTGGAGAACCCTGAAGGAAGAATCTTTTCCAACAGGAAAAGACACCGGTCCCGTGAGCGATCACCTAGCCGGTCCCGTGAGAGCAGCCGAAGGCACCGGGACCTGCTCCATAATGAGGATAGGCACGAGGATTATTTTCAAGAAAGGAATCGGGAGCATGAGAGACACCGGGACAGAGAACGGGACCGGCACCACTGAGAAAGGTGAGACGGACTCCACTCTGGCTGCATTTCTTTTGGGGCCTCTGATGGCGAGAAGCCAGAGTGACGTCTGCCCAGCTTGGGACGAGCCTGCTCTTGGGCTGGCTCGAAAGGTGGTAGGGAGTTGTGTAGGCGTGGCCTCTGTCTTCCCTGCTGCAGCCTCTTGGGACTGTCCGCTGTCTCACCCCTCGCACTGAGTTAGGAAGCCAGGAAGGAAGGACAAAGATGCAGACCCAAGGCCACTCATCCCACCCTGTGCGATGAGCTTTACTCCTGCATGTTGATCTGTGGCATGCCAGCTTAATGATTTTGAACACAGGGCCTGTGTATGGAAAAGATGACAGTAAAGAAGGGAATGGGGCGGGGGGGGTGACCTTTAAGAATACGGGATTATTTCACTGTTTTCCCCTTTGAGTATAGCTTGAGAGAAAAGGGTCTTCAAGATGGCAGAAGGAAGGATTTAGGTTCGTTTACAGGAGGAGTATGTGCTGAAATATGAGATTGCTGAAACGAAAGTTATCCAAGAAGATTATTGACTGCTTTCTTTGAGATCTTAAAAATAAGTTAAATCCCCATTTGTCTTGGATGGACTTTACGCAAAGCATGCACTGGAGGGGCTTCCGAATCCCTTCCCAGCTCTGGGGTTGGAGACTTTTGAAGCCCGAGCATGTTTTCCCCACTATTTCCCAAACAGGGCATTTACAGCCCTGTTGTATCGTGTGTGTCGTGATATTTCTTTGTTTGCTCTTCTGCTATATCCAGAGCTGACAGGAAGGCAAGAGTTGGAGGTGAAAGGGGTAGAAGTGGTGGTCACCACGTGAATGGGGGGGGCAGGGGAGACACGTGAGGTTTTGTGTGTGTGTGTGTGTGTGTGTGTGTGTGTCTGTGTGCTCGCTTGCGAGAGGATACAGGTAGATGACTGGTTCTGGGTAAATTAACACATGTGTAGCAGACTTTAAAAAAATGTCCTCACCTTGCTTACTGACAAGAGCTCCTCTTGTCTGATGGTCAGGGACGGTCAGAATTGACACTGAGCAGTCTCCAGGAGCTGGCCTCCCCCCTGCCCTCAGAATCACCAGGGGCATTGTCTTCCTGACGTGATGAGGGCGTCACTTGGTGTGTTTGGAATTAGGAGAGTTCCTACGTTACGTACTGATGCATTTCTGAGCTGACTCATCTCTGCTTTGAAAGTGTCCTTGTCGTGCTCCGTAAGGACCAGTGGTGGTGGATGGCTCTGATGCTGGCTGCACTGCTGTTCAGTCTTGTCCGTGTCCCCAGGAACCCTTCTGGAGTTTGCCGCTTGGGGGAGTTTTGATAAAAGAATTTTGAGGGCAAGTCCTTGCCTAGGTCACGTCTCCAGGGCAAACCGAGGATTAAACTCCTGGCCTTTTTAAAAACTTGGATTCTGTGTAAACTAGGCACCCCTTTTTGATTCACGCTAAGCCTGATCCTTTCCTAGAAGTAAGTGCTGGCTTCTCTTTCTTTGGCGCATGCCCTGTGCTGCCTAGAGCAGGAAGATACTTTGAATGAAACCTGGATGCCAGCGTGCTTGGCCTCCGTTGTGGTGGAGTTGTGTGTGTTCCCCTGTGCCATCTCCTCTGTGCACTGCTGGCCTGCAGCCCGCAGCCCCTGCCTGTAAGATGAGACATTAATTCTTACTGTGATTAGGGTCTGTTGTGCGTTTGTAGGATTTAGAGCTGGAAGTCCCGTTGGTGATCACCTGGGCCAGCCAGGAAGTGACTTACCCAAGGTCATACGGCTAATACATAGTGGAGCTGGGGTTTGAACCTGGGTGTGCTATGCCACATTGCTTCTTAATTGAGGGAATAATTTAAGATCTAGTAAATTAGCTAGGAAGAACTACTGTAGCAACTTATTCAATAAACAGATTAAGCATCTGCTCTGTGTGGGGCACTAGTAAAAGCCCTTTGGCCTTGGCAAAGAAAAATTCATGTTGAACTGCTTTTAGAAAGGTGATTTGATTATTATTCTGTGCACATAATGGGAGTGAGCAGTGTGGCCTCTTTAATTTTTTGGTATTTAGTCTATAAGGCCCAATTGTCATTCATCATTGTTGGAGTGTTAAATCATTAAGTGCTCCTAATTAAATTTGTCATAGATTTGTGGGCAGGTTTTCTGCCACCCTAGGCCATCTTCAGATGTGGGTTCTTCATTAACAACAGGGCTTATCTCTACATAGGCAGCTGGGGTGAAATTCCGGAGCCAAATGTTCCATTTGTTGTTTTTATGGTCACATCTTCGGGTTGGCTCAGTGACCTGGCGGAGCAAATTGTTCTCCCTCCTACTCAGAATGAGCAGAGTCAAAAACCAGAATGCCTAGTTTTTAAATATTTATCACACTCTAGTGCAGAGGCAAGGCTGCAGGACAGCTGTACGTGCTGCCTCTTTCCCAGGGAAGGTTGGATCAGGCCCCACCTCCCTGCCAGGCCCTTTGTTCTGAGCTCTGTGGCCTCTTCCCCTCCTTGGAAGGCATCACCTCAGTCTGCCTTTGCTCTGAGCGGGTGATGGTGACTTTTCCTCTGCTCCTGGGCAGGAGGAGAAGTCTCATCCTTCTGTCCCACACGTCTGTTAACCCTTTTCCATTTTGGAGCCTCATATGTAGAATTCCTCTCCCAAGAATCTTTGGCCTTTGCAGCCTCCACTGAAAACAAACTCCAAGGGAGTCAGAGGTTGGTCTAGAATGAGGCTCTGTCTTATTCCATTCGAAACCATTGAGCTCCTTTTCCAGTGTGGCAGGGATACTCTGTAAGTAACATGCAGTTTGTACAGTATCTGTACTTGTGTTTTGGCCGCTTGAGGACGATCTAATAGTCTTAGATCTGTGGGTAGGATCTAATTCTGATATTTGGCCAGTTGGCACATTATTCAGGGATATACAAGAATAATCGTCACACTCCTAGAAATATCATTCTCATTCCCATTTTCACCCTTTTGTCTCAGGAAAAACTATCAATTCCGTCTGAATAGCCAAAGCTGAAGACATTTGCTTTCTTTACTTTGCCTCGTTATTAGCTCACCTAACTGTGGAGTGTCTCTGCTTTCCCACCTGTAAAGTGAGCTCATACATTTTGGGATGCTTTGCTACTTTGGGGGGAGGGAGGGAGACTTTCGATAGTGAAGAGTTCCCATGTTGAAAGTAAAAATCAGGAGTGTACAGATGTTTGTGGAAGGGTTCAGGAGCATTTTCTGTCTCACGTGGATTCTTCATTGAATAACACAGGAGCCGTAGGGGTCATCTAGTCCGAGCCTACATTTCACAGAGGAGAAGGCAGAACAGGAAGGTCCAGTGACTTCTTGAAGGTCCCTGGGGGTGTCACAAGCAGAACTGGGATTCACACTCGGTACCCTGGGCTTGCTACCAGAAAAACTCACAGTGCAAGCTGCACACAGGTGGGATGATTGGCCTTCCAAAGCCTCAGAGGTGTTGCAGGAAGAGAAGGACTAACTACCCTTAGCTTGCAGCGTGCAGAAGCTTAGTGGGGCTTCTCTTCAGGAGTGGATTGGAGCAGTCTGGTTGCTAACATCCCTTCTGCCTCTCTGTCCTGACTTCCAGTCCTGTCCTCTTTCCTTGGCACCATCCTGCCTTATTTGACTTAGGAGGGAATGTGTTTCTGGTCCCTCTTTTGAAACATAGATCATCACTTTAACATTAGGGGGACTTGGAGCCTGTATGTAATTCTTTATCTAGAGGCTAATTAGTCAGCCTCTTCTGAGATTACCTGGGGCCTCCCAGCTCTGGCCAGAACTCTGCCTCTGAGTCTGAACAGGACATAGTTGCTAGCTCCTGCTCCCAGAGACAGCCCCTTCCTCAGGGAGCCATTGCAGCCTGGCCCCAGGCTTAGTGCACGGTGCTTGTTGGTACCGTTTGACTTTCAAACAGAATTTTAGTTCTGTTGCTGCTTATGTCTGCTCTACAATACCTTTTGGGCTATAACTCAGTGCTGTTGTCTGGGGGAGATTTTTGTAATCCCAACCAGCCCTTGGCCCTTGTTTTCCAGCCTGATTTGGAAATGCCTTTGCGCCTTTTCCTCCAACTAAGAATGCTTTGTTTAATCTACATATAGAACCCAACCTCCCAAGCTGGTGGCACCCTTCTTCTGTGAGCAGGGTGGGACTGTCCCCTGTTGGGTCTCCTTTCAGGTGCCTACTCAGTGCTTGGACTTCGTGGTTCTAAGCTTCTCTTGATGTCTCTGCCCTCCAAGGTAAGCTCTAGAGCCTGCTAAAGAGTTTTTCAGTGCCGAGCTTCAGGAGAGGCCAGAGAGCAGCTCCCCTGCTCCTGGCTGGGCAGAGGAGAGCGACCCAGGGCCAGGAGGCAGCTCCACGTTTCTTATCGTTGATACAGAGCCAGTTACCCTCTTGTTCTTTCTTCCTCCGCCACTGCCTGACCTTGCTGTCTGTGAGAGCTGGTATTTATACGGCCCTTTAAGATTTCCGTGATATTTGATCTTATTAGATAATTCTTCTGAGCTCTTCTCATTGTTTCTTTCTTCAGAATAGCCCAGCCAGGCCTTTTTCCTTTCTTTCTCCTTCTCAGTCATGCGTAATTATGTTCTCTCCTACTTGCCATAGCATCCTTTGACCTCATGGGTTTCCTGCTTTAGAAAATGCTGGTGTAATCCAGATAATCCCCAGATAATCAAATATAAATCTCTAACTTGTATTTTCTCTCCCTCCCCCCTTCTGCTGTTCTCATTGCAGGAGTCTGGTTGGAAGTAAATGTTTTTTTTAACGGACTTGCATCTCCTCACCTCGATCAGGACTAAAGGACGGAGGCCGCTCCACCCCTTCCCCCTCCCCCAAGCCCCCAATTCCCTCCAGACACCCAGGGAACACCCGATGCCCCACCAGACCGAAGAGAGCTTGGCAGCCCTCCCTAGCCCTACCCAGGCCCCGGCATGACCCCTGCTTGCCTAGGGAAAGGGCTGAACGACTTGGTGGGGTTGGGAGGGGTGAGAGAACAGAAAGGGAAGAATGTAGAATGTATCTGGGCCCATGATCCACCAATGCTTGGACTCCAAAAGAAGGTGCTTTCTTTTTCTTGGAAACTTGTGAGGTTCTTATTCTCTGGGAGTAGCTTGAGGCCGTTGGGAAAGCCTCCCAAAGACCTGCCGAAAGAGAACAGATCCTCATTGTGTAGGGGAGTGATAGCCAGAGGTGCTCGGGCCTCTACCACACTAGCGCTAGACTCGCGGGGCCCTCCGTGTCCACCTCGCCCTCCTCCCCACTCTGCAGCGTTGCACGCCTCCAACCCCAATTCCCTCTCAGCCCTTTTGGGAGGAACTACAGGAAGAAACATTATCTGGTGACAGGCTGCTTCTGCCCTAACTTGTTCTGCCCTCCTCTCTCGTTGACGGTTACTCTCCTGATCTCCTAGGGAAGGCTTGAGGCCTTCGTCACTCCCAGTTTCCTTGGTCCCACTGGTCCCTTGAGTAACAAGGGCCCTGCCGGGTGTCTCGGTACACCTGCCCCTGCCAGGCAGAGAGCATCCCCATAAGATGGCTTTCTCTGCCTCGGGTCCTCTCCCTGCTTCTCTTGCTTGCTGCTCGTGAATTAACAAGCTCTGATAGGCACTCTTCCCTCTTGAGCCCTTACCCCAAGAGGGCTGTTTCCTTGTTTTAGAGGAAGGCACTGCAACACATCCCCACCTTGGCAGCGGTGATCCCAACAAGAGGCTGCAAGAAGCAGGGGAGGGAGGGGGACTTAGTCACTGACCACTTCTCAAAGCTTTTCCTTCCAAAAGTTGTACGTAAGCATGCACCTTACATCAGGTCACTGATTGGTGTAGCCTGGTTCTAGACATTGGAAATTGTACCCTGGATGTCTTGCCTGCCTCTGGCTACTGGCAGACTGGCCTCCCTCTCGGCCCTCCAGGAAGGCCCAAGAAAGAGCTAGAGCCTAGCTTGCATCTGCTGTATTCTGAGCTCCGTGGACACCATTCCAATGGCCTGACTCCTCGAGAGGCAGGGCAACAAATCTGCTGCTCCCATAGATTTCAAATTGTGGCGAACAGGCTTCTTCATGCCGCTGGCTGTTCCGTGGGACAGGGCTACCTCCACATCACCCACAGGGCATCCAGCTTTTAGTATGAGAAAAACGAGAGACTCCAGTCTCAGGAGGTCCTTCCAAGGCACGAGGGAAGGGAGAGCCGCTAGGCCTAACAGACTTCGGTCAGGCACTGAGTGAATTTTTCCCAGGGTCAGAGGCACATTCCCTTGGGACAGAGGGAAGGGGTGGTGGCTTTCTCCCCTCATACCCCCACCCCCAACCCCTCACTTCCTCTAAGGAGCCGAGCATCCCCAGCCGGCGAGTGTTAAGTGATGCGCTTCTCCCAGAGAGCAGCTCCGGGTGTCTTTTTAAAATGTAGAGAAAACCAAATGAGGTGACTGTTGTTTGAGGAAGAAAACGTAAAATACCAGAAATCCGTTTGCCCGGAGAGTTGTTTTTTTTTTTTACTTAATGACACAATTTTTAGTTTTATTTCCAGATAGCAAAAGAAAAATACCTGAGGGAAAAAAAAAGGCCAGGCCCCGTCCCCCTGTTGTCGGTGATTCGATTTGTTTGTCTCTTTCTGATAGGTTGGAAATTGTGTAATAAACTTGATGACGCTGTCAATCTTTTATACCGTATTGTATGCTTTTTTTTCTTTTGTAACAAAATATTTTAAATAATAAATGGGGTGTGAGCTGTTTTATGGACCCTGCTTTGGAGAGATGTGTCTTGGCTCCAGCTTTGGGTTTGACTTTTAAAAGGTGGGCTCAGCTGAAGCAGGTGGTTTTGCTTTTAGACAGGCTTCAGGCATGAACTGCAGCTCCTTCCCTGTAAACAGGCCCAGGGGAAGCTGTTCTCTGGGGCCTTCCTTGAGCTCGAAGGAAAACAATGCAGAAGGCTTTACTGAATCAAGTGCTAGGCTTTTTCCTAAGCCAGAAGTACTTTTTCCTTTTTCTGGGTAAAACTGAAAAGGGCATGTAAGTGATGTAGAAGTGGTGTGCTAGAATGACTCCAGAGGCATTCCCCATCTGGATTTAGGGTTGGGGGGGGACTAACCAGAACACTTGGGACTGGGGGATGAAATGGAAGCAAGGAAATTTAGATTTTTTTTTTTTAAACAAAGATGAGACCAGGCAATCAACAATTATGGAACCTCTGGAGCTGTAAAATTGAAGGGAAGACCCAGGTAGAGCGCTGTAGTCTGTCTTCACGGGGCCTTCTGTGAGGGGTGTTGGGTCATTTCAGTCATGCCCGGCTTTCTTGGCAAAGATCCTGGAGTGACTTGCCACTTCCTTCTCCAGCTTGTTTAATAGACGAGGAAACTGAGGCAGGCAGGGTGAAGAGATTTGTCCAGGGTTACATGGCTTAGTGTCTGAGACCAGAGTGGAATTCAGGAAGTCTTCTGACTGCAGGCCCAGGCTCTGTGCACTATGGCGCCACCTAGCCGCCCCAGTGGGAGTTAGCTGGATTCTAATTCCCCATCTTCTGCCTTCCTGGTCACGTGGGCCTAGACTGGAACGTGTGAATTTGCAGAGGGGTTGAAGACAGTATTGAAACATCCTGAAACCATCTCATGTGAACAGAACCTGCTTTCACCCCTACCTAAAATAGTTCAAATTGAGAAGTTAAAATAACAAGAGCCAGGATTTTAGATGTGAGGTCACTTGGGTAACAAATGGAAGAGCAGAAATTGGGTCTTCTAAATCCAAATGAGGCACGCTGCCCCCTCCCCTGCATCCTGGTGGGACGGAACAGAAAGCACAGGATGTAGAATCATAAGACCGAAGGACTAGTTTGGGCGCCATTTGCCACCGTGCAAAACACTTTTATCTCTCTGGGTCTCTGCTTATCTGTAAAACGAGCCGAACGGTGTTAACTTCATCTGAGAATCCCTGGAGTGAATCAGGGAGGCCACAGAACACGGGTTGTCACTCTAGCTACACGCCAATGATTAGATCAAGTCAGGCCTCAAAGGACGTTGGGAAAATCAGCTGGTCAGGACGTTGTCCTAAGATGTTGGATTCAGGGAAGTCATGGTGAACTTGGGTGTGTCCGACAGTCTTTGCCTTTTTCGTTAGACTGCAGTGGCAACGTACAAATGAAATGAGGCTAGTCGTGCCCACTTTCACATTAGATAGTGGGAAGGCCTATGAACTGTTTTTCCCCAAATGAGCAGAATTTCAAAAGCCAGCTCCAAGTGTTAATGCCATAGTGGAGAAAAGCAAGAAAGTCACACCTTAAAGTACCAGAAAGGGCCCTAAGTGTCCAGAGTCACTTCAGGGGAGATGTGTGGATTTCAGGTAGTCCTCACTGCTACAACAGGTTACTAGAAAGTGACATGGGAACTGATTTGGAGGGGATGGTGGATTTGGAGCTAGAAGAGATCCTATGAGTGGCCACTGAGTCCATTTTACTGACCAAGAGACTGAAGGACAGAAGTCTCACAGCCTAGTAAGGCCTCGGGATTCTGTAAAGAAAGGAAGAGGGGGGCTGGCAGTTAAATCTCTGAAGAGGAACAGAAGGCAGACATGGCCGTCTGCAGCAGGAGAACCAGTGGCAGACAGATCAATCAGCTACAAGTGATGGTCAACAGATGACTTGGGAATTGCTTCCTCCCCCCAGCTGTCTGGCCTCTTCCTTGGTTTTTCTTGTCTTTAAACAGGGGATAACCATTCCAGTCTGTGTACCTAAAGAGCCTGCAGCCTCAGCACAGCATCAAATGAAATGGCCAACCTAGAGACCCGAGGTTTTTCAAAGGCCCTTGGTTCTTGGTGAGTACGTTACTGAACCAGGCCACAGCAGGCACTGACTGGTAAAGAAGACAATCAGAAACTCTTTTGGAGGCGAGATGCAGCAATGCCACTGCCTGCAGGAAAGACCTGTGAGGCAGTAGGCTCTGTGCAGGGGACAGGGCCATAAGGAAAAGGCTGCAGCCCCCGCAACAGAAAATAAATATTTATTGTAAATAAATAGCATTTGTTCCAAGACATAGCGTAAGAAAAAAAACACCCCAAGCTACTGAGCGTTGGTGCCTGGTCCCTTCTGAATGAAGCTCATCCCCTTCAAGGAATGAATGGGATGAGGTCTTGATTGGGTTTAGTGGAGGAAGACACCCTTGTGAAAAACAGGTGCTCGGTGCTTCTAGGGGCACAGACATATATACAACACACACACACACGAACAACAGGCGAGGGGCCTAGACAATCCACACCCAGTGCTCTGGTTGTGACAAACGGAGGTGCCAAGTAAGGACCACGCGCAACGGCCTAGGAGAGGGCCGTGTGCTCTGCTATCCTGAAGGAGACGGAGAACACGTTCTCTAGGCCGGTCTACAAGATGCTGCCAGACCGAGTCAAAGGACCGGCCTCCCCAAGAGCACGTGCCTCTGGGCGCCGGGGGCCACGTCACCAGGGCTCAACAGGCCGCCTATACTTCAGTATGCATCCATGCTGTGGGCAGGAAGAGACCACAAGGTTAAAGACCAAAGAGCAGCAGCTGAGCCCAGAGCCTCCAAGATCTCCCAGCTGTGGTGGCAGGAGCAGCCCCACATCCACCCCCATCCCCTTCCCCCTCCACAGGACCCTCGCGGAGGGCGGGCCTGACCTCAGGCTGAGGGGGCAGTACCTGTTGAAGGTGGTGAGTGTGATCACCTCAAGCAGCAGCTCTAAGCCGCAGAAAAGGAGCAGGATGGCACTCATCACAGCTTCGAGGCGCAGAACGTAGGTCTGCAGCAGGAGGTAATAGAAGGCCATCACGGCTGACGGAAAGGTCATGGCCAAGCTGATCGCGAGAGGCATCATCCTTTGACAGAGGTTCCCTTTCGTGGCTGTCAAGACAGGTACAACACAGGCCCTAGGAGGTCACCTCCAGTGGCCTGCCCTGAGCAACGAGGCCATGGTGGGAAAGTGGATCAGGGTGAAAGTCCGAGCGCAATTAGATGAGATTTTTAACCACTGCTCATTCCAAATTCATCCAGGCTTGTGGTGAGGGGAGACCTGGTCTCGGGGAAGTCATCAGTTAGGACCTTTGGTTCCGCTCTCTTCTCCAAGAGGGGCACTTGGGATGACTACAGCAAGGAAGTACGTCCCTGACACCCACGTGCATATGAAGGGCTTTGGAAAGGAACCCCCCAGCGGGCAGCTAGGTGGCGTAGTGGATAGAGCACCGGCCTTGGAGTCAGGAGGACCTGAGTTCAAATCTGACCTCAGACACATAACGCTTACTAGCTGTGTCACCCTGGGCAAGTCATTAACCCCCACTGCCCAACTAAAAAAAAAAAAAAAAAGGAAAGGAGCCCCCAGCTGCGTAGCCCACTGCTAGGGTGACAGGCACCAGGAGAACCACCCAGTGCCCTGGCTGCCACGTGTACAGAGGAAGGAAAGGAGGAAGTTCACAGAAGCCAGGGACAGTCCTCCAGACAGGCGGGCAGTAAAGGCTGGAGCAGACGATCCTCCGGCCCCCTGACCTTCCCTTGGGCCACACAAGGAACTTCAGGCCAGGGACAGTTTCTGGCTGTAAGTTGCAGGGATCAGCCACTTACCAAAAAAGAGGCGGATGATTTCAATGCCAAGGTAAAGGAAGAGCATGACCAGGTCAAGAACTAGGTTGGCGGTTGGGTATGGTAACAGGAGACCTGTGATCAAAGCCAAAGGTTGCAGGAGGCAGGGGAGAATAAAGAGGGAGAGGCCCTTATTGCGGGCACAAACACCTGGAGGAGCCCTCTCCAATATTCCTCAAGCACTGGGGTCCCATCACGACCTGGGGGGGGCGCGCCGGTCTCACACCCCAGCCCCTGGTCATTCAGGCTCTCCAGGCACAGCTTTGGGGGGGGTGGCCCTGGGGGAAGGGGCGGGGCGGGCAGGAGGGAGGGGGCCCGGTGTGATACCCCAGCCCCTCGTCCCTCAGGCTCTCCAGGCACACCTTTGGCAGGGGGCCGGGGGGGGGCACGCTGGGGGGCGCAGTCAGGTGGGAGGGAGCCCGGTGTGATACCCCCAGCCCCTGGTCATTCAGGCTCTCCAGGCATAGCTTTGGGGGGGGGTGACCCTGGGCAGGAGGGAGGGGGCCCGGTGTGATACCCCAGCCCCTGGTCCATCAGCCTCTCCAGGCACAGCTTTGGGGGGGGGTGGCCCTGGGGGGAAGGGGCGGGGCCGGGCAGGAGGGAGGGGGCCCGGTGTGATACCCCAGCCCCTCGTCCCTCAGGCTCTCCAGGCACACCTTTGACAGGGGCCGGGGGGGGGCACGCTGGGGGGCCAGTGCCGGGGCTCCACGCTGGGCGGGGGTCGCACGCCTCACCTTTGTACATGAACACGAAAAGCTCCAGCAGGAAGTAGGTGGCGCTGTACCAGCCATTGAGAAAGAGCAGGATCTCCAGGGAGATGGACGACAGCCTGCGGCCTGGAGGGGGAGGCCCGAGGGCGGTGAGCGGCTGGGCCGCGTGCCCCCCCACCGCCCTCGCCGTCCGTCCCCCGCCCGGCCGGGCTCCCCCGCGCTCACGGCCGCGGCCAGAGCACTCCTCGCCGTAGTCCCATGGGGAACCCGAGGCCCGGGCGGGGGTCCCCGAACGCGGAGACTCACACACCTCGGGCAGCTCACCTCGCGGTGCCATCGCCACTCAGTCCCCATGGAAACTGCTGGCGCGGCGCCCGGGCTCCTGGAGACCAGCTCGGCGCCCGCCGGAAGTGAGGGGCGGGGCGGGGCGGGGCCTGCCGGAAGGGCCGCTCTAGCCGGCGGCCGCTCGAGCTCGGTGGGTGTGGCCGTCCCGAGCACGCGCAGAGGCCTGCAGCGAGGCGTTCGGGCAGGGGCGGGGCCTCTCGGGGGCGGGGTCTCCGTCTAGGGAAAGGCGAGGCGGAGGGAAACTGGGTCGGCTCAGGGCAGAGGCATGGGGAGGGGGGCGCGCGGAGACGGGCTGGGACGTCCTCCCGGAGCCCAGCGGCCCCTCCCCGGACGTCTGCTCTCTTCTCTGCGCAGATCGCGGTGCCTCAGAAGGTCCGCATTTGTTCCCCCGACGACTCTGGGGGGCGGGGCTGCTACTGCCCCCCTTTTACACCTGGGGACACTGAGGCAGGCAGCGGCGAGCCCAGACACTGTCCTGCGCAGGACTCAGACCCACCCTCCCGTCTCAAAGTCAGGCGCGCCCCTCCTCCCCTCAGACCCTCCTCGAGGGTCCGCTTCTCCTCCCTCCCTCTGGACTCACACACGTGCCCGGCCTAGAAAGGGCCCCTAATTGTCGGGCCTCCCCCTCCCTCTCCTCCGAGTGCGTGCTTCTGAAGGAGAAGGCGGAGCCCCGTGTGCGCGTGCGCACACACACACACATACACCCGCCACACCGTCCGTGCATACACGCGCGTGCACACTCTCAGCACACCCTCTGTGTACACTCCACCTCAGCACACACACCCAACACACCCTTCGTGCACACAACCCCCCAGCACACGCTCTGCTCCGTGCACGCGCGCACACCCCTACACACTCTCCGTGTACACTCCTTCACCTCTCAGCACACGCCCCCGTGCACACACTCGCACCCCGAGTGCACACCCCCCTTCCACCCACACCCTGCACACCGGCCTCTCCTGCCTCGAGCCGTTGTCCCGTCCTGTACTCAGTGAAAGACAGCAGCCCCCTCCTACCTCCAGGGCCAAACAAACAGAAAACCCTCTGCTCGGCATCTAAAGCCCTTCACAGCCTTTACAATCTACAGGTCAGGCCAGGCTGGCCTTCCTGCTGCTCCTTGCCTGAGAGGTGCCTTCTCCCTCCTCCACGCCTTTTCCCTAGCTGTGCCCGTGCCTAGAGTGCCATCCCTGCCTTGACTTCCTTGAGTCTCAAACCTCACCTTCCCCAGAAGGCCACCCTGCGCTCCCCCCTCCCAGTGCCTTCTCTCTGGGATGGCCTCTGCAGTAGAGACAGTGTGTCCTGGGTGATTGCCAGGTGGCATTAGGCCAGGAGCCCCTTAAGGGCAGGCACTGGCTTGTCCACTTTCTTTGTATCTCTTCTCTAAGGGAAGACAACATTCATATATAAACATCATATACAAAAAATACACCAATGCAAGGTAATTTTGCAAAGGACTTTTCTCACAGTCTCGTGAGGAGGTACTGGAAAGCACTTTCCCCATTTTACAGAGGAAGAAACTGAGGCTAATAAAGGCTGAGGCCTGGCCTTGAGTCCAGCTCCCTCCCTGGGCTCCCCCATGGCGCTGGGGCTGACCACAGTGTGGTTCTGTGCACACAGTAGGAATCAATAACTATTCACTGAACTGGTGAGCTAGTCTAGGAGCACAGATGGTCAGCTGAAGCAAGCTTGCCAGGCACTGCAGGCAATCTCATGTTCAGCTTGAGGAAGGTGGGGGGGGAGCCAAGAAGTGAAATGGCCCCTCAAAGGCCGGGTCCACAGGGACTCTGCGGGCACCACCATGCAAAGAAACAGATAAGCCAGCCTCGGACATTTATGGCAAAAGGGATACATCTATTTCCTAGTTTCAAAAATACATACAAAAAGGCTCTAGGCGCAGCGCCTCCAGTCCCAAGTCTACGCGTGCTAGTGTGATTCGCTGCACAGCCTGCCCCCCAGCGGAGGCAGAAGGTACAAAAGCTTCAGTAAATGCTCCGAGGTGGAAGAGCCTGTCCTTGCAGGGACACGCGCTGGGTGGGAGAGGACTGTGGAGTGAGAGCTCGCCTGGCCCTCGCCCTCCCCGGGCCCCCAGGGATGCAGCAGGCAGGGTTCTCTCAGAGTGGCTGGCCAGGAGGCAGCTGAGCAGATCCCACATCTGGCTGACGGAGAAGAGGTCAGCTTCGGACCTGGGTGAATTCCTTACGTAGCCACAGAGAATCCTGGTAGAACCGAGGATCGCCCAGGCGGATGGCTGTCCTCTTGTAGAAGTAGCAGTAGAGAACAGCAGCTGGGGACGATAATGGGAAAAAGGCCTTGAAGGTCCTCGCCTCTAGGCTGCTTCTCTGGGGAGATGACGTGGGAGAAAACAGGACCCAGAAAGGGATCACGCTCCCAAGCACCACCAGGCGTGGTGGTGGGAGGGAATGGGATTGGGGAGTTCTCAACCTCCCTACCCCTGGAGGAGCCCGCTGCAATGCCCTGCAGGTGAGATGGGGAGCCAGGAGCATGGCAGCTATGAGGCCTGTGCTGCTGGGGCTAGCGGGAGGGGGGGGGGACGCACTGGGGTAGAGGGATGTGGTCCTTACCCAGCCTCTGAAACACAAACAGGGTTTGAAGGCCATCTGTCCAGATAAAATGCTTCGAGCTTTTCCAGCGCAGGTTCTAAAGGAGGGAAGCAATCATGGAAAAGCCAGCTATCAGCGGTGTCCCTTGCTCTGGCTGTACTCCCCCCCCCCCAGCATGGCTCGGCGTGCGCCGCCCAGCTCTTTTCCGTCCACAAACCCGTGATGTTCTCAGGCCGTCCTCCCACTGACTGCCCCACAGGAGCTTGGATTGCTCCACCCTGGCCACTCGGATGGCCTCCAATCCCTGGGGCTCACCGTGCTGAGGCCAAACATAGTGCTGACACCCAAGGGGCAGAGCCCAGGCGTTCAGAGCTCCCGTGCTCCCCTGGGATTACCGACAGCGCCGCTGTTCCTGGGGACACTTTCCTAATCGACTAACCAAGCTCCTTTTTACTGGGAAGGGATGATGGAGTGCAGCCATTCCCTACTCAATGCTTTCTCAAGCACTTCACTGCTTCCCTCACTAGGAAGGGATAGTGACTACGAGGCCCAGTCCTGGGACTCCTCCTCTTGTCTCGATGTCTGCTCCTGGTGGCCAAGGGCCCAGGTGTACTCAGAAGTAAACAGCTGGGCTCAGCAGCTTTCCAAAATAAAAGCAGAACCTATTTTGGCTTCAGCGCAAAGATCCCATAAAATCCTCTTAACCCCCCTGCCGGGGGGGGGTAGCACAAACTAAGGAGCTCTGCCAGCTTAGTGCCATCCCACCAACACTGGCTGGCTTCCTTCTTGTGAGCTCTGCTGCTCTCCTTCTGAGCAAACGGGGGAATGGGAGGGCTGGAGTCCTCAGAATCCAGGCCGTCCCCTAAGCCTCCCTCTCGCAAGGCTCAGGCAGACTGTCTTGGAAGAGGCTGCTTCTCCTCATCCACGACAATTCAAAGGGAGGGAGCTAACGTTCTGCCGGATGTCAGGGTCGCTATTCTCCCAGAAAGCTCAACGTGCCAAGTCAGTGGCCACCACCCGCATGTGAATGTTCCCACCACACCTGGCCATCCTGTGCCACTCCAGGCCAAGTCCTCCCATAAGCTGCCTGCAGTCTACCCCATGTGCTGGGGGCCTCCACCGGGAACAGGGCCTGCCCACTGATGCAGGAGCCCAGAACAGGGCACGCAGAGCTGACTTGTAACTAGCTGGGTTGTCCTGAGCCAGTCATCTCTTTTCTCTTAGGCCTCTGAGAAGGAGGAAACACCCTCTGCCCATGCAGGTTGGCCCCCTCTCTGTAACCTATCATCTTGGGGTGCTTCCACGAGCCTTGCTCCGGCTCACCCTGCCATGAGGCCTGTCCTGTAGCTCGTCATCATGGGCTGCACCAGCCAGCTCACTCCCACCCCGCATGTCTCCTCTGCCCTCGGAGGGAGGCGCAACTGAAACGTCCCAGGAGGACTCCCAGCCCTGCAAGATGGTGGGCACCGTCCATCTAAACAGGGCTGATGTTGTGTGGGCAAGCGTGACTGCACTGCTCTTTTCCTCTTTGTTTTTTAATCTCTGTTCAAAGGGAGAGACTGATGGGTGGTGATTTCATCAGAAATAAAGATGATGTAAAAAGCAAAAGAAATCATTAAATAGAATATTTTTTAAAAAAGAAAATATTAGAAGACGGTCCTTTGTTTCTGGTAGACGACTGAAGTCCTTAAGAAAGCTTCGCTATCTTCTGGAGGTCCTCCTTCTGTTCAATTCGGGGCCCAAATCATTGCCTGTTTGCACCACCACATACATACATATACATAGACACATATATACATACACATATATGTTCATGTGTATATGTACAGAATGATGGATGCACGCTATAGATTGTCCATGTGACTGCCTATCACAATACGTAGTCTTCATTCACTTGGTCCTTCCTGTGTAGACAGTTATGCCAAACTCTTTTGAGCCACTGTGGATCTCTTCTAGGAGGCCCTGCCATGCTCTGGGGCTTCATGTAACCATGGTGTCATCCATAAACAAGAGCTGCCAGAAGACTTCCCGAAAAGAAATTGCCCTTCGTTGCAGATTCTGATCTCCTCTATGACAGTGGCCACTGTTTTCTTCTGTTTGTTGTCCTTTCATTTCCACCATGGATTGCTCTTGGGAAAACTTTTCTTTTTTTGGGTTGGGGGGCGGGGGAGGCAATTGGGGTTAAACGACTTGCCCAAAGTCACACAGCTAGTGTCTGAGGCCAGATTTGAACTTGCGTCCTCCCATCTCCAGAGCCAGCACTCCATGCACCGCGCCATCTACCCACCCCAGAAAACTTTTCTTAATCTCTCATCAGGCTTTCTTTAAACTGGCTTTACCCTCCAGTGCTTCTCTTTCATGAGTAAAAAAAAAAATCTATTAGAACTTTACATCATCTGCCTTGGTTTCTATAACACTGCTTTCTCTTCCTTTTTCTAACTCTTTGATTAACCGTCATCAATGCCCTCCTCACAAAGGTTGTGTTCTGGGCCCACTTTTCTCCTCTCTCTCCCTTCCCTTCTTTGGCGGTCCCATCAGCTCCCACAGGGTCTGTTATCATCTCCAAGTGACTCCCAATCTTTAAATTCACTCCAAATCTCTCTCCTGAATTCCTGTGTTATTAATTGTCCTGGATATCTTGTATGCACCTCAAACCTAACCAGGAAAGAGTGGAGAAGCATTTACTAAATGCTTACTAGATGCTGGGTACTGTGCTAACAGGTTCAAAATAAACCTCATTATTCAATCTTCTCCCCTCCAAAAGGCAGCCACGTCACTCCATCCTCCTCCAGACGTCTTCCAGCCAGCTGGGTTCCCAAACTAAGAGTCCTCCATGACTGTTCCCCTTCCCTCGTCCTCAAGCCCCCCGCACCCAGTCCTGCACACCCATGGCTTCTAACCGGGTCCAAGGCTCATCACTTCCTACTTGGCTCTTGGAAGACACTAATGGGACTCCCCACTTCTGGTCTCTATTTCCTCTGCCATCAGTCCTCCACATAGCTGCCAAACCGACATTGCTAAACATCACTCCCCTCCTCAAAAATCCTCAAAGGTTCCCACTACCTCTAGGATCAAATGCAAAGCCCTCCGTGGCAGGGTTTCCGCTTAATTTTCCTCTTATTTCTCATTACTCATGTTCTTCTCTGGCCCTGATATTCCAACTCGCCCGCGTTTGCACAGGCTGACCTTTCCACCTACAACTGCTCTCTCCTGAGCTGCACTTCTCATCATTTCTACATTCCTTCAGAGCACACCTCAGGCACTCTTCCCTCCTCCACAAGGCCTTTCCTGACTCCACCGGCTGCTAGCATCGTCTCCCTCGAGAATTTACTTGGGGTTTCCTGAAACCATACAAAAGGGAGCTCCAAGTCGTGAGTAAGAGGAGAGATGAAGAACGCTGAGAGAACGCTTTCAGCTCAGGCCTAGTCACGTGGCCGAGGTGCCATGACGAGGCCACAGTCAACAGTGACAAAAAGACAGACAGATTAACGCCCTGCTGGGCCCAACCATCCGAACAAGCAATTTGGAGTTATACTCAGAAGGTGGTTAAACCATTTCCCCCTTTAGCCCAGAGATTTCACTGCTGACAGAAACCCCAAAGTACAAGGAGACCACAGGCCCAAAGAAAGACTTCCAGTGCACAAAAAACATGCACAACTGTTCTTCTTGCAGCAGCAAAGAACGGGGAACCGAGGAATGGCTCAACACACCACGGAGCATGAACGTCAACAAAAATGACTACCACGTTATACGAAACGAGGACTTGAGACACGGGAACTGAGGCAAAGCGAAGAAAGCAGGACCAGGAAAAAGTCACCACGGCAAAGTCAGTGAGGAGAGCCATGACAACCACGAGGGCAGTGAGAGCAGCGGCAAAGCCAGCACAGTCTGTGCGGAGGCGGGCTAGGAGGAGACCGGAGGGCGTGCAGCCTGGCATAGCTGGCTGAGGTCGTGTTCATTTGGTCCAACTTCCCCCCTCATTTTTATTCTGGACCGTCCAGTGTGGTCCTCTGGGAGAGGGCCACGTATAGGGGGTATAAAAACAGACCAAAGACTGAGCAAACAGAAGAAACCTTGGCCCTCTGAGGACCTGCCACCCTGCTCCCATCCTGGCCCCCCACTCACCAGGACCCAGACATGGAGGGGTATGCTGAGAGACAGGTAGATGGCAGTCAGGATGATGGTCCCTTTGAACTTTCGGAAGAGGAGGCTAACAAGCCCAGCCTGGAACACGAAGGTGTTGAAGAACATGAGGAAGATGATGATGACGTTGAAGAGGATGGCGATGTCTTGGATGCTGGGAAGGCACAAACAGCGGATGAGCGGAGGGGTACACGGGTAGGTTCAGTCCATGGAGCCTGCCCTGGCCCTCCCAGGGGTCACAGCGGTGACCTGCAGATCGCGGGGCGGGGTAACTCACATGAAGAGCACCAGCTGGACCACGGGCGCCACGCGCAGCAGCTCCGAGAAGGCGTTCACGAACAGGTCGTAGAGCAGCAGCACGAACTGCAGGGCCAGCACCAGGCTGTAGTTGCTCGTCTGCAGCATCTTCCCTCTGCAGGGCCCGGCCCGCGGGGCGCATCCCCCACGGGGCAGCGTCAAGCCTCGGGACCCCCTTGACTCCTCCTGCCCGTTCTGGACCAAGAGACTGGGGCGGGGGGGGGGGGCAAGAGGGAGCGTCGGTCAGGAACCTCCCCCCTTATTGCTCCAATCCCTGGGCACCGGGGTGGGGCGGAACGCCCCAACACTCAGCCCAAAGCCGTCCTTAAGGGCTCAGCTTACACGACCCACGCAATGTCCCAGGGTGAGCACACCGGCCTGGCCGTGGTATCCCGGTCCGAACCCCGGCTCTGACGCTGATGTCCGGGACTTGCGACTCGTGCCTCCGTTTCCCCATCTGTCCAAGGACAGCTCCTACCTCCGAGTGTGGAGCGATAGCGCTTTGCCAGCCTTAAAGCGCCACGAAAACGGGCACCGCCGCAGCCACAGTGCAGAAGGGGAAAGTGAGGTTCGAGAGGGGCAGCGCCCGGCCCAAGGTCACCCCGCCGGGCTGCGGGGGGGGGGGGCAACAGCTCACCGAGCCAACTGACCTGGCCGGACAAACCTCGGCAGCCCCAAGGTCCCTCCTCCCCTCCCCACTGCCTCCTTCCCCCGGCGTAGAGGATCTCGCTCTCACCTGGGGCAGCCATCCTAGGTTGTCATGGAAACTACAAAGGGCCCGCCCCCCCACTTTCCGGAGGTAGCATTTAAATCCCGGAAGTGCGTAGGGACGCGGGCTCCGGGGCCGCTCTAGCCGCCAGCCCCAGCGCGCCCCTCCATGGTCGAACTGGCGGCCATGTTCATATCCTCTCAGACAAAAGCGCCCAGCAGCCGGCCCCTTTTACCTTCCCCCCACCTAGCTAAAGACCCTTCCGGCCCACTTCATCTCCGCCCGCCTCCTAGTTCCCCGTCCCGCGCAGGGTGCGGTGGGAAGATAACTGTGAGAGGAGCAAAAGGAGGCGGAGATGGGTGGGGCCCAGCGACAGTTGGAGCGCCGGAAGGGACGGAAGCGGAGGCGTAGGACACCATTTCCCAGGCTGCCTCGCGCGGGACCGGAAGCTCTCTAAGGGAAGGGGCTTTCTGGGTGGGTGGGAACCTACAGGACTGGTATGTTATGAAAGGGAAAGGCGGGGCATTCTCCCCTCGGCTCTTTGGAGGCGGTCTCTGGTAAGTAGTTGAGGCTATGGGACTCTCTTTCCCAGAAGCCCCTGGGACGGCCTCTAGCTGTCACGTGGATGGAGTGGTGAGTTGGGGAAGGGGGTGGTGGAAAGGAATGATGGTGGGCTGTCCCAGTTGGGCCATCCGTGGACTTGGGGCGAGGCCTCCTATGGGATCACAAGAGTTAGGACCGGGAGGAACCCTGGAGGCCCGAGGGCCCATCGTACGCTTGGGGAAACAGAGGAAGGCTGGGGGAAAGACCGCCGAGCCCACCTTCCTCCCTGCTCCAACCAGACAGGCCCATTTAACTGATACAGTCGAGGCCGGGAAGGGGTATCGGGCGCGGTGTAGCTCCGTGTCGGGCCGCCAGGGGGTGCCGCAGTGCTCCGAGCCTGGAGCCCGGAGCCCGGAGGACACATCTCTGGTTCAAATCCGACCTCAGACTCTTACTGGCTGGGTGACCCTGGGCAAGTCACCTAACCCTGTTTGCCTCGGCTTCCTCGTCTGGCAAATGGGCTAGAGAAGGAGATGGCAAACCATTCCAGCACCTCTGCCAAGGGAACCCAAATAGGGTCACGGACGCGGCTCTGTTCCGGGCTGCTGCGGTGACGGAGACCCTCCTCCCCCCTCCTGCCTTCCCTGTCCCTGTCCAGGGCTGCCCCCCAGCTCCCGGCCTAGGCCTCAGCCCGGACTCCCCCCTCCCTCCCCCAGGGTGTCGATTTCACCCCCTGCCGCATCTCCCGGAGGCCCCGTGCCCCCTACCTACGCTCTTCTGACACCGTCCCCACCGGGTGCAGGCCGCTGGACTATGGCAACAGCTGTTGGGGAGGGGGCGCCTCTGTCTGTCCCCACTGCGGCCCATCCGAGCGATTCTCCTAAAGTACAGGTCTGACCAGGTCATCAGTAATGCCCGATGGTCCTCTGCTCGGCCTCGAAGCCCTTCATAACCAATCCCTTCCTGCCTTTTCAGTCCTGGCCAAGTGCGCCCTCAGCCGGTAACACTGGCCTCCTGGGGCGTCTTTGAACAAGACCCTCGTCTCTCCGCTCTTCAAGGCCCAGCTAAAATGTGGCACTCTGCAGAAAGCCTTTTCCGAATCTCTCTCGGCTCTAGTGCCTTTTTTTCTTCATTATTTCCTCTTTATTCTCTAGATAACTTGTTTGTACCTGTTTGATTGTTGTAAGCTCTTTGAGGGCAAGCACTATCTTTTGCCTCCTTTTGTATCCCCATGTTTGGTACATACCTACCCTGGAGTAGACGTTTAATGGCCATTGACTCAGAGACCAGTGTTAGAATGAGGATCTCACATAGCGAATACCTCTTAACAACAAATGGCCATTCAGCCTTGGCTACAAGACCTCTAGCGAGGTGGAGCCCTCGGCTTCTTGAGCCTGCCAGCCAGCCTCCTCTTCTCTTGGAGAGCCAGGATTGTTCAGGAAGATTTTCTTCTTGTGTGAATCCTAGCCCTGCCTCTCTCTCACTCCCCCCCCGCCCCTTCTTCAACCTTCGGGACCCCAAAGGACAAATCTAGTTCGTCTTCCACCAGACAGCTCCTCAGACACTTGAGGTGCTTGATTGTGCCCACAAAGTCGTCTTCAGGTTTAACATCCTGGTGCCTTCCCCCGCTCCTCAATGTGACATAGTCTTCAGATCCCTCACCATCCTGCTTTCCCCATTCGGGCTGTCTCTAGAACAGAATCGGCTCTGGCCTTCCCAAAGTGTGGTTTGGTTCAGTAGAACCTCAGGGATGGTCGAATGGGCCTCTCCTACTGGTGACAACGTGTCCTGCAAGCTGCCCTCTACCAGGCGGGTGACTCTGGGAGAAAAAGAAAGAAGCAAAGCTTGGGAATTTATGCTGGTTCTCTGAGACTTTGCCTTTTTTTTTTTTTAAAACTAGCTACCTCTTGAACAATTATTCTCTGGAGTCTAGAATTATGTCAGCATTGAAGTGAAGCCCACAGACTCAGCTAACGTTGGCAGGCTCCCATCTTCGAGCTTTTGTTTTGTTTTGTTAAGAAAAGGGGAAAGGTTACTATTACTTACCCTTACTCCTCCGGCAGTAACCCAGGCTTAGCCTCTTGCTACAAGCATGAGTGTCTTGTGAACTATATTGTAATTTTTAAGAATCCCCTGAGAAAAAGTAGCCCTATCGGATGGCTGGACCCAGCATTGGTTCTGCCCAGGGATTTAGGATCCTAGCTCCACAATGGCCCCTTCTGATGACCAAGGGTAGAGTTAGCAACTCTTAAGCCAAATGAGAGGTGAGCACACCCCCCCAGCCTGACTGGTCACACCTTGTCAGTGACATGCTTAGATCGAGACACCTTAGAGGGTTAGAAAGTTCAGTGATCTTGGGTGAGACGCCTTCCTAGTGGTACTGATTCTAAGTCCTCTGCTCCTTCTCAGCTTCCACACTTCCCATCCACAGCTCTCTTTAGACCTTCCACAAAGGACCCAGGCCATCCGCTGGAGGCTTGCCTTGCCTTGAGGCTGTCTGTCAGTTCAGACACGCTTGCTTTCAGGCCTGCTGTACAGCAGTCTAAAGCCGGCTGCTCAACACCCACTTCTTGTGTGTGCAGAGCTGTTTCCACCAGCCAGCTTTTGAGGGTGACCCTTGTATTAACAGGCCTGGACTTGAAGAAGACCTCAAAGGACCAAGCTGTGTCGGTTGGCCCAGCACATTTGCACGTACAGAGCAAGATTAAAATTGTTATTTCAAAGTAAAATTAATGTTATTTTCTTATAATTATTTGTATTCACGAATAGGGACATTGTAGTAAATGACAGTAAGATTATAATTATTTTAAAATTATTTAAAATTCTTCAGTCCCTTGACACAATTGACAGGCTTGATCCTTCTAGGGCTAAGTGCCTTCTGTGTGCTTGGCACTGGAGACAGAATACACCAGTGAGTCAGTCTCTGCCCTCCAGGAACTTACATTCCAAAAGTGGGGGAGGGAGTGAATAGGGCTGTGTGACCTGGGAAGGCCCCAGGGTGGTGAGTGGGGCCTTAGGGCAGCTGAGTGACAGAGCAGTGGTACTGTTGATTCAGTGACTGTTCGTAGAGCCAGATTTGGAAAGTGAGGTGTGTGTGGGAGGTGTAAATCCATGGGAGCTGAGTGCCTCCTGGGAGCCAGGCGCTGCGCTGTGCAGAGGATGTAACACCAAAATCGAGATGCGCCCTGTCCTCAAGGAGCTTACCTTATAAGGGCACAAGACAATGTGTGGGGGAGGGGTGCTGGGCCGGGCGCTGGTAGAACCACAGGGCATGGATAGACTTGTTCGGTGAGTATTCTGTAGCTGGAGACTCGGGAGCAGCCTGGCATGAAGGTGGCCCCGGGCAGGTCTGGCAGCCTGTGGAGAACTCTCAGCCCTCAGGGCCCCAGACCTTACCTGGGCAAGCAGAGGGGAGAGCGAGACTTCTGGGAAGGCCCGGGTTTCTGGCAGACTTTTGGCCAGATGGGATGTGAGTCAGAGCCCAGGGCTGGCCCCAAGGCTCAGAGCTGACTGGATTCACTTTCTGGGGGTGGCATGATTTCTGGAGGTCGGGTCTAGAGGTTCCCTGGTGACCTGGTGCTGGGTGGGTCACAAAGCATGGTCCTGGGCCAGCTAGTGACATCCCATAGGTTAGGTGACTTTATACTGGTTACCTCAGCTCTCCATCCATCAGAGCAGGGCTGCACAAAGCTGCACACACTGGGAGTTGGGCCACGGTGTTTGCAGGTCGCATCCAGAGGCTCCTTGTGGGGGGGGGGTGAGGAGAAAAGGTGGGCAGAGCAGATGGCAAGAGGCCTGCATAACTTCAGTTTCCTATGGATGGGGATCCCGTGGGGGGCATTCTAACCCTCACCTGACTGAGGCTGATGACCCATTTGATGGGTCTGGGGTGGAGGTCACAAACCCACAAGCCTGATAGGAAAAATCCTGTCGCTGCCAGGATATCTGTGGCACGCTCTTCTTGTGCTCACCTCCTGGGGGCTCCTGCTCGGTTTTTTTCCCTTCACTGACCTCTGGAACCTGCCCAGGGCTCGCCAGCTCAGCGCCTGGCCAGCTACTTGGCTTCTTTGTGCAAGCTGCCAGTTCACAGGGGAGCCCAGGAATGGGGGCAGGTGGGAGAGAGCTCAGCTGGTGCCAGCTGTTTCTCCTTGCCCTCTTGTCCCCTGAGGGCACCTTGACTTTCCTGGCTGAGCCTGAAGGGTCTTTGGGAGGCTGCATATGAGTGGGCAGAGCCCACTGTGCCTTGGGCTCTGCCCCAAACACTGAGGGCCCCGGTGACACACTCATCAAATTGAGGGCAGAATTTCTAGTGGGGCAAACCCAGCTGAGGAAACAGACCCAGAGGATGGAAATGACTTGCTCAAAGTTATGTAGGTAGAGAGGTTGCATTGGTGTGGCTGCCCAGAAGATGCAGAGCAGGCCTAGGCCTCTGTGGTAGGCACACTGTGCCCTGGCCCTGGTCTTTTCCCTAATGGCAGCCTAGGGCAGAGGTCCCGGAGAGGTGTGGGGACCATGTCCCATCACGACCTGGGAACCGCTTGGTAATTTTCCCTTTCTGAGCAGCCTTTGTGGGAAATCTCAAAATAGTCTTCGTGGTCCTCAGACCGTGACCCGCTGCGCTTCGCCCTCTTCCTCTGGAGTTTCCCTTCAGTTTGAGAAAGCAGAAGCAGGGGCAGCAGATGTGGCACCGTGGGCTATCACTTAGAGTGTTTGCAATGTGTTTCCAAGGCTGCCCCCTCACAAGAGCCACAGCTGTCCAGCCATGGCTGGGGCCCCCTCAGGCCTGCTCCCAGCACCCTTGTGTCTGAATGTTCCTCATTCGCTCTTCTTGGGGGAGGATCCTTTTCCCTCTGGTAAAGGAATCTGTCCTCACAGCTCCACCCAGGCCGGACCTGAGGAGTTGTTAGATGCCAGGGCCAGGCTCCGCCCACCCCTCACCAACTGAAAATCTGACTTACCTGGCTCCTGGAATACTTGGGCAAGGCACATAGGCCGAGCCTGTGTAGACAAGACGTGAGGGGCTGGGGTGAGAGAGAGAGAGAGAGGGGTCCCCTCTTGGCGGTGCAGCCCTAGTGAGGAGTGAGTGACCTGCTCTGTCCTTTCCCAGGAGCATGATGGCCATGGGACAGTTCTATCTCTTCTCCCTGGTCCTGGGCACCCTGGGCTCCCTCTGTGTGCTCTTCACTGTCTACTGGGTACAGCACTGGCGTGGCGGCTTTGGCTGGGATGGCACTAATCTCATGTTCAACTGGCACCCAGTCCTGATGGTGACTGGCATGGTCGTGCTGTATGGGGCTGGTGAGTAGGGAATGGATGGGCCCCAGGGAGGGGCAGAGGGAGGTGTGGGCCCTCTCCTAGCTCCCCCACTGGCTCTCTAGGCCTGGGGCCATTTTGCCTTCCCCTCCTTGGGGGAAGGGCAGCTCTGGGATCATGTACATCACTGACTTGGGAATTGAAATCACCGTGACCCTGCAGCTTCCTGTATCATCTTGGGCACTTCCCTGAGCATAGGTTTACCCATCTGTCCAGTGGGCATGATTCCTTCTTAGACCATTTACCCCTTCACTGGATTATTGTAAAGCAAGCACTTTGTGATCTGTGGGGCTCATTGATCTAAGCTCTCCAGGGCCATTGAAATAGGAGTTGGTACCGCTTGGGGAGCTCCGTAATGAGCCCCTTGGTAAGATTATAAGGGAGCACCTGGGCTGGGAGCTCCTCACATTGGTGAGCAAGGCTCTGACCAGGACAAGAAAGCACAAGCCAGGGGGGCTTTGAATGAAAGCCTTGGCCTAAGCATGGCTCCTGGCAGCCTGTAGAGGCTGGAACCTGTGCCCTGTCCTGGCCCCATGGGGCTGGCCTTAGCCTGCTCTTTGCTCTTTTCTCTCTCTCAGAAACGTGGCACAGGCCAGTGGGTCAGGCACTTAGACTGGCTTGGAGTCTGGGGGCTCAGTGAAAAGAGGCCCCGGGTTCCAATCCTACCTCAGCAGTATACTATCCGTGGGAGGGTCCTAGGGCAAGAACGTCCTCTCTGAGCCTCAGTTTCCTTATTTGAAAAATGAGGCGGTTGGAGTGCATGGGCCTTTGCAGCCCCAATGTTGACTTCAGGGTCAAATGGAACCCCTAAGGGGACCCCGCTCCCCTTCCCCTTTGGGGCTGTTGGGAGGCTCTATGCTGAGGGACGGGCTCTGGCTCCTGGTCTTCCCCCAGCCTCCTTGGTGTACCGCCTGCCCCAGTCCTGGGTGGGGCCCAAGTTGCCGTGGAAGCTGCTCCATGCGGTGCTGCACCTGGTGGCCTTTATCCTGGCGGTGCTGGGGCTGGTTGCCGTCTTTAACTTCCACTACCACAACCGGATCTCGAATCTCTACTCCCTGCACAGCTGGCTGGGGATCACGGCCGTCGCCCTTTTTGCCTGCCAGGTGGGTGTCCTTCCCCGACCCGGGCCATCAACACATTTCTGAGGGTCTGCTAGATCTGTGGGTCTGGAGCCTTGGCCTTCTGATGGGCCCAGTGCCAACACGCCTACTCAGAACAAACATGACTCATAAAACTCGGGATAAAGCTGGAGATGGTCTAAGGAAGTAAACGGACACCATCAGAATCCAGATGTAGGCATTGTGGCTCCTGGAATGGGAGTTTGTGGTGCAGGATCTCCTGGTGTGGAAACTTACTCCACTTATGCAGATGCCTACTCCTAGCTGAGAGAGCTGCCAGGGGCCTCGGGAGGGAAGAGCCTTGCCCAGGGTCATGGCTGTTTGTGTCCGAGGCAGGACTAGAGCCCCCCAGATCTTCTGAGTCTGAGGCTGGCTCTGTACTCACACTGCCACCAGGCCTCCTATTTGCATAAATAGAAAGTGAGGCCTTTTGGACAGGAATGAATGATCTGGACAGCTCTGCTCTGGGTCAGGGGAGAGCAGAGGCAGAGTTTGGAAGACTGTCCAGATGTAGCATTACTGGAAGTAGAAAATTCTTTATAGGACTCAGGATATCCCATGGAAATGGAGGGAATTTGGGGGGGGGGGGAGAAGGCAAATGGCTGGCTCCTCCCTCCCCTGGATCCATTGCTCTCTGCCCTCAGTGGCTTCTGGGCTTTACCATCTTCCTGTTACCCTGGGCATCGCTGTCGCTCCGCAGCCTCCTCAAGCCCATCCATGTCTTCTCTGGGGCTATCATCCTGTCCCTGTCCATGGCCTCGGTCCTTTCCGGAATCAACGAGAAGCTCTTCTTCAGTCTGTGAGTCTCCTGTGGGGCCCTGGCTATTCTTTCAAGGTGGGCAGTGGGATCCATCCAAGCTGGAATGAGTGTGTCCCCAGACCCGCCTCCTGAGGATGGGCTGTCTGCACAGGGAGGGCCAGGGGACTGGGGCCGGGGGGCTTACCGGCCACCTTCCTTGAGTTACCACCTACCTACTGATTGGGAAGAGAAGAGAATCTGTCTTTCTCCAAGAAGAGGTTGGTCAGCCAGTCAAGCGGTTCTTGGGTACCTGTGGGTTCATAGCGTCATAGCAGAAGCCAGTCAAACATACTGCTAGGTTTTTGTAGTCCCTGGCCTTGACGCTGGGGAAAAGCCTCAGGAGAAGGCCTTTTCACTGGGCCTTAGTGTAGGGGAGGCCTATGCTGGGGTAGAGACAGATGGCGAGTCATGGAGGGGGGGTCCAGGGAGAGCCACTGTCGCCCCACAGGAAGAACGCAACTGCCCCCTACTCCAGCCTCCCCCCGGAGGCCTGCTTTGCCAACATCACCGGAATGCTGGTGGTCGCCTTTGTGGGAATTGTGCTCTACATCCTCCTGGTCTCGTCATGGAAGCGGCCCGAACCAGGCGTCCTGACCGACAGACAGGTACGGGTCCATGTGGCCAGAAAACAAGGGGAAGGCAGTGAGGGCTGGGGGAAGAGCCAGGGGACAGGGTCTGGGGCTGGAAGAGAGGTGAGGAAGCTGTGGAGAGAAAATAACGGCCCATTGAGACACAGTTTAAACCCTGCCTCAGACTTGAGCCACGCAACCCTGGGCAGGGGTCCAGGATGCATCAGAGCTGGTCTGACCCCTCATTTTATCAATGGGGCAATGGGCCCAGAGAGGGGAGGTGATCTTCACAAAGTCACTCAGACAGGAAGTAGAAGAGTCCAGATTCCAATGCAGGACCTCCGCCGTTCCCTTGGTTTAAGCGTCTCTAAGGCCCCTTCTCACCTTGATATCTGGTGATACTTAGAGGGGTGCATTTTGTGAGAGAAAGCACAGATAAGCCCATCTCCCCACATGACCTTGTTAGACCTTAGCTGCCCCATGCAAGGACAAGGACAAAGGTCAGAGAAGGGAAGATTCACATTTTCAATAAGGGTCTTTCTTGCCTTTTCCTTACAAATGGCTTCCACAAAGCCAGTCTTAATGGACTGGTGGGATGGGGGCAGTTGGGGATGAGTGGAGTCCCTGGTCTAGGCCTTGGGTTGGAATGAAGGGCTGGGCCAGCATGTCTCCTTGGGAAGACTGTGGCTTGGGCTGGGCCCCTGCATCAAGTGGGGTCCCTGCTGGTGTCGGGCATTGGTCTGTGGAGCCTGAGGCAGGTGACAGTGACTCACATCCCCTCACCTTTCTTTCTAGCCCCTGCTGCATGAAGGGGAGTGAGGCGTGAAGGGCCCCCCAGGAGCTCCACTCTTCCCCCAAGTTCTGCTCTGCTGGGGGCTCTGGAATTGCCTGGAAAGGGGCCGGGGTCCCAGACTTCTTCTGACCTCTGTGCTTGTCCTGCTCGCTAGCCACGGGGCTCCTCACCTGCTTCCTGGACAGCGCTGGCTTCCGCACCTCTTGGCCCCTTTCTCAGGTCCTCCTGTGAGGCTCTGCTGTTTTGTCACAATGTCAGCTACGTCATGAGTAGGCTCTTGGAGATTCTCAACTAACTCCTCTTAGGCAGGAGCAGGGCTGCTAACAGAAGGGTTGGGTCTGCGTCCAGGGTGGCCCTCTCAGTACCCGTCTGCTCCTTACTGTCCACGGGCCTGGGCTGGGGTGGGCAGGGGTGAGTCTGGGTGGGCCCCAGCCACCCAGTGTGCAGGGGAGGTCCTCTGCTCCTCATCTTCTCTCAGGCCTTTGTAAAGTAACAGGGATGGTGTGACTGTCACTTCCTCTAGCTTCGGTTCCAGCTGGGACCTGGATCTCGGCCTTACCCTGTTGCCTACATGCCGGTTGCGTCCGGGCCCTCCCAATAACTCTGCCAACCTGTCCTCTCAAGAAACTTGCATCATAGTGGGGACTAATAACAGGGCTGCCTTTGGACTTGATCTTCCAGACTCTTCTCGCCCCTCACCCCTCACTAGGCTGGGACCTGCTCCTGGCCCCTCAGGTTCAGCCTCCTAACACCCCCCACTCCCAGCACCCTTCCTCAGGAACTCTTCACACTCTTGGAAATGGTGGAGAAGACTCGGGTGGCGCCATCATCCCGGCAGGGCCAGGGGCACCGTTGGACCATCCGGCTTCCAGAGCTGCCTCTTCTTCACCCATCCCTGCCCACTTGGACACAGCCAGATTTCCACCCCCTCTCTGGGCTGGGCTGACCAAGGCCCCAGGAGGGCAGCATGAACCCTCCCAGAGCGAGTCCCCATACGCCACGCTCGGGCGCAGATGCCTCACAGGAGACTCAGACTCCTGAGCTAAATCTACTTCTCGCTCCTTCTGAGGCTGGTCTTTTCCTTGTTTCCCCTTCTCATCGCTGGTGTGGTCCTCTGCTTCCCTCCCAAACCAGGCCTGGCTTGGCCAAGGGCTCAGGCTCTCCGAGCGTGGCCTGCTAGTTGGACAGCAAACCCAGGAAGGTGTAGCACTCTCATAGCTCTCCTCGGAGCACTCAGCCCACTGGCTCGGCGAGTGGCCCGCATTTGCAGGCCAGGGTGCAGCTGGGCTCAGCCTCTTTGGGCTGCCTGAAAGTTTTCATTCAGTGTATTTTTAAGGATCCAAGACTGCCAGGCTTTCTGGCTTGATGATATCAGCAAATTTTGCCTCAATGCAAAGGGAAGACACACTTTCTAAGGAGCGTGATCGGAGCTGAGCTTATTTAGTGTAGAGTGGGGCCGATCCTGCAGGGGGGCTGGGGCTGTGTGGCCTCTGGCCAGGGTTCTGTCGGAGCTCCTCCTGCCCTGCTAAGGCCAAGGCCTTAGCACTGCTGAGCTTGAGGGGAGGTGGCTTTTCTACTTGTGAAGATCCTTTCTAACTTCCTAAGTTGTAATCTTTTAACCCCTCCTTACCAGTAAAGTTGTTTTTACTGCATTTCCTGGTCTGTGAGTCTGACTGGCAGCATGTAGAGCTTTGGAGAGGGCCCAGCTCACTCTGAGGGTCTGATTTCAGATCTGCAGAGCCCAAGACAGCCTGTGAAAGCTGCCTGACCCTCACCTGGCCAGATTGTGTGCCTGTGTGACTTGTGGATCTGGGCTGGGCCCTCCCTCCTACCAGTGTAGGGGCCAGTGGGACTTGACATTTAATTAGAACTCTCAGTGTGGAAATTTCTTCTACCAAAGCAGGATGGCAGTTAGCCTGCAACTTAGACTTAGCTACTGTTAAGTGGTTGGCCTCAGGCAGGCAGTCAGTCTGTCTCTCTGACTTCAAGGCTGCCTATCTGTCATGCCTGAGAACAGAACCAAGTAATTCTTCACAAGAGGACTACACATAGTTCCTTCCTAATGACCATGCTACCTTCCTTCCCACTGCAGACATGGCCTGTCTAGACCCTTCTTTAAGGCTGCTGTTGCTTTATATTCAAAGATAGCCGACGTGTCGTAAAGCATGGCTCAAGACCCCATAATGTCCTGCAGATGAAATGCTTCGAGACCATTTTGTGTGGCCACGGCTATTGTCATCAGAGAGAGCCCAACTGAGGTTGGAGAGGACCTGGATGGAGACTGGCCTTTGCCCACCTGGGCTCCCATCAGGCTCTCTCTCTTTTGTCCATCAACTACATACTCCGTTACAAAACAGTGCCACTGTGAGGCCCTGGAGATGTGCCCAAGTCTCTGCCCAGTGGGCCTATGTGACTGACTTGGCCCCCTCCTCTTCTTGGTCAGGCCAGAACTTAGCCAAAGTCACCCTTGATGAGAGGCAGAAGTTTGGGAAGATGAGAGGACTGGCCTTGTACATGACTCACAGCCTACAACAAAGTGGAATTTGCGGGTCCTCTGGCCCTCCTGCCCCCATCTGAGACACATCTGGTTCTTTGGCCACTCACTGTACCTGCAAACGGGTTCTGTCTGCCCTAGATATCCCCATCGGCATTCTTGCCTGTACTGGGCATGTGCTCCAAAGAGTGGAAATCCCAGGGTGCCAAGTTCAAATCTGGCACTTCTCATCCGTCATGGCTGTTAAGAGATTGACCCTTTGCAGATGAGCCGGTGGGATTCATCTCCACCTCTGGCTCAGGCTTTGAGCAACCAGTGGGCATAGCAGGGCAGGTAGGGAAGGAGGCAGCCGCCACATTACACCAAATTTGCTGCAGCTTGACGTGATTTATTGGGGTTAGCCCTCTGCCTATTTATTGACAAAAAGGCTTACAAAGAGAGATCCTTAAAAACATGTTCACCCTGACAGGTACAGGAAGAGTCTTTATCACTGAGGCATAGGGCTGACCATCTGGAGGAGTTGGGATCCTGCCAGACTCTGCTCCGCCCTCCCTGGAAGGAGAGGGGATGATGGGGAGCAGAACCGGTCAGGCCCAGAGCCAACACGGCCTTTTGTGGCAAGGCCCAAAGGAGCAGGGCTGAGGAACCGTTCAGAGCTCCAGAGCCAGTCTTCCCTTGGCCAGGGACAGCCTGCCTAGTTCTGGGTGTTAAAATCAGGGCTTCCTGGATGACTGGGGGGACGGTGCCTTCGAGAGCAGTTCTTAACAGGAAAAATTATTATTTTGATACTTATATTGCAGTATACTTGATTTCCTCTGTGATCTGATTATTTTGTGCATTTAAAACATGATTGTGCAAAGGGGTCCTTTTCACAAAAAAGGGGAGGCTGCCTCAGGCTAGGCAGAGGCCATGGTACCAAACGCCATGGAGAGGTGGAGGTGAGGATGTGGGCCCTGAGCAGCTGCACAGCAGCGGTTGGGGAGAGGGACGGGACTGGATGGGGAAGGAGAGTCACGCGCTCTGGCTCTGTAACGTCTCCAGGATGGCCCGGAGCATGGCGGCGGCGGCCACGGCCCCCGGGGTCCGGCTGCTCCAGTTTGGCCGAGCTGATGTAACTGGCTCGCCCAGCTCCAGCTTCCATCTTTTTGGTGGCCTCTGCCGCGGCCTCGGCACTCTGCAGGAGAAGGCACAGGGGCTCTGTTCCTGTCTGAGTTTGGGAGCAGCAGGCTAGCTATGCAGTCCTACTGCCCTGCTGGCCCTGGCGGCTCCATCTCTGCCAGTATGCCCGAAGCCTTGGCACTAGGTACCTTTGGCAGCTCTACCAGGAAGAAGCATTGGATGGCTGCGTGTGCTGGGTCACTGCATGGCCCAAACGCGTTTCCTTCCAGCGCTGGTGCCCCCCCCCCATGGCCCCCATAGAGGTTCTGTTCTTCATCTTCCTACAGCTCAGGCCTGACCATGTCAGTCCGCTCACCTCTAGGATTTAAACTCCTTTGCAGTGCCCCGTCTCTTCTCTGCCCAGGCTGCCTTCCCTCCTCACCTCCGAGGCCCAGGATACCTCGCCAGCTTCCCCTCCCAGGCTTAGCTCCCGAGCCAGCCTCTGTGGGTAGCCTGGGCTGATGCCCTCGGCCCCTCGAGCCTGCTCTGCCCTCCTCAAACCATCACGTACATGCTTACCTGCAGACATCCCTCCCCATACAGACACACGTGTTAGAATGTGCCACAGGATCAAAGCATTAGGATTTAGAGAGAGAAGGGACGTTGAGAGGCCAGGATGGGGAAACTGAGGCACAGAAAGGGTCACACAGCTCTCAGTGTCTGAGGCAGGATTTGAATTCAGATTTTCCAGCCTCCAAGTCCAGGGCTCTAGCCACTGCTCCACACTGCCTCTGTTCTCTCTCTCTCTGCAGCCGCAGGATCCAGCACAGTGCTGGGCATATGGTAGTGCTTCCCAGGTACCTGCTGGCTTGGCTCTGTCCCAAGACATTCCTCCTGCTCCGGCCTAGCCTCGGATGATCTCCCTGCCCTCCTCCCCAAGTTAGGGCATGACAGATGTTCTCAGTGGGTCACAAGGCCGAGTCGGCCTCCCCGGCCTCCAGGCTTCGTTGACTGGCTCACCTTGACCGCTTTGCTCAGCACCTGCAGCAGGTCAGCCCCCGGGGTCTTTAGGGCGTGGAGCTCCTGGCCTGCGGCCCATAGCGAGTCCAGCTGCCCAAGACAAGGGAGAGGAACCCTGAGATGGGCAGGCCCTGTGGTGGTTGGGGGGCTCCGAAGGGAACGAGGAGGAGGGGGCAGCAGAGCAGAGGGCATACGCACCATGGTCCTGTCCCCAGGAGCAGCTTTGCCGTACCTGTCAGGGCACGCAGAAAGAGCCTCGAGTGAGCCACAGCCTCCCAATGTTTACCAAGTTAGAAGGGAAGAGAGATCATCTCCTAGGCATAGAGGAGCGACTCACCGCTGCATGGCCTCCAGGCCAGCATCCATGGCAGCAGTCCAGGCGGGGAGGCCAGGCGTGGCCTTGAGGGGCTGGGCAGCCGCAGTCAGGAACAGGCCGTAGAGCTGGGGACCAGAATCAAACCCGAGGGGGCTGTGAGCGCTCGGCCTCTACCGTGGTGCCTGTGGTACCGGACTTGGCCTGAGGACTCCCTGGCTCCTACCCCTGCCCCTGCCCCAGCTCTCCTGACAACAGGCTCATCTCCCCAGCACTCACCGCCCCTGATGAACCTCCCATCTTCTCCAGCAGGAGCCGCGACAATCCAGAGAGTAGCTGGTCAGGGTGGCTGGGGGGTGGGCCCTCCTTCAGCCATTCCTGGATCGCTGAAAGGGCAAAGAGAAACTTTGAGCGATGCGGTGGCCGGGGAAAGGGGGAAACCCAGGGGTCCTGGATCCCAGTACTCCCTAGGCCAAGACCAAGGAAGCATTCACAGTCAACCAGGGGCCGAAACCCAAGGGAAAGAACCAGTGGGGGCTGGGTGGGAGGTTACTGGGAGATCCTCCCATCTGGAGACCAGGAGCCAGTGGAGGCCCAAGAGGCCTTGATCCCTTCGCCCGTCCCTCTGGCAGTGACCTCTGGCAGCTCGGCTGTGGGTGGTGCCACAATCGCCATCTCCGGCAGCTCGGTCCAGAGCATTCAGGTGTTCCTCCAGGCCAAGGAGGGTGGCACACACTCGCTGCAGGATGGCAGCTGCCCTCTGGGAGCCAGCACCTGGCAAAGAGAGGCCAGTTGGGAGGGGGCCCAGTGCGCCAGAGAGCTGGGGCTGAGCAGCCCACCATGCCACCCCCCGGCCAGGTGGGCAGGGTACCTCCCGTCGCCGTCGGCTCGGTGCCCTCTGGCTTCTCGGCAGGCGCTGCCCGGCTCCGGGTGCGACCTGTCACATGCGCTCTGGCTACGTTGGGCCAGGCCGAAGCCGTGGTTTCAGCATCTGGGAATGAATGGGAGGCAGGCTCAGGCCTGGCACAGCCACATGGCTCGCCTGCCTGAGCTAGAGCGACGAGGGGAAGTGGAGGTTCCCAGCCTTCTTCCCTCATGAGAGGAGGACGTGGGGGTTGCGGGAGAGTGGGGAAAGATTTGAGAAGCCCAACCCCACCTTCCCCTCTAGTCAAATACAACAGGAAGGAAAAGCTGGAAGTAAGCTTTCCGGAGGACCGAGTCCCTCACCTTGCCCCTGACGTAGGAGAAGGGCTGTGTTTGCCCAGCCTCCTCGGGACCCTCAGCCCATGGGGAGAAGTTCAGGCCTTGGGCTCCTCACCTATCAGTTTAAGGAGGGCATCATCTACCAGCAGGAGGGTCAGGGAGAGGCCAGCCATTTCCAGTGCTGACATGAAGGTGCCCACCAGGGCACGGGCAATCTTCACACCACGGGCCTCTAGAATCCAGAGCAGAAGGCGGCCATGGGGAAGGAGGGCACAGGAGGGGGAAAGGACCCCAGACAAAAGCCAGGGCGGTAGAGCCAGAGGCCTTGCAGAGGCCGAGGGGTAACAAGCAGACCTCGAGAGAGCCCCACCAACCTCACTCTAGAGGGGCACCTTCCTGGGGGCCCCTTCACTGCCTCCTAACATCGCTCCGAGTTTCCCAGTGTAGAGATGGTGCCCCAGGGGACATCCCCCCTCAGTCTGAGACTCACCAAGGCAGCGGACTGCTGCATCAGCCATGATGCCCAGCTCCAAGAAAGACAGGCCGCCCAGGTTATTGACAACCAGCACCACCGAAGAGCCTGTGGGCATCGCACAGGGGCGAGCAGCCCCCACAAATTAATCACTGTCTCAACAGGAAGTGGTTAATTAAGCACATGGTCTGTGCTAGGCGCTGAGGGCGTGAAGGCAAAGAATGAAACAGTCCCCCCTGACCAGGAGCTTCCGTTCCAAAGGGGCCAACGGGACGAATGTGTCCATCATGCACAAAAGGAATGCTACAAACAGCCTAACAGCCTCTGTGCAGCACCCGAAGGTTTGTAAAGTGCTTCGCAAACACTGTCCATGCCCATTTTACAGATGTATACGAGGGAGTCAGGTACAAGGCAGTCTGGGAAGGAGGGAGGATGCCAGCAGGCCCAAGGAGGGGAGTGAGCTCTGGGACACTCCGAGGGGCAGGCACGTGGGAGGGCCAGAGCAAAGGTGTGGAGGCTGGAGATTAGGCGCCATGTGTGGCCAACAGAGAGAAGGCCAGTTTGACTGAGTACGAGAGGGAGAGCAACGTCCAGCAGGCAGGGCAATACGTTGGTGCCAGGCTGTGTAGGGCCCTGAAAGCCACACGGAAGTATTATCCCAGAGGCCATTCCCAGAAAGCCACTAGAGTTGAGTGGCTGGATGGGGATGAGTCAAGACTGATTCTGGCCACGGTCTATGGATGAAGGTGAGTCAGGGGCCAGGGAGGAGCCCGCCTTGATGGTCGAGGGGACAGGTGATGAGGGACGGCACTAACATGGTGGTCGTGTGGACAGTGTGAAGGGGGCATGTGAGATGAGGCCATGGGAGGACCTGACAGCTGAGGAGATGTGGGCGAGGGGCAGGAGGATCCTCGTATAACGCCCAGCTGGGAGATGGAAGGAGCCTCCCTGGACAGACGACTCACCAGACCTGACCGGTACGTGGGACTCGTTGGAGGGGTCAGTCATGTGGTCAATCATTGTCTTCACCACCTCATCCGCCGTGGCCATCTGCCCGTGAGAGGGAAGAGTGAGGGGGGTTTGGACCAGACCCTGTTCTGGAGCAATGTGAGCGCCAAGCAAGCATGCACCCACCTACCTTCAGCCGACGTACGCCAGCCTCCCCGTGGATCCCTGGGGAAAGAAGACATCGAGGTTGTAGGGAACACCAGGTGAAATCCCCAGTGTGAGTGGAGATGAGACAGTGTCCAGCCTACAGACACCCCGGGACGAGGGTCTGCCCAATGGGCCGTGCCACAGGAGGGAGAGGACAGACAAACGCAGAGGCTGCTGGGGATGCAGGGTGCACATCCTTACCCAAGCCCAGCTCCATTTCATCAACAGGAAGCTGGAAGGTAGGTTTGGAGCCTGGGACGCTGCAGGAGGACAAGCTCGCCCCCAGGGTGCCTAGGAAGGAAGAGGGCAGGACATGTGGCTACCAGCAGTGTGGGCACAAAAGGGCAGCAGATGTCCACAGAGGAAGAGCTTGACCAATCAACAGTTTAATCATTTGAGGAGAGCCTGTTCTGCTGTGGATGACCCTGTGGGCTGCACATTCTAGCCCAGCCCCAGATCACTGCAGCACTTGATGGGGGGAGGCCCTGGCTAGGTGAAAGACCCAGCAGGTGGAAATAAAATATGCCTAAGGATCTCTGCAGTGGGGAATGGGGGTGAGCCGGGACATGCCAGAATGCCAGCGCCTGAGAGCAGGAGCCCCCGGACCCTTCAGCCTGACAGCTCAGTTTAGTTTGCAAGCACTCAAGCGTTTCCATCCTGCCTTCAGAAAGGTCCTGTTCCCTCCATAATACTCCTTTTCCTCCCAGGGGATGGGGAGGCTGTCCCCCCTGGCCAGCACTCACCCCTGGCAGCAGCCCCTCCAAGCCCCCTAGGCCAGCACTCACCCCTGGCCCCCCCCTGGCCAGCACTTACCCCTGGAAGCACAGCCCCCACTCCCCAGCACCACCCCCCGCCAGCACTCACCCCTGGCTCCCCACCCTCAGGCCAGCACTCACCCCTGGGCCCCCACCCCCAGGCCAGCACTCACCCCTGGCCCCCCACCCCTGGCCAGCACTTACCCCTGGAAGCACAGCCCCCACTCCCCAGCCCCCCCCCCCGCCAGCACTCACCCCTGGCTCCCCACCCTCAGGCCAGCACTCACCCCTGGCCCCCCACCCCTGGCCAGCACTCACCCCTGGCCCCCCACCCCTGGCCAGCACTCACCCCTGGCCCCCCACCCCTGGCCAGCACTCACCCCTGGGCCCCCACCCCCAGGCCAGCACTCACCCCTGGGCCCCCACCCCCAGGCCAGCACTCACCCATGGCAGCAGCAGCTGCGCTCACTCTGCGAACAATGTCGTCGAGCCCCATGCCGGCCTCTGCCAGAGCACCTGCCACCTGTACCAACACGGGGCCAAGCCCCGAAGGGACGAGTGACTCCACGGTCTGGGGCAGGGAGTGCAGGGGTGATGGCAAGGGGCAAAGGAGAGAAGCCCTCCCTGGTGAGGTGCCTCCCTCACGGTCACAGTCACAGCCAATGGGCCTGACCCTCCTGAAGGGATCTGTCAGAGGGGAGGATTTCAAGGGGCAGACCTGGGTACTAGCGCTGGCTCTTCTACTACCTGTGTGACCCTGGCCCAGTCACTTCCCTCTCTGGGCCTCAGTTCTCTCATTGAGCTGAGCTGGGAGGCACCTTCTGGCTCTGACTGCACTTGTCAATCCTAGGGAGGGGTGAAAGAGGGCACCCCATCGCAGCTGATCATGGCACAGGGTGAGGCCCAGGGCAGGAGTCCTAGAGGAGTCCTCCTCCTTCACCAAACCCCTACTAAAAGTGCCTACTATGTGCACTGGGCACCAGGGCACCAAGACACAAACAGACCCTGCTCCCTGAAGCTCCCACCTTGTGGATGAGCACCGTGCCACAGAGGCCCCGCCTGCCCGCCTTCTTCAGGCTGGTGAAGGCGCTGTCATCGCCGATGACAACCATCTCCACCGGGATGCCCTCCACCCGGGCCTGCTCCCGGGCCAGCCCAAAGTTGAGTCGATCTCCCGTGTAATTCTTCACGATGAGCAGCGTCCCCGCTGCAGAAGCCACAGAGGTGGTCAGCAAGCCCTCACCTCTCCTGCCCTCCACTCCCCAAGGCCACTGAAACATTGCAGCACCAAGCCCATCATACCTGCGCCAGCCTGAGCCACCGCCCGGATCGCGGCCAGGATGCTGCCAACTGCGGGGGAAGTGAACACCGCACCGGCAATGACCCCGGTCAGCATCCCTTTGCCTATAAAACCTGGAGGGAGAAAGACGAAGGTGAGGGGCTGTGCCCTGCAGGGTCCTCATCCCTCTGGCTCCCACCCCACTTCTCTGTTCTTAGCAGTTCTGCCCTTTACACAGAGCTCTGGGGAGTCCAGAAGCCTGAAGGGCTTCCTGTCTTGTTGGGAAGACAAGATCAGCACATGTGAAAATGCTTCAGGAAAGACACGGAGCAGGCACCATCCCGGACTAGCCCACGTGAGCCTCTGCCTAAGGTGCCACACAAGGGACGCCTCTGGGGGGGCGGGGAGGGGAAGTACGGCAGTGACCCAGGCTCTTCCTGGCGAGCCTGACGTTCCAGGACCAGCCTGACCAAATTCTGAGGAGCGCACGTCACATAAATATAACGATACTACTGTGCTCTCAGAAGCTGTGAGCGTCACTGTTTCCAAGAAACCTCGGAAGACTTGTGTGAACTGATGCAGAGGGAATGGAGAATGACTTACACAACAGAGACAAGGTTCTGAATACCAAGCACCCTGAGGGAGCTAAGACCTCTGGTCACTACAGTGACCCGACCATGCCGATAACCATCCTCAGAGGACAGAGGATGACGCGGCCTCCCGCCTCCTGGCAGATGACGGACACAAAAAGATGGGAAACGAGACAGACACTTCTAGACACGGCCACAGTGGGGATACAGTTCTCTAGATTATGCTTATTTCCCCCCCAATGTGGGGAAGGGGGTAGAAGGGAGAGGAGATGCTTATTAAATTTTTAAAAATTAATTTTTTTGAGAGGGAGGGGGAGAAAATTTAAAACTCAAAATCTTATGGAAGTGAATATTGAAAACTAAAAATAAATGAGTTAATTATTTTTTAGAAACGAACTAATTTTTTAAAAAAGAGAAACAGCATTGGAAGTGAGGAGGAGAGCACAGGCAGAGCACCAGGCAGGGGACAATGAAGACGCCAGTCTGACTGCGTCTGGTTCTCTCTCCGTCGGGTCTCAGGTCCCCGATGCTCTTAACCTCCCCGCCTCCTCCTGCACCTCATCCCCAAGCCCTCCACCTGGCGTGGGCCCTTTGTCTTCTCCAGCCACTCACCTGCGTGGGCAGGCTCATGGCCAGAGCCCCCACCCGACAGCAGGGCCACCCGTCCCTTCAGGCTCTCCAGGTCAGAGCGCAGGGCCACTCGGTGTCCTTGTAGAATCTGGAGGTCAGGGTTACAGGCCACCAGCCCGGCCAGGGCATCGTCGGCACAGCCTGTCACAGAATTCATCAGCTTCTTGGAGGACTGTTGGGAGAGAGAGTGAGGAGTCAGGATGCCCCCAAAAGAAACATTTACCCTTCAATGAACCACTGTGGTCTCTGGGGCTCTTTCTCCTCCAACTCCTTAGGCTAGAACTGCAAAGTGGCATTGGGGAGACCTTAGAACCACCACCCAGTTCAATCCTGCATCAGACCTTTACTAGATGTGGGATACTGGGCAGCAATCTCAGATTCAGCAACTTTAGCAGTAAAATGGGGATGACAGTCACTTAACCCCAATTGCCTAAAAATAAGTAAATAAAATAAAATAAAATAAAATAAAATAAAATAAAATAAAATGGGGATGATAATAGCACCTACTTCATAGGACCTGGAGAATCGAATGAAATAACGTAGGTATGTAAAGTACTTTGGAAACCTTCTCATTATTAGCCCAGCATTCAAGGCCCTGCTCAGTTTGACTCTACCCGCTTCTTGCGCCTTATTTCAGAGTCTTCTTCTCATGTACCCGCTCTGCCTTTCCCAAAGTCATTCTACCATCTCCTCACTCTGAACTCACACAGACTATTCCCTCCAGGCCTGGTGGAAGTCTCTCTGGAGGGCAGAGGCTGCTTGATTTTATTTTTGCATCTCCAGGACCTGGTCCAGAGCCAAATGGATTGAAATACTCTTCCTTTAAGGCCCGGTTCAGCCAATTAACAAGCATTTGTGAAGGATGTCTGGCACTGGGCTAGATGGGGAGAGGGAGATACCAAGCCCTCAAGGAGCTCATTCTAATGGGGGAGACTAGGAGAGGGTGGAGGGGATGTCCTAGTGAGTCTCCAAAAGACTGAGACGTGCAAGTGGAAAGAGAACCTAGAAAAACCCAACTGAATATGAAGAAGCCCTGGAGACGGCTACCCCAGCTCCAGAGTACCAACTACACCCACACTTTTGTCCCCGGGCTCCCCACTAAATCTAGAAAGTTGCTGTTCAGACATTTCAGTTGTGGCTGACGTTCCATGACCCCATTTGGGGTTTTCTTGGCAGAGATACTGGGGTGGTTTGCCATTTCTTTCTCTAGCTCATGTTACAGTTGAGGAAACTGAGGCAAGCACGGTGAAGTGACTTGTCTGGAGTCACACTGCTAGTAAGTGTCTGAGGCTGGATCTGAACTCAGGAAGATGAGTCTTCCTGGTGGTCTGTGCACTGTGCCACCTAGGTGACCCTAGGCAGAAGTAGGGGAGGTAGAATTGACTGGATTCACATCACACTGATCACATTTAGGAAAGGTAGAGTGGCTTACTGAGGGAAGGGGGTTTTGAGCCAGGACAGATAAGGCGTCTCCTGTCTTCTGCTGTGGGTGACAATCTCAGAGCTGAGGTCCTGAGGGACTCAAAGAGAAGAGGCTTCTGCTAATCCTAAACTAAGGGTCTTTCCTTTGCTTTAGTGGAGCTGAAAAGCCGACTGTAGAGCTCCCAAAGCCAGTGGCTAAAGCTGGAAATGGCCGCAGCCACTCATCAAAGTGTGAACCACGGACCTCGTGCCTGGAGAGGAGCCCATGGCCCGGTAACTGCCTGGTCCAGGCTCGCCCTGGGGAGATCAGCCCTGTGGGCTCCACACAGTAACCACTGAACTGCCTCAATGTGTCCTCCTGGACCAGCAGCTGGGTAGCCACCACGCTCTCAGGACCTCCACGACCTGTGCCAACACTGGGTTGGTCCAGGCAGCTGAGATAGCTCACCTGTGAGGAGCGAGAGGTGGAGACGCTCAGCTCTTACCCATACCATGGCCTGCAGTGAACTGAGGACTTTTAAGAGCAGGAATGTCAAACACAAATGGAAACAGCCCTCCACGGCCTGTGTTGACTTATAAAACTACAAACTAACACTGTCGTTTTTATTTACCTTGTTAAACATTTCCCAATTACATTTTTTTGGGGGCTAGGCAATGGGGTTAAGTGGCTTGCCCAGGGTCACACAGCTAGTAAGTGTTGTATGTCTGAGGCCGGATTTGAACTCAGGTCCTCCTGAATCCAGGGTCAGTGCTCCATCCATTGCACCACCTGGCTACTCCCCCAATGACATTTTAATTTCGTTCTGGACACAAGTTTAACACCTCTGCTCTTGAGAAAGAAAGGACATGGAGCCCTTGTTCACTTGTGAGTTCCCTTGACTTGTGAATTCTGGTCCCTGCACGTGGGCCTGGTTACCATTGTATTTGCATTTCATGCCCACTCTTCCTAAGAGGCCCTTTGTGCATTTGTGAGAGAGGACATACCAGTTTTGAGTGAAATGCTTTGTAACTAACATTCTTGCCATGCTGTTTGAGTAAATGCCTTTGTTAAAGAATTAAATCTACCATCTCATGGTTATGGGAAGCACCCTAGTGGGGGCTCATGAGGTGGAACTAAGAAGACAGCCAGCCACAGGATTGCCCTTCAAATCTTGAAAGTGATTGTATCCCTCAGGGGACCCAATCTGCCTGTGCTGGCTCGGCCAGGCCCCAGAACTCCACTGATCCTGGCCTTTGACACCGGTCCTACTCTATCATCTGTGTCCTTCCCCCTCCCTACCTGCCATCTTTCCACCTCTCGCTCAGGACTGATATTTAAATCAATATTACCACTGCTACCGTGAAAGGCATGACAACCTCTTGCCTGATGGCTCCACTCGGAATCTGTGTGCTTTTGACTGACAGGCTGCCTCATCCAAAGCTCCCTGCTTTGATCGCCACTTGCCAATCCCTCCTGCCCATCCGGGTGAGCTCCAACCCACCAGGCTATTCTGACCATTCATTATGTTCTCTGGAGGCCCCATTCTATTGGTAACCTAGACCTGTGCCATTCCCTGGGAAATTACTTTGTATCTATTTCATAATTAAATTTCTGGGCATGTACTGTTTTCCTACCAATAGAATATAAGCTCCTTGGGGGCAGGATCTGGGGCTGTTCTCTTGACACAGTAGGTAAGCACATCCAAGTCTTTTCAATTCCGTCTGCACGATATGTCTCCCCTTGTCTCCGCTCCCAAAGCCAACTGTCTCAGTGTGGGCCTCGTCACCTCTTACCTAGACTATCACAAGAGACTCTTGTCTCTCTGCTTCCGTCCCTCCTCCCTCCGAGCCTTCAACCGCACGTCTGGCTGAGGCATGAGGTCAGACTGAGCTGGAACTAGCAATTCTCATGCCTGGGGCAAACACTACAAAATGAGCCCTTGGGACTCTGGGGGAAATAACCTGAAATACTGCCCAGCAGCAGGAGACAGAGACCCTGGGACACTCAAGGGCATTTTCATTCAGGGGGAGAGAGGGAGGTGGGGTGGGCCAGGGCAGAGTTCACCTGGACTGCAGCTATCGGAGCTGATTATTCTTGCTAATTGGGTACTAAGCTCAAGGTTTTTACCTGCTGAAGGAGAACAAGGGCTGTCAGCACCCTCTAAATTTCTCTATCGTGGGCCAAAGTTCTGGCTGCCCCACACTAGTTACCATCCATCATACTCCTACTGAACACTCTCTGCTGGCTCCCTATGGCCCCTGGGACCAGATAAACTCCTCAGCTTGGCACGTAAGCCCCTCGGCCTACCTTTTGGGCTCCTTTCCAGACTTACTTTACATGACTCCTCCTTAACGTACGTAATGATCTTGCCTAATATCCTAAGGTGCTCCAGCCAGACTGGTCCCTGGACCAATGATCTGTTGAAACTGATTTTCACAGGATCACAGACTGAGAGGCAGAATGGATCCCCAAATTTTCCAGATGAGGAAACCGAGGCTGGAGAAGTGAAAGGGCTGATTTCAGGTCCCACAGGGCCAGGATTCCAATGCAGAATCCCGTCCTAGGAGCCAGGAAGCCTTTCCTGCTGGGATGCCAGCCTGGGTCCTGGGCAGACTTGGAGCCCCAAAGCCAACGACCCCCCAAGGAGAGGGACAGAGGATGGGCTGGAGGTCAGCCTGCAGGGCCTGTCTCCACTGTAGAGGGCCAAATGGGAACCAAGGCCCGGAAAATGCTCCCCAAACCTTCAAAGTCCTATAGAAATGCTGGCTATTTATCTTATCTGGATAATAATTCCTATTATTCCACTAATGCCTTCTGGTGGATGAAAGGCGACATTACAGCCTTTCTGGCCCTGCTATGGGCTTGGGTCTGTTAATGGCTGGAAGGAACCTCAGAGGTATACGGGCCATCTCCCCCATTTTACAGATGAGGGGACTGAGGCCCAGAGGAGTCACAGAATCAACCTATCGGCCGACCCACGCACATTTATTAAGTACTTACTATATGGCAGGCACTGTAGCAATCATAGAGTCAAGAGCCGGAAGGGCTCTTTCCAGAGCCTCTCCCCAATTTTACACAGGAGTAAACTGAGGCAGAGAGAGTTAAGGGGCTTAGCGCTCAAGGTCCCTGCTGTGCAGTAGCCAAGCCAGGTCCCCTGACTCTAAACCTTGCGCTAAGTGAGGGGGATGAATGAGGGGGCTTCTTCCAGCTCTGAATTCACGTCCCTCGGATCCTGCCTGTCACCCGCGGCCTCTTGCCTTTTGGTGAGATGTCACCCACTGCAAACAGGCCAGTGGCACCTGAGGTGCAGCCTCAGTTTGGAGGGGAGGGACAGGTAAGTGCCCAAGTGTAAGGGGAGGACAGAGGCAAAGGGCACCAGCCCTGACCACAAGCAAGCAGCAGCACGGTCAGTTCAGGCAAGCCTGAGGAGTGCCAGACCTGGGCACCGTGCCCCCGCAGCTAGCCCGCCAGCCTTGATGGTGACACAGACCGGCCCCCTCATTTTACAAATGAGGAAGTGAAAACCAGAGAGGTCACAGGACTTGCCCGCAATCACAGAGCTGGGGCGCCTCCTGCCTCCTTATCCTTCCCATGACTGTGCTGCCTCCCACCAGTGAGGTGATCCATCTGCCAGGCTAGGGAAGGTCTTTTCTGATTCCCTGCCCCCTCCTCCTGATTCTCCTAAAATTACTTTGCATATACTTTGTAGTCGCTCACTTCCCCCACCCCAAGTAGAACGTAAGCTCTCTGAGGGCAAGGACTTGTATCCCCAATGCCCAGCTCAGTCCTTGGTACGTAGTAGAAGTCTAAGTGTCTGCTGAACCGAAATCCTGAAATCGGCACAGCCCAGCACTCCTGACTGCAGGGTCCCGGCGGACGTGCCGTGCTCTTCTGTTTAGCTCAGCTCTGGGGCACCCCTGCTCCACTGTGTGGGGGTGCCTGGTCACTCAGATCAGCCTAGAACGGGGCTTCTCGGTCACACCGGTAGCCAAGGTCCGAGGAGGCCCTGCCCTGGGTCGGGCAGCTTCTAGCAGCCACCACCGTTAGCTGGCCCACGCTCTGAGGCCAGGCACCACCGGTCTGAGCCCAGAGCTCCCTTCTCCCTCCTCCGGCCCCGAAGAACTCACCATGGTGGGCAGGATTGCCAGAAGGAAGCAGAATACACCAAGAGTGCTTCTGAACCAGCGACTGTCTCGGGGTTATTTGTCCACCGGGACTCTTCTTAGCTGAAAGGAGACAGCGAGAGGGAATGGGGGTCGGTGAGGTGGAAGCAGTATTTGGAGACCCAGATGAACGGGGCTGTCCTGTTAAGGGGCTGAGCCGCGCCATGCACCTTGGCACCAGCAGGAGCTCCCCGCCCCACCCCGGGATCCCGCTCCCATCTGGGACTCTGGTCCGAGTCCAAATTCTAACACGTGGCTCAGCGCTGGAGTGTGGGAGGCACAGAGGAAGGAGGACCAAAGTCCGCCCGCGCCCCAAATCCTCTCCCTCTGCCACAGAAAATCGATCCGGGGCACACGTCCAGTCTTTGGGAGCAGGGCTGGGCCCCGACACTCAAGGCAAGGACATCCCCCAGCACTCTCTCCTTCTCCCCCCGCCCACCTCCTGGGGCCCCGGGGAACAAAGCAAACAACCACTGATTCTTTGGACCCTGGAAGAAGCTGCCCCCATCCTCGAGTTGGGGAAATGAGATGGAGCAGGCAGTGCAGTGCAGTGGAAAGAGTCAGGCACTTGGGTCTGAATCCTGTCTGTTAATTACTAGCTGCGTAACCTCAAACATGTCATTTAAACCCTTCGGGTCAAAGTCTACCAGTCTGCAAAAGAAAGGTATAGGAATGGTTAGAGGATCCGATGGCGAAGCGTGCCTCTTTCCTCGTGGCAGAGAGGTGGTGGACTACAGGTGCAGAATGAGGCATACGTTGTGCGGGAGCATATTAAATTCTTTTTAGCTCAACTGAAAATATTAAGAAATGCTATTTTTTTTCCAGGCTAGTGAAAAGGTAAAGGGTGAGGTCCCCGGAAATGAATCCAGGGCAGCCTCCTCCTCGGTATCCAAGGATGGAGATGCTGAGGGTTTTGGAAGGTCAAGCCCGAGCTGCACTTCGTGGCAGCGGCCGAAGGCCGTGTTGCCAGTGTGGCTGTCCGGCTCCGGACTAATTTCAACCAAACTGCGCCCAAAGTCGGGGCGCTCCCTGCGCTGTCGGGGTGTCTGAGTGGCCTCTACGGCCATCTCTCCCGAGTCACGCTCCCGTGCAGTGCAAGGACTTCCTGGGCCCGTCCGGGGTGAGCCGCGCACGTGCACCAGCGTCCCGGCCCCCAAGAGAGAGCGCCAGACACCGACTCGACTCTACCCTGTTACAGAAGGGGAAACTGAGGCCCACGAAGGCCAAGGCGCGCGGTACCAAGTGCCAAAGCCGGGACTTAAAGCTCTCTCCCTCCCTCGGGGGCACGCTCGAGGCTCTGCACACAGCAGGTGCTTAATAAGCGAGCCGGGGCACAAGCTCAGAAAAGGGCTGCAGAGTCCAGGAGCTCCTGCAAAGCAGAGGGGCTATCCCAAAGTCCCGGGTGCACGGAGGGGCGGGCGGGAGAAGCAGGAGCAGCGACGCGGCAGCAGCTGGGGGAGGAGCCGGGCATGCACGGAGGGGGGAGGGGAGGGGGCGGGGCGCGGGAGGCCGCGGCTCCGGATTGGGGGACTGCGGCGCAGGGGGCGGGCTCAGAACGCGGGCGCGAGTTCTGAGGGGAGGGGCTGAGGGGGAACTGGAGTTGGCGCTCTCTTCTTCTCCCCGCCCCCCCCGTCCCCCGCACGAGCTCACCTGCCGCCAAGCCGCGAGGCGCCTGCTCCGCACCTTACGAGCCGCGAAGGGGCGGGTAGAGCGTCCTTCCATCCGGGGCTCGGCGGAAGGGGGCGGGACCTGCGGCCAGGCGGCATCTTCGCGCCGGGCGAGCGCGCTGAGCCCTCCGAGCCGCTAGGGGAGCTCGGGTCGCCCGTCCCGTGGTGCCCCGCGGCCAGGGCGCTCTAGGCGGCGGCGGCGTGTCTCGGCAGTGGCGGCGGCGGCGGTGAAGGTGCGGAGGCTGCGCGCGGGGCCCGCTCGTCTCTCGGCCGTCGCCGCGTCAGTGTCCGTGTCCGTGTCCGTGTCCGCGGCCGCCCGGGCCTCTCGCCCCCCCCTCGACCCCCCGCCCCGCTCCGCCCCCGGCTCGCCCGGCCCGGCCTCCGGCCTCGACATGTCGTACAACTACGTGGTGACGGCGCAGAAGCCCACGGCCGTCAACGGCTGCGTGACGGGTGAGGGAGGCCGCGGGCCGGGGCGGGGGAAACTGAGGCCCGCCCGGGGAGGGACCACGTGCGTCGGCGGCTCCCCGAGCTGCAGGGGGAACCTGAGGCCCGCCCGGGAGGAGCCATGTGCCCCAGAACTCCTGGAGCTTCCAGCTGCCGGGGGAAACTGAGGCCCAGCAGGGGAGGGCTTTGACCCACCAGGCTCGCAGCTAGCTGCAAGTGGCCTTAGAGAGTAATGCAAGCACAGCCTACACCCGGGTAAACTGAGGCCTCAGAGGGGAGGGGAGTCCCCCCCCAGGGACCCTCGGCCGTCCAGCCCAGGAGACGGGGTCCTCATCTTTCCAAGGTCGCCCCCACCCCACCCCCCACATCTGAGCCTGTGAACTGGATAAGAACCAGACTCTGTCCGCCTGGAGCTTACCTCCCGCCGGGGACCGTGTACAGAGGGGTTTGGGGCCCACACTGGGAGGAGCAGACCCCGCCTCTGCCTGGTGCCGGGGGCCCCACCTCAGTGCCCAGCGGTGCTCCTGCAGAGGCCTGAGGCCCAAGGGGGGGAGAGGCGTAGGACCAGCTGTTGACCAGGAATGGGCTTGAGGGGTCTGCTGGAGACCACCCCCCCAGAGAGGGGAAATGACCTGGGAGGGGAGTCGGAGGCAGACGGGCTGGGCCACACGTACCGACCCATGGCCATCTCCCTTTGGCTTGAAGTCCTCGGGCAAAGGGAAACCCGTGGTCCCCCCAGAACTTGGAGTTGGAGAGTCTTCCTCACCTCGGGCTGAAATGTGGTCTCAGCATCCTCCACATGCGGCTCTTAGGTTCACTTCCTGGGCCAGGTGGGACGAGGCCGACCCTTCTTCCCCTGGACGGTCTTCAGATAATTCAGCACATCTGATCCGAGGTCCCTTCCAGCTCAGCTCTTGGGCAGCGAGGTCTCGGGCATCGGCCGAAGGGATGGTGGCGTGGAGTGAGCTCTTGGAGTGCAGAGGCCTCAGACAGGGGACAAGGGGAAGGAGCCTGTAAGGAAAGTCTGCGTGTCAGGCCTGGCTCTGGTGCTTAACCATCTGGGTGGCCTCTGCCTTCACCTCGGGGGGCCCCAGCTTTATCCCAAGCAAAATAAAGGGATTGGGCCTGCGTCATCAATTCTTAACCTGGGGCCCACGAGTTTGGTTTCGTATGTGTTGATAGCTGATTCGATAGAATTAGTTTCCTTTGCAGTCCTATGCCCACTATTGTATTTTGTGCATTTAAAAACACTCCAGGGAGAGGTCTGCAGGTTTTGACAGACTGCCCCAAGGAGTCAGTGACACAAAAAAGAAGACTCTATGGATGTCCCTTCTGGCTCTTAACAGTCTGAGAATGCAGAGAGGGAGTGAAGAAATCTTGGGTTGGGAGTTAGAAGACCTAGGCTCAAATTGTTCCCTGCGTGAGCTTTAACTCTGGGCCTCAGTTTCCTCATCTGTGAATTGAAGGCTTTGAACAAAGGATTTCTAACTTTCCTTCTAGCTCCAGGGTCTCTGATCCCCTGAATCAGGTAGGAGGGTCACACCAGTGAGGTGAGGTGAAAGCACTGTGAAGAAGTTCCTTGTAATGTCCCAGTAAGGACACTGGGAACTTCACACGTTAACAGCTATCTAGATTTGCCTTTTTACCGGACCTAAAATCCCCTTACTGTCCTCCTGATAAATGGGTGTCCAGTCTGTTTAGATGGAGGAGCTCTTTATACCAAGGAACAGGGGGACGGGACAACTGAGTTGGGAGGGCAAGGGCTAAACATTGGGTTCCCACTGTTAGCCAGCCGAGTGTGGGAATTACTTTTAGTAGCAACGGTGCAAGTCAGCGGTTTCTAGAAGACACAAGTATTGGATCTCCCCGGGCCTGAGACTTTTAATGAGTAGCATGCACCCAAAGCACCCCATTCCTCAGTGCCTATCGCCATGGTACCAAGAAGCCTTGACACACGGGCTGCTTGAGCTCTTGAAGTACTAAGAAGGGGCCAGAAGGCTATGGTCCTTTGTCCTGAACGTCTGGGCCCCCGCCACCCGTGATTTTGGAGACTAGGTAAAGGTTGGTGTTGAGCAGGGATGTTCTGCAGTCTAGGATTGAAAACTGTGACAGAAGCTGTAAGACTTGAGAGAGAGAGAGAGAGAGAGTGTGTCCTGTGTTCTGTGTCTGTCTGTTGAATAGCTGATTGATCTCTCCCTCCCAGGGGCTTTCATTGATGAGAGCCAATCAAACAAAGCCATTTTCTCTGGCGCCTCCAAAGGACCAGTTTTTATGGTCTGATTTTTCAAGGGATCCTGCTTTTCTCCTTGTGAATATATGGGAGTGAGATTGTTTCAAGCAGAAAGAAGGAAAATGGGAGAAGTGTAGGAGTGTTCCCAGGCTTTTTGATTTGAGGCACGTTGGGAGCCCTTGGACTCGGCCCTTTCTTCTACCTGAGAGGACTGTGGCAATTCTTTCAGGTCACTTCACTTCTGCCGAAGACTTGAATCTGCTGATTGCCAAAAACACCCGGCTGGAGATCTATGTGGTCACCGCAGAGGGGCTGCGGCCCGTTAAGGAGGTGGGCATGTATGGCAAAATTGCTGTTATGGAGCTCTTCCGGCCCAAGGTGAGCACAGCACCCGCCTCCAGGCCTCCACCCTGTGGGCGGGAGGGCACCGAGCCTGCTGCTTGTTTTTAATCACAGTCTCACAGTAGGGGAGTGGTCCAGTAGGATAGGAAGATTGGGCCTGCAGCTCTTCTCCTTTTGAAGGGTGGATTCATACTTGAATGGCATTGGACCTTGGAAAGACTCTCTTAGAAGAAAAAGGGGCCTTTTGGAAAATTTCTGGATGCCAGATGTCTTTGTCCACCCAGTCACTCATGTTTTATGCCTTTTCAGTACCTCCATTGAAGTACTCTGATAGCTAATCACTTGGGGGAGGGGAGCTTTATGGCTGTGTGAAGGTGACCCTGGCTTCTCAAAAGCCAGGCCAGTCAGTGCAAACATTGGTGGGTCCTACCAAGCCAGCAAGACTTCTAGGAATGGGTCGTGGATAATGCTGTCTGGGAGCCAGCCCTGGTGCAGACAGTGCCACCCACAGTTAGGAAGTCACGGGTCCTTGAGTCATTTAGGCAGACTTTCCCAAAAGTGATTTGAGACTGACAAGGAAGCTAAATGTTAAAGGCTTAAAAAGAGAGAGGCTCCTTCCCCTCTGTGCCTTGTTCCTTTTGCTCTGTGTTATGGAAGTGACTTCAAGGCTTCACTTGAAGCATTATTGCTTCCCTTGTGGATTAACCACCTTCCCCTTGTAATTTATAGAGACTTGGTTTTTGTCCTGCCCATCTCTGTAAGCAGTCCTAAAGACAGGAGAAGCTGTCCCCTGCTCAGAATCCCTGTGGCAGACCAGCGCAGACCATGAAAATCTAAGGCGCATTTGGAGGAGGAAATCAACTTGCTGTCTATGAGAGCACACTAAAACTCCCAGCATTTCTTGGGAGATTCCAATATTTACTTGGAATGAGTGACTAGAAGTGCGATACTAATCTTGGTGAAAATGTGTACCTTTGAAAGTTCTGTACTGATGAGCCTGGAGTCCAGTCCTTTTATGAAGGAGATTTGTTCTGTGAAGTTCAGACGCAGTCAAGGGGCTGCACTTGAGGGCCTAGAGGCCACAGGCTCCCCACCCCTGGATTAGACCATGTGAGGCAGGAGGTGTGGGGGCTAGCATGCTGGCCTTGTAACCATGAAGAGTCGCAGGTCCTGCCTCTGACACTTACTTCTCTGCTTTTGTGGGCAAGTCATGTCCGCTTGTTGTAACTCAGTTTCCTTATCTGTGCAGTGAGGAGCGTGAACTCTAAGGTCTTTTTCCAATCTAAATCTCTGCACCCGTGACTGCTCCTATTCCCCTAAACTGATCAGCCAGTTATTCGGAGTTTATTTGTAAGTGTATGTAAAATGAGGGGTCTAGTCATTTCTATAACTAGAATAATAGACATTGATTTAATTCCAGGAATGTGTTTGGAGTGAAACAGAACTCAGGAGAGGGGCTTTAAAATTCACAAATCAAGAAGGAATTGGCTTTCCTTTGGGGTAGTTTTGTGGAGGCAGCACGTTTTGAGGGGTAGGAAGGATCAAAATGCATAGCCATGGAAGTGTACCCAAATGAGAGGAGGAGAGAAAGGAGGCTGGGAAAAAAGAAAAATGTTGTCTTGGAATTAATTTCTTTTCTACCTACTTAGAGCGGTGATGCAAAACTCACTTTCAAGGAGTTTACAGTCTAATAGAGAGAGGAGAGAAACACAAATAAATGGGATGTACCGGTGAATGTGATCAGTGCCATGGAGGGATCCTGGCAGAACATTTGGAGAGTTTGAGGAGGGTGGGCAGGGAGCTCAGAGAACACTTCATGCAGTAGGTGGTCCCTGCGTTGGCCCTCAAAGGCAAATGGAACGATGGGGGAATCCATTCTAGTTAGTGGAGGATGGCATGAGCTAAGGTGGAGAGATGGGAGGGGGCAGGATGGGGGGGGTGCTCAGTTCCATTTCATTGGTTCTCAGTGTGTACAGGGGAGGGGTTGGCTGGAGCCAAATTGTGAAGGGCCTGGCACACCAGGTTGGGCTGTTTTAGTTTAATTAAGCAGCAGGGAAGTCAGTGAAGGTTTCTGAGTAAGAGAGTGCTGTGATTAGAATGTTCGGATTAGGAAGATTCCCGTGGCAGTGGCATGAAGGCCAGATTGGTGGGGGGCATGGGGACCAGCAAGGAGGCCACCTTAGAGGCAAAGCAGACCTGGTGGGGAATAGGACTGAGAAGGAGGGGATGGACAGGTGGAAGAGCTATTGCCAAGGCAGAGTTGACAGGACTTGGCGGCGGGTTGGAGTTGGTAAAAGAGGGAGAAGTCCTAGGGAATGCCAGGGTTTTAAGCTTGGGCAACTGAAAGTGTCCTGCACCATCAGCAGGACTAGAAAAATGAGAAGAAGAGGTAAGATTGTCACTTCATTTTGTAAGCAGTTCATAGTCGCTTTGAGCTTAACAAGTTGAGTTAGAGTTTGTTGTGTTTGAAATGGCAGAAAAATACTTAGAGGCAGTGGCGCGCTGACAGAGAAGATCAGATTTGGGAGTCATCTGCCTAGAGAGATGAAGCCGTGGGCGTAGAGGCAGTCACCAAAGGCGAGACTGTTGAGAGAGAAGAGAGGGCCAAGGATAGACTCTCAGGGGTCATCAGTATTGGAAGAACAGATGGAAGATAAACCAGCAAAGGGGGCGGAGAGGTAGGAGGATAATCCTGAAAGTGGAAAGAGTAAGTTTCCCCAAGGAAGGAATGTCTCTTGTTGGTGCTGAAGAAAACAACAGGAAAGGGGGTCATGACGTTGACTTAGTGAGCCCTATGAGCCAAGGGGTAGGAATAGAAGTCAGATTGCAGAGAGTTAAGAAGCAAGCTGGGGAAGTGGAGAGAGCTGTTTCTCTGAGTTGGACAGTGAGCAGAAAAACCAGAAAGGAAATTGTGGTTTAAAGGGTTAGTGGGCCCAAAGGGACCATTTTTTTTAGGACAGGGAAGGCCTGAGCGTGTTTGTAGACTGGAACAATAATAGTAGCTCACATTATGTAGCATTTTTTGAAAAGGAAGGAGCAATGAGAGGGGGTGATCGATAGAGCAATGGAAAGGGAAGTAGAATGGAGGCAGAGGTGAAGAGGGTTAGTTTTGGCAACCACGTCTGAGGAGGGTCTCCTCTGCCTCTAAGGTTGGATGCAAGGAGGAGTGAGTGTAGATTATGACACTGAGAAGTTTGGAGCATCAGGAGAAGGAGGGGGAGGAGTGAGGCCAGTGGTCTCAGTCATCTCAAGGCAGTGTCAGATCTCGGAGGTGCAGTTAAGGGTTGAGGGGAGAAGAGATTTAGAACAGCCATTCTGGAAAAAGAGAGAATCAGCAAGAAATAAGTCGAAGGATTTCCATCTAATGATTGGGACTCAGTTTGGGATAGCAGACACATTCAGCCCACTTATGGTTTTTCTTCTGGTAACATTTGCTTGAGGACAGAGATGAATGGTAGGAGCCACCCTGGGAAATGGGGAAAGGTCAGAGGGGACAAGGGATTCCTAAGTGGGAGAGGGGGCATTATTGAAATGGCTGAGTATGGGGCCAGACATGACAAAAGAAAGGAAGAAAGCCAAAACAGGGTTGATGAGTTGGAGAATACAGAGGAATCAAAGAAATGAAGCTTGTAAGGAGGATGAAAAGCAGATATGGAAAGAGGGAGGGAATGAAGTAGGAGAACAAGAGAGATTTAATTAGGGGAATTTCAGAGTTCAGGATCTTAGTGGTGGAGCATTATAGGGAATGAGGACGGCATCACCGCCCTGGTGAGTAGCTGAAGTCCATTAGCCAAGAAATTGTAGGAATTCAGTGTGAAGTCATTGTCAGGAAAGAGCATCGTGAATGCTGGCATTTTCAAGGATGGTGGCAGGGGAGGGATTGGAGAAAAAGATTGTGTGTCAGACACACCAATGTCATGGGAAAAGGTGGGTGGGTGGGCCTTGGAGGTTGCCATGGGACAGCAGCAAGTCCTCGGCTAATGTAATATAGTTGGATGGCTTAGTTTTTAAGCTCTGGTATCTGAAAAAGTTTCTGGTAGTGGGCATGGGGAGTGAGGACTAGGCCATCTGTAAGATGAGAGGGGTGGGGAAGGGAGCAGCCAGTATTGGAGAAGGCTGCTTGAGCTGTGGAGTCCAGATTTGAGTACTTGTATATAGAAGCTGAGTGGGGGGGGAGGATTCAGTTGGCTGAGACATCTGTTGCAACCTTCACTGAGTTTACAAATTAGTAGAAGAGATAAGACAAATACAGAGATGCCATTAATACAAGTCAGGAGGTGATCAGTGCCATATGAGGGGTGTGCATTAGAAGGATTAAGTGTGGTTAGGGAAGAGAAGGCAGAATGAGAGAGCAGAGTTAGGGTTAGGGTAACAGTGAGGCCCAGGCCCTTTGGGTGTCTCCACAGAGGCTGATGTGTGTGACTGAGAACCCCTTTCTGAGAGAGGACTTTGGAATCTGGTCATTTCACTTCTTACGTTAATTCGAAGGACAGTTCAAATCCAGCATCCCTATCCGAGAAAGAAAGTCTTCTAATGAATGGGTTGGTTTCTAGGGGGAGAGCAAGGACCTTCTCTTCATCCTGACAGCCAAATACAACGCCTGCATCCTGGAGTATAAGCAGAGTGGGGAGAGCATTGACATCATCACCCGAGCTCATGGCAACGTCCAGGTGAGGGGAAGCCCCAGGAGGCTGGGCTGCGTCACAGATCAGGGACGCTTCTCTGTGAAATTTGGGGGTCGTTAAAACTGGATTATAGGGAGTTGAATTGGACCCTGCCTTTGAAAGAAATAAATTATCGGATGCTACATTATTGGCTGAGAAAAATTAAGGTGATTGGGAAAGTTCCTCTGTGGTCAGAGAAACCACCGTGAACTACACTTGCTGTGGAAAGGAGAGCCGTCTTCCTTTATTTCCTTCCTGTGTCCTTGGCAGTCTGAAGAATGGGGAACCCGTGTCAGTGAACTGCATTCTTTTGCCAGAAAGTTGAGCCGTTGATAAAACTGAATCAAAGTAACAAGCCCTTGGGCTTCCAGGCCTGTTCTGACCAGGTGTCACAGAGGCTAGAAAGGGGTGCCCAGTGCCCTCTGCCGAGGCCCATCACTGAATCTTCTTTTTAGGATCGCATCGGTCGTCCCTCTGAGACTGGGATTATCGGCATCATTGACCCCGAGTGCCGGATGATCGGCTTGCGCCTCTATGATGGCCTCTTTAAAGTTATCCCTCTGGACCGCGACAATAAAGAATTGAAGGCCTTCAACATTCGTCTGGAGGAGCTGCAAGTCATTGATGTCAAGTTCCTGTACGGTTGCCAGGCCCCTACCATCTGCTTTGTTTATCAGGTAATGACTGGGGAGGAATGGGGAGAAGCAGCTTGGTCCTGGTCTGTAAGGGGCTGTCTGCTGATAGGCAGCAGGTCTGGATTGAATAGGGAGAGGCTCTTGTGCCTGCAGTGTGTTGGGTACCTGCCTGGGAAGCGGGTCGTAGCGTGGAGGCGAAAAGGGGCTTGGGGGAGGGCTTCCTTGGTCCTGCTGTTACACTCTGGTAGTTTCTCTTTGGAAAGAATGTAAGGTGACCTAATCTGTCTTTATTTCTGAAGAAGTTACTGGAGTGTGCTTGTAGCTCATTAAGGCTTGACTCTCAAGAACTGATCTGGAGATTGCCTTTGAAAGGAAAGGGATACATTTTCAGATGGCATCAGCTGGGACAGAGTTCCCGTCCAGCTCATTGTTTACCCTCTGTGAGATTTCACGCAGAGATCATTGTCCACATCCCAGGTTTGTCCTTTGGGCTATGAAGGGTGCCGTCAGGTCGACCAGCAGACCCCTTTGCTAGTGCTGTGAAGCCCAGTGAGTGGAGTGTGAAGGACGCAGTCACTCCTCTGGCCTGGCTTGGTGGGTCCTGCTCATGTACTGGACATTTTGGGAGGGTGAGCTGCTGCATGGAGATCCTGCTTTGACCCAAGAGCCTTTCGATCACTTGATCGTCAGCAGAGCCGTAGGTCTCTGGACCTGGTAACTGGCTGGAAGAAAGGTGAAACGTGGGTAGGAGAACTCGGCCTACGTATTGTGGATCTATTCGTGTTGAATTAGTTCTTAGAAGATGCAGCGCAAGTCCCCTTCTTCTCTTCTTTCTCCACCTTTATAAAAGTCAGGCTGTCGGAGCGTGGCTCTCACTGGGTGGGTAGATGTCATTAGTTCAGACTGCACCTGGAGAGTTTGGAAGGTTCTTGGCGTCCCCTCTAGAGACAGACCTTTGTTTCCCAGATACATGTGTCCAGAACAAGCCTGAGCCATTGGAAAGAGTTCTGCTTGCCATGTCTTGTGTTAGAGATTGTTTCCATTAGATCCGGAATTGGCCCCTTTCCTCTTGACTTTAAAGACCTGGAAGTACAAGGGCTGCCCTCCATGAGAAAGTGTCATCCTTACATTCACAGGATCTGTGAGCTCAGAGCAGACCCTGGGGACATGGCCTTCTTGCGCCTTTCTTTCTTTATCACACTGTGCTGCACTCTGAGGGTGAGCTCACCTTCAAATCCACGTTGGCAGCCGCCTTAAGGGCCTGCAGGTCAGGGCTGTGGTCGTGTCCAGCAGCTGCTCGGAGTCCCCGTTCCTCCCCAGGACTGACTGGCTGAGTGACCCAGGGAGGGGAGGGCAGGTCACCATTGGCCCACGCCAGAAATGGGGTGGGGATTGATTCAGGGGGATGGTCAGGATGCCGTCAAGGCCAAGGTTTGGGATTTACTTCTGTTCGCTGTGGGCGCCATCGCCCGACAGAATGTTGTGTAACAATTGTGTGCCCACCCTCCGTGTTGTGTGGTGGTGTTCTTGAAGATAGGCTGTAAGTTTCTAGCTGGAGTTCCATGTGAAGGCACTTGGTGCATTCTCATTGATTGGCTGCTGTGTGAGGGTGAGGAGGGACGGGGCCTGAGGTCGAAGGGTCAGCCTTCACTTAACCTGCCCTCCTCTAGTGGTGACCGATGGACCGGCTGGCTTCAGGTGACCCTGACTCTAGTCTTTGGCTAGTGGCACTGTTTCTTCCCGATGGCCCTTGTTCCCCATGCTTAACATTCCACCTTTTCCTGAGGCCAGGACCCCCAGGGACGGCATGTCAAGACCTATGAAGTATCTCTTCGAGAGAAGGAGTTCAATAAAGGCCCTTGGAAGCAGGAAAATGTGGAGGCGGAGGCTTCAATGGTGATTGCAGGTTGGTTAGCTTTGTGGTTTTAAGGAAATCTCCTTTCTCCCCATTCCGTCTGTCATTTTGCTTGATCTTGTCCCTTGCCTGCCTTTACAGTGTCACCGGAAGCAGGTGTGTGTTACGGCACTTACTATCATTGCCAGTTTTTTTTTCCCCAGTTCTCCTTGGCAGGTGTAAGGGAAAGAGCATGGCCTGGAATTAAGGGACCAGCTCTCATGTTCTGTCTGCCTCTTCTAGCTGTGTGCCCTGAGGCAAATCACTTACCCCTTCCAGTAAAGGAGAGTGATGGTGAAAGTACCTGGCCTCACAGGAGAGTACTCTTTCTACACTTGAGTTATTCGTAGAGAGGCACCGTGGCCTGAGGGATCGAAGGCCAGTCTTAGAATCCAGAAGCCCAAGGGTTTAGGTCTTTCCTCTGACACATGGTGGCATGTGGCCCTGGGCAATTACCCTGGGCAGATGGCTTAACGTTTTCTAAGAGTGTGAGTTATAGATAAGTTGTTGATCTGCCCTGGGAGGGAGGGTCTCCACACCAGAGGTCTCCACTTGGATAAAGTCACCGGTCTGGGCTCGTCAAAAAAAAAAAATGACAATTGTCTTATGTTTGTAGGTGGATTTGAGTGTTTTAGATAGAGTATTATCTTATTGTTCATTCCATCAGCATCCCTTCCTTCCCATCTTTTGTCTCTAGTCTTTGGGGCTGATTTTCCTGGGTGTCCAATGGAAAGCACTTGAAAAGTTATGTGTCATCAACTTTAAGGCCTGGAAGGGAGTGGAGCTTAGATGTTCCCTTGTTGTATAGCTGAGGAAGCTTGAGGCACAGAGAGTTTGTGACTTGCCCAAGGTCACATAGCTGGCTGTAGGGAGAGAGAGTCAGGTCTAGATCCTGTCTGGAGAAGGGTTTGGTGTTGGCATTCTCTGCTTAGGTTTGCCCCAACCAGTGTCATTTTGCAGCGGCATCATTAACCACTGTGCAGCCAGCTCTGGTCAGACTGTGAAATCCTGTTAGTAACATGTTTGCCGACTGCCCGTTTTTCACATAGATGCTATTGCTTGTATGCAACTACCTACCTCCTGTAACTGTGTTTACTGGGCACTCTGCCCTTCGCCTGCCCCTCACGTCACTGAGAAGGTTTCATGGCGATAGAATTGGAAGGAACCGTGGCATCTCCCTAGTCTGGTGCCCTCTTTCATTTATTTATTTATTTATTTATTGCTGGATTATTCAATTTATTCTTCTGAATGGGTCCTGATAATGGGAGCACCAACGCCTACAGGATCCCCTAATCACTCTTCTCACAGGGGTGGGCGAGAATATACAGAGTAGAAGCTTCAACTTTTATTGGTGCCCTCTTTTAACAGCACGTTAGAGCCTCCAGATGGTGGTTCTGATCCTCTGTAAGGAAAAACTGAGCAGGGATTGAATGAGGACTGGGGGAGACTGGAAGAACTAGAGACATAGGTTTAAAAATGATGAATGTTCAGGAGAGAAAATTGGGAGGGAGGGACAGTTCAAGGACAGTTCTCACTTTTTGAAAAGCTCTAAAGAAGCCAAAAGGGAAGAGAGGGTTCCATGCTGAGGTGAGGTCAGGTCTGATCAGGTCCTAAGAGGTACACCTCACGGAAATCCCCTCTGTTCACTCTCCTCTCTTTAAATGAGGAGGATGCTAATCCTTGATCCGAGAAAACCAGGGGCTCCTTCTAAAGCTTCTTCCTGGCTCTTTTGCAGTGCCCGAGCCTTTTGGAGGTGCAATCATTATTGGCCAAGAATCCATCACGTATCACAATGGCGATAAGTACCTGGCCATTGCCCCTCCCATCATCAAGGTGAGATTCCTGCGTCCTCTTCCCTAGGCCTTGCCCTTCTGCTGTTCTGAGGTTAGAATGTGGAGGTGGACAGTCCCCTGTTTGTTATCTGCCACAGATGCGGGGCAGGTATATTGTGAAAGAGAAGCTTTCACTCACTAGCAGTAACATTTGTTGCATGAAATAGCTGAATGTGTTGAGTTAATATCCTTGGGGCTCGCGTAGAGAAAAATACCAAAGTGTTGTAGCTCCTTTTAAAATAAAGAAAAATCTACATTCATTGTAGAAGGAAAAATTACACAGTTTTCTTCATTTTTTGGTGGGTGAAAGTACCTAGTATAAAAGCCCTGCTTTAATAGCGTTCACCTGGATGTGAGAATTCACCTGTGCTGCCATCCGGAACCATGCTGAAAATAACTGCCCCCACCCTTCTATGTCCCAGAAGACACCGAGGGGTCTCCACGTGTAACATTTTTCCTATCTCCTTCCTTTATCTCGTGTGCATTCCAGGCACCCAGGTCTCTATGTTGTCAGGCAAAGGCATCCTGGGGCTTTCTTGGTTCCTTCTGATAAAATGGTGAGGCCTCCCTAGTAAAGGGAGCAGCCCCCTGGGGTTCACTCCCTGCTGTGAGACAGAAGCCACTTCCCTAATTGCTTTTCCTTCCACGGGGGCAGCAAAGCACGATTGTGTGCCACAATCGAGTCGATCCAAATGGTTCCCGATACCTGCTGGGAGACATGGAAGGCCGTCTCTTCATGCTGCTTCTAGAGAAGGAGGAGCAGATGGACGGCACAGTGACCCTGAAGGACCTTCGGGTGGAGCTTCTTGGAGAGGTGATGCTTGTCCCTGGCTCATTGTACTTTCTTTGCTCGGCGGCATTTGGGGGGGCAGCCCGTGCAGGCCATCAGAAGTCGCATCGCTTTCTCTGTAGCCGCCCTGTCCAGTAGCAACCACCTTTTAGTTGTTTTATTGAGAAGTGAATTTTGGCTTTTTAGAACATCTCAATCAGGTGAGCAGTGGACCTTATGCATAAAGATGAGGGGTGAGCAAGAAGTGGGGTGCGTGTCGAAAACACCATGGAAATCCCATGGCCGTGGCGCTGGGAGAGGCTCCTGGCAGTAGAGTCTGAGGGAGCCGTGTTTCTCACTGGAAGGATGGGAACTTGAGGTGTGTCACCGAGGAGGGCTGGCTGTTGTGGAAGGCGGGATTGTAGCAGCTGGACAGGGGTCTGCCGATGGTACCTAGAAGATCAGTTGTAGACTTGATAGGTGTGGAGTCATGGGCATCGGAAATTGTGAAGCCTCGGTTGAGACTCCCTCTGATTCACTGTGACACAGACTCGGTGCTCCATGTGACGGCTCCCAAGGCTGCCCTGGCACGTGTACAGTTTGGGGGGAGGGGAACAGCAGCTGCTTCCCCACAGGGTCTCTTGCAAGTTGTGTTTCCTTCTAGACCTCCATCGCTGAATGCCTGACATACCTGGACAATGGGGTGGTGTTTGTTGGCTCCCGCCTTGGCGATTCTCAGCTTGTAAAGGTGAGCCTCACCGTCCTCCCTCCTTGGCCGCTCTTCATCATTGCTTTGCCTTGCTGAGCTCTTCTTCATCCAGATTCAGAACGAGACAGTAAAGTTGCAGACTAGATGAGACTCCTCCATTCCAGCTGACCCTGTGGGGTCAGTCCACAGGCAGAGTGGGCAGATTCCAAGACTCAGGGAAAGATCAGAAGCTTTGTCTGTTCTTACAGCTGGAGCAGGTGGGATAGCTTCGGAGGTTCATTCAGCAAGTTCCCTGTTTGTTTACTTTCAGCTCAACGTAGACAGCAACGAGCAAGGCTCCTACGTTGTGGCCATGGAGACCTTTACCAACCTAGGTCCCATTGTGGACATGTGTGTTGTGGACCTGGAAAGGCAGGGCCAGGGCCAGGTAAGGCTGAGGACGTGGGGTGGCGGGGTCAAATCTGGCCACTGCCCCTGGGTGTTTTTCTCTTTTTTGGCTGGGGTGGACAGGAGTCGGGGGAAGCACTAGAAATCTTTTTTTAGCTAGATTTTTATTGTTCTCTTCCATTTTGACATTGACTCCATTTCCCCTAGATTCTCCTTTGTCTCTCCTCTCTGAGAGCCACCTCTTATAACAAAGACTTAGAAAGAGTAGGGCAAGGAGGAGTCTTCTCACGTCCTCTTTGAGGGCCAGCTTGGTCTTCATGATCGCTGCTGCTGTCTGGTAGTCCTTTGCTTTTATGTCGTTAGAGTCCTCGGGCGTCTCTTGGTTTCCTGGCTCTGCCGATTCACTTTGCATCAGTTCACATCCATCTCTTTGTGCTTTTCTGTTTTTATCATGGTCATTGTTCCGTGTGGCCCAATGATGTGTCAGAGTTTGGTTAGCCCTTCCCCAGTCTCTACTTTGCTTCTTCTTTGCTACATTGTGAAGTACTTTTGTGAATAAGCATTTTGGTGTAGAGGGAACCTTTCTTTTCTGCAAACCCTCACCTGACACACCAAGATTCTGAAGGTGCCTGCTCGAGGCCCTGATGCCGCCTGGCTTTGTGTCAGGCTGTCGCCGGGCAGCTGGGGGTCCTCTGCTAGACTAGTGTTGCAAATGAGAGGCCCTCCGCTAAGGGGCAGTTGTTGTCCTGTTTGTATTTGGGTATCAGTATGGTGGTCTTAATCAGAGCTGTCACCAAGGCAGGGGGCTTGATACGATCTCCACTACTTAAGCACCTCAGAATTAGGGTTAGGGAAGCTGTCCACGTCCTGCAGGCCCTTGGCTGCACGTCTTGGGATGGAAGCCTTCGCAGGTTGGATTGCTGACTGTGACCTTGAGCTTAGTTGCTGAGGGCACCGGTGACCAGCTCTCTCTGTCTGTGTTTAGCTGGTCACGTGTTCTGGGGCTTTTAAGGAAGGCTCCTTGCGGATCATTCGGAATGGGATCGGGATCCATGAACATGCCAGCATTGACCTGCCAGGCATCAAAGGTATGATACCCTGTGCCTCGGGGGGGGGGTCTGGAGGAAGGCGGGCAGGAGGGTGGTGTGGGGCGCAGCCTGGGCTGCTGAGGGGAGAAGACTTGGAGAGAACGTGTGAATTGTCTTCAAGTATGTGAAGGATTTTTTCTCTTAGAGGAGCGATTATTCTTGTTTGCTTGAAACACAGTGAATAGAAGTTAGGAAGAGGACAGTTTAATGTGCATCAGGAGAGTGGCCTGGAAAGGCCCAAGAGGCAGGCCTCCTCCCTGGAGGCCACGGGTGAAGGCTGGTGACTCCACATTGAGGATGTTTCAGAGAAAATGCTTTGTCAGGAGTAGATGCCCCTTCCACCTCTGAGACTGTGATGTGGACAGTGTGGGGTAGATGTGGTCTGGTTTCTGCTGGGGGGGTGCTCTGTTCTTGGAGTCTGGGAGTCCCGGGGGGAGCCGAGGGCAGCGTACTGACGCCTCGCTCTTCCTCCTCCCAGGCTTATGGCCTCTCAGGTCTGACTCTAGCCGAGAAACTGATGACACCTTGGTGCTGTCCTTTGTGGGCCAGACGAGGTAAGGATGGTCCCGGCCCTGGGGCGCAGGCGGCCCTGCCTTCTCAGGGAGGCCACGGGTGGATGCAGGCTCTCCATCTCTCGGCAGAGTTCTGATGTTGAATGGTGAGGAGGTGGAGGAAACGGAGCTGACTGGCTTTGTGGATGATCAGCAGACTTTCTTCTGCGGAAACGTGGCTCATCAGCAGCTGATCCAGGTGAGTGCCCAGCCCTGGGAGGAGAGGCTGCGTCGGTTGCACCTCCCCCAGTACAGAGTGCAGAGTCAAGGGGCTGCTGTTTTGGGGCCAAGCCTGCAGCTCTTGACGATTTGACCGATCGGGGCCGACCATTTACTGGCTTCTGATCCTCATTGTGAATCTCCTAGGGTTACCTTGTAGGTATTGGCCATCTGTGGCATGCCAGCTTCTGCCCCGGGGGGGTTTGGAGTCACCTTTCCTGAAAAGCCTGAGATTTTTCCAGGCTCTATCACAAGGGCTTCGGGGCAGGGACTGTAGAATTTGCTCCAGCCCCTCCGGCCCGCCTTCTCCATTTACTCTTCACCTTGCCCCGAACACACGAGAAATGGTTTGCTCTTGCTGGACGTCAGCCTTGAGTGACTGGATATTCAGATCCTGGCCTCCAACCCTTCCCATGTTATTGTTCCAGCTCAGTTCAAGTGGCTGGCTGTATAGAACAGACTCAAGAGGCAGCTGGTGGCTCACGGGGCAGCGCTGTGGGCCTGGCGTCAGGAAGACTGGCGTTAAAATCCAGCCTGCGGCACTTCCTAGCTGTGTGGTCCAGGGCGCCTCAGTTTCCTCAGCTATAAACTGAGGCTAGTAATAGTCCCTTCTTCTCAGAATTGTTGTGAAGACATATAGTTAACACCTGTGCAACACTTTGTAAACCTTGTGGCACTGTGTAAATGCTGGCCATTTTTATTCTTATCATTATGAGAACTGGCGGAGGGCTTCCTCGGTGGCTGGGCCAAGCCTGGGACGGCAGGGGAGGCCAGACCGGGAGAGGCTCCGTGGGCCGCCTCTGCACCGTGGCCACCTCCATCGTTGTCCTCCTTCAGCTGGTGCTCGGTATTAGCCAGATAACACAGGGAATCATTGTCTTTCTCACTACTCTTGTGTCACTTTGCTGTGTCGGGTCTCTTTGGGGGCGTTACATCTAATGAGACTAAAGAACTGCCGTGCCATTATGTCCGTGAGGCTGTTGAGAGGGACTCAGAAATCACAGTTGTGGGAGCTTGTTATTTAACCTGGAACAGATGTAGGGGAAGTGTAACCGTTGTTTTTAAATGTTTAGAGAGCCATCTTCTGAAAGAGGGAGAAAGAGGGATTAATTTGACTCAGTCCTGGGTGGTTCCAGGGAAGGCCCTGTGGTTTGTCTGGAAGCAGACATCAGGCTTCACCTGTGACCCACCTGCGACCTTGGGCAAGTCCCTTCCCTCCTCTCTAGAAGGAGGAGATTGGAGGAAGAAGGTCTCTGAGGTCTGTTAGAAATCTGGTATTGAGTATCCTGTGCTCTTAGGAGAAGAATAAAACTGCCATTAGGCGATAGAAGCTACAGGAGGTTTTAATTCAGTGTAAGGAGGAATTTTCTACCAGTCAGAACTCTGAAGATGAGGTGGGTGTTTGTTAGGGAGTTCCCTGTCACTGGAAGTGTTGAAGCAGATGCTGGGTGGGCCCTTGGGTGCCACAGATGGGGAGAGAGCCCGTGACATAAGAAAGGCCTTTGAGTCCTCTTTGCCACAGACTAGCTCCACACAGACTAGCTCCACGGCTCTCAGGATACTGTGCCCTTGTTTTATCAGAGCAGAAAGTAACATCTGCCGTCCCTGTCTCATGAAGCTATTGTGAGGATAAGATGAAGTAAAAATGTGATGCTCATTAAATGGAACTTTGTTACTAATACTTTTAAAAAAATGATGCTTTATTTTTCCCTCATCACATGTAAAGATAATTTTAAACATTCATTTAAAAAAAAATTTTGAATTCCAAATTTTCTTTCTTCCTTCTTACCTTCCCCCCTTCCTGAGATGGCAAGCAATTTGACATCGGTTATACATGTTCAGTCATGCAAAACATAGTATAATATTGGTCATGTTGTGAAAGAAGACAAACAGAAAGGAAAAAAAAATACAGAAAGTGAAAATAGCGTGTTTTGATCTGCATTCAGACTCCATCAGTTCTTTCTCTGGAGGTGGATCGCATTTTTTGTCATGAGTCTTTTGAAATTGTCTTGGATCATTGTATTGCTGAGAAGAGCTCAGTCATTCACAGTGGATCATCATACAGTATTGATGTTACTACGTACGGTGTTCTCCTGGTTCTCTTCATTTCACTTTGCGTCAGTCCACATAAGTCTTTCCAGGTTTTTCTGAAATCCGCCTGCTTGTCATTTCTTATGGCACAATAATATTTCATTACAATCATCACAGCTTGTTCAGCCATTCCCCAATTGATGGGCATCCTCTCAATTTCCACTCCTTTGCCACCACAAAAAGAGGTGCTATACATGTTTTTGTGCATGTGGGTCCTTTCTCCGCTTTTTTTTTTCATCTCTTTGGGGTACAGACGTGTTACTGATACTTTTATGTATTGTATAGAGGTGATGAATTGAACTCCAAATTCCTTTCCACTTAATGAGATTGTATATTTCCCTTATATTTAGCTTCCTTCCCAATTTCCCCTGTTATGGCAGCCCTTTGATGGACTGTTTGGAAGTGTTTATCAAGGAAGAAGAGTCCTGCACAGAGCCTGGGCTGCTTCTCAGGGGTCTCCCCTCTGCTTCTGTCTAGATCACCTCTGCCTCTGTGCGGCTCGTTAGCCAGGAGCCCAAAGCCCTAGTGAGTGAATGGAAGGAGCCTCAGGGCAGGAACATCAGCGTGGCCTCCTGTAACAGCAGCCAGGTGGTGGTGGCCGTGGGCAGGGCCCTCTACTACCTGCAGATTCATCCTCAGGAACTCAGGCAGATAAGGTACCCATTTGGCTTCCTTCCTCCCCATTCCCGGGCCCTCTCTGAGGCCCGGGCACCTTCATCTGACGTCTGCCTTTTCTCTTTAGCCATACGGAGATGGAGCATGAGGTGGCGTGCTTGGACATCACCCCTCTGGGGGACAGCAGTGGGATGTCTCCCCTCTGTGCCATTGGCCTCTGGACCGACATCTCTGCCCGTATCTTGAAGCTTCCCTCTTTTGAGCTGTTGCACAAGGAGATGCTTGGGGGAGGTAGGTGGCCGCTGCGTGGGAGCCTGGGTTCTGGCTGGGTCGGCCATGCGGCGTGACAGCCCGCCGTCTCCCCTTGTGTGTGGCAGAGATCATTCCTCGGTCCATCCTGATGACCACCTTTGAGAGTAGCCACTACCTCCTCTGCGCCTTGGGTGATGGCGCCCTCTTCTACTTTGGACTCAGCATTGAGACAGGTCAGCGTGGGGGCTGGGTGGGATCCCTCCCTTCTGTGCCTCCATGGGACTGCCCAGAAATGTTGGGAATGTCCCTTTTCCCACCCCTTTGTCCTCCTTCCCCCCCCCCCCATAGAATTCTGCAAATAGAGATTCCTAGGCCTCTGTCTGGAGGGAGCCTTACAGACCATCGGGTCCGAGTCCTTCATTGCTGGGCCTAGGCCTGATGGCATTCTGCCTTCTAGGCCTGTTGAGTGACCGGAAGAAGGTGACCCTCGGGACGCAGCCCACGGTGCTGAGAACGTTTCGCTCCCTCTCCACCACCAACGTCTTTGCTTGTTCTGACCGTCCCACCGTCATCTACAGCAGCAATCACAAGTTAGTCTTCTCCAACGTCAACCTCAAGGAGGTCAACTACATGTGTCCCCTCAACTCTGACGGCTACCCTGACAGGTGAGCGCGGCCCAGGGAGGCAGTGGGCTTGTGTCTTCTCTGTGAGGGAGCTCGGGCCCTGAAATCTGGATCTAAGCTGAGCTCTCTCCCTGCAGCCTGGCCTTGGCCAACAACAGCACCCTCACCATCGGCACCATTGACGAAATCCAGAAGCTGCACATCCGCACCGTGCCTCTCTATGAGTCTCCCAGGTGAGCTGCCCGCGGCAGGTCCCCACAGCAGCCTCTCGTCTCCTCCTCCTCCTTGCTGGCCATCTTTGCCAGATCTCTGTTGTTTTTGTTCTCCTTTAAAAAACCTCCACACAGAAAGATTTGCTACCAGGAAGTGTCGCAGTGCTTTGGGGTCCTCTCGAGTCGAATTGAGGTGCAGGATGCCAGCGGAGGGACGACGGCCCTGCGGCCCAGCGCGAGCACCCAGGTTGGTTCGGGGGGGGGGCAGGCTGGCGGGCCGGCCACATCCTGCCTGGGGCGTGCACCAGTCCGCTCCGCAAGAGCACGGTTGTTCTCTTTGCCCCTGAACTCTTCTGTGAACTCAGGCGGAAGGGCTGGCTTCTCATGTACCTCGGCAGCAAGCCCCAGAAGCAGCCTCGCCTCTCCTCAGCGCTTCTAGGCTTAGCTGTCCTTGCCGGGGCGGGGGCAGGGCTGGAGGACAAGGCCTGCCTAACCAGACTGCCTTGGCCCCCAGGCCTTGTCCAGCAGCGTCAGCTCCAGCAAGCTGTTCTCCAGCAGCACAGCCCCTCATGAGACGTCCTTTGGAGAAGAGGTTGAGGTGCACAACCTTCTCATCATTGACCAGCACACCTTTGAAGGTGGGGCCTGAGGACCAGGCTGTGGGCATCCCCAGGATGGGGGGCAGGGGAGACAGTACGGGCCCTGCCCGCTCATCCCAAGTCAGAGTGAACATAAGCCACTTTGGACACACAAACAAGGGAAGACGGGGGAGTGTCTGTCGTGGCCTTATGTGCTCACCTTTCCTCGGTGGCTCTGACTCTCTCCTGGTCTAGCCCATCTTCTCATGGGCCGGTCTGGGGCTGCCTAAGGAGAAGTCTTGGGAAAGGCACGTGTGCCGTAAGGTGAGGGGGGATAATGTCTTCTGTCCTAGTGCTCCATGCCCACCAGTTCCTACAGAACGAGTATGCTCTCAGCCTGGTCTCCTGCAAGCTTGGCAAAGACCCCAACACGTACTTCATCGTGGGCACTGCCATGGTGTATCCGGAAGAGGCTGAGCCCAAGCAGGGTCGAATTGTCGTTTTCCAGTACTCAGATGGTGAGTGTTGCTTCTGCAGCTCCTGGGACACGCGGCCCTGGAAAAGCTGGTTTCAGGCTTCTGAAGGGTGGGAGAAGCTCCGAGGCAGCACTGGGCTCGTCGCCAGCCCAGGGGTGCTCTTCCTGCTCCTTTCTGTTTCTTCTGTGTCTCGTTATCTTCCCTTTCTAAAGTTGGGGATCTTATTGGGAGGGGGGCAGGGCTGGGAGAGCATAGGAGTAAGATGGAGAGGGGAAAGGGGGCAAGAGATGTGGGAAGGAATTGGAAGTCAGGGACATTCTTTCCCTTCAGGATGGGATCTACTGAGCTTGGTTCCTAAGTCCCAGTTTTTGTTTACCATCCCTAATCCCTCAGGTCTCTCCATCCATAAAATGGGGAGAACAGTTGTCACTGGTGACCTTACTCTAAAGATCAATCTTAGAATTGAAAGGCCCCTTCAAGGCAGTCGAGTCCAGCTTTGAGTATCTTCATCGGGTCAGTCGGAAGGTCATTCACGGCATGTGTGTCATTCTTATTTCTTCCTTGCGCCACGGTGCCTAGAGCACTGGGTCCATTAGGCCAAGTCCTTGCTGTGTCTGGACCACTGAACCTTGTCAGACTGCTAGGGTCCCCACCAAAAAGAGCTACTGGACAGAGATTCCAAGGGATTGGACAGATGCTGATTTTATCAGTTCCTCTCAGGAGGAAGTGGGCATGAGAGCCATATTCCGTGTCCCTAGATTAGCAGCCATTTTGTGATGAGGTGCTCGATACAGTTTGGATCACCACGTCATGGATAGCGTGTTGAGCCTGAGGGATGTCCTGCCTTCTGTGGGAGGTCTCACTCCCCTTAGTGTCCTGTGGGAGGCTTTCTCCCACATGGAGAAACCGCAGAGTCTGACTTGTGACTCTGGCATTGATGCAGGCCGAAGGTGCCACTCACCCAGATTTCCTTTGGCATCTGACATGGCAGCAAGATCTGTAATTGATTCAGTGTGACCCATGCACGTTTTGCTGGTCAGAAGTGGACTCTTCCTCCTGTGAGCTTGTCTAAAACACGCGGCTTTTTATAATTCTCTCTCATGCCTTTGTCCTTTCCTGTTTTATGGTGTAGTTGGGCATACACATGCTCCATGTCCCCCGCTATTTGGTGAGCGCCTTGAGGGCAGGACCTGTGTCTTATTTGTCTGTGTATCTTCCCCAGTGCCTACTATGTGCCTGGTGTAGAATGCTATGTCCCCTTGCACCTAATGTAGCAACTTGACGTTTCTCTCATGGCTAGCTCTATGAGCAGATGGTGTGGTGTCAGACCTCTTGGACCTCCTCACTGCGGGGAGTACTGCTGCTGACCCTCCCCAGGCTGGGGTGAGAGAGCTGGGCAGAAAATGAGAGAGTCACCCCAGGGAGAGTGGACGGGGGGAGGAGGAACGGGCCGGAGAAAGGTGGAGATGGTGACAGAAGGACATCATCTTTCCTTCCCAGGCAAACTACAGACTGTAGCTGAGAAGGAAGTAAAAGGTGCCGTGTACTCCATGGTGGAATTCAATGGGAAGCTCTTGGCCAGCATCAACAGTACGGTGAGCCCTCTTCCTGTGGGACGTTTCTCTGGTCTGATCGATTCTGTAATGTTAGATACGTGCACCCCATGTTTGGATGGAAGATAAGATGAAAGACCTGGTGGTGTTAGTCAGTGGGCATGTACTGAAATTCCACTTTGTGCAGAATCCTGTGAGCAGTTACAAGGAGGAAATGAAATAACGGTTCTGCTGTTAAAGGCTCCTCGGAGAGGAAACCGAACAGACTTTTGTAAGAAGGTTCTCAGGCAGAGGCATAAGGACCGGTGCTTAATGAATTCTGGCTTCTCGGGGTGCTTCAGGCTGGCTAAGATCGTATGGCATTGATCAGGGAGCACCAGAGCATTCGTTCTTCACGTATTTAACGCTAGATCTCATCTCTATATGCAGCCTAGTCTCCGGGCACTTAGGTCTGGGAAGGGGACTGAGTTTTGAGAAAGTGTTGAAGAAGAGGCTTGACATGGGGCAGTGATGCTGCCCGTTTCCAATTAGGCATCAAACCATTGGAAAGCCGACCTTTCCTCTCCAGGGAGATTTCCGGCAAACCTAATAGCCAAGAAGGGCCCTCTGATAGGAGAAAAGCCTCTGGCCTTTGTCTTTCCCAGGTGCGGCTCTATGAGTGGACAGCCGAGAAGGAGCTCAGGACAGAGTGCAATCACTACAACAACATCATGGCCCTGTACCTGAAGACCAAGGGGGATTTCATTCTGGTTGGCGACTTGATGCGCTCGGTGCTGCTTCTGGCCTACAAGCCCATGGAGGGCAACTTCGAAGAGGTAACAGCAGTGCTTCGGGTTCAGAAAAGCCATTATCACCATGGAGAGGTGGGCCGGGGGCGGGCCTTCCCTGGGCTTTCACACCTGCCCTGAGCCCTTCTGGATGGTGCTGGGTCGGCGGCAGTCTTGGGCTGGACTGGTGAGAAGGCTTTCAGAGGAGAATCTAGGCCCAGGCTTGACTCTTCTTTTAGGACCCAGACCAGGAGGTGGAGTGGGGTATGGGCTGCACTGCGGACCCCTCCTTAAATAAAACGTTTAGCCTTCTGGCCCGAATGCCGACAGGCCCAGGCTTGTATTCCATGGGACTTGCTGATTCTTCTCATTCTTCTGGTTTTTGTGTTCAAGATCGCCCGGGACTTTAACCCCAATTGGATGAGCGCCGTAGAGATCTTAGATGATGACAACTTCCTGGGCGCTGAGAATGCTTTTAACTTGTTTGTGTGTCAGAAGGACAGGTGGGTGACCTCCCATGGGGGTGGTGGGAAGGGGGGTGAGGTGAAGACAGAGTTTGGAGTGTGTTCTCAGCCCCTCTGTGCTGGCCTCCATACGCTGCTGTCGACTGGTCTGATGGGCTGGCCGGAGGCCGTGCTGCTGCAGGCTGCACTGTAGGTTAATGACACTGACCGACAGAATTCAGAAATGAGACGGTCTCATCCCGTCAGACCTCAGTTCTCTGGTGATGTCTTCTTCCTGTGCTGAAGTAAGGGTGTCCAGTGGCACCTGCAGGTCACTTCCGAGGCTGGGATCTGCCAGCCTCAGGGCACCTTCTGTATTTGAGGGTTAGGCCTTCTGTTCTCTAAGGACCTAAGCAGTCCTGGCATATTATGTTCTTAGAAGGCCAGTCTTGGCTCCCCTCCAAGCAGTGACCGGTGCAGCCTGGCGTGCAGTGTCATTCACTCCCGCGGTGTAGCTGAGGCCCTGCAGCCTCCGTGGGGGACTGGCCGTCTCTACCGTGTGCTGCCTCTCCCCCCGCCCAGGGCTCGCACCTCCCCGGCCATGTGGGTGTTGGGGGTGACGAGTGCTGGCCATTGTGCTTTCCAGTGCTGCCACCACTGACGAGGAACGGCAACATCTGCAGGAGGTGGGGCTCTTCCACCTGGGGGAGTTTGTCAACGTCTTCTGCCATGGCTCTCTGGTGATGCAGAACCTGGGTGAGACCTCCACCCCCACGCAAGGCTCCGTGCTCTTTGGAACAGTCAATGGCATGATCGGTAAGGCTGGCCTTCCTAGGGGCACCCTCCCCACACACCTCTCTGCCTGCATTCACTCTTGTGCTTGGGATTCACAAAGCCCAGTTCCATCACGGGGCTCTTGGCGGTGCTGAGTGAGAGGCTTTCTGCCCTGTAGCCGAAGGTGCCCTTGGGGGAGTGGCAATTCCGGGGAGGGGGGAGGATTCCAGACCTCCGCCATTGGCTTCCTGTTTCCTCTGCTTTCTCAGGGCTGGTGACCTCACTGTCAGAAAGCTGGTACAATCTCCTCTTGGACATGCAGAACCGACTCAATAAAGTCATCAAAAGTGTTGGCAAGATCGAGCACTCCTTATATCCTTCCTGGAGCTCGTGTTACCCTGTGTCCTCCTGAGTCCATCAGCCTCAGCAGCTGGGAGGGGAGGACAGGGCTGGTGACAAGAGGACAAAGTTACGTAAATTCTCTCTCTAGGGAAAAGCTGCCGGCCTTTCTTTGGGCAGAGACATGGCTGGGCCTGGGACACAGGAGCTTATCTTTGGAGACGGTAGGTGTTTGAAAGAAGAGGGGCGGGAGCAGGGGCCTGACTCAGAGCACCAGATTACATGTCACCCTGAACGTGACCTGAGAAGCTGTCGTCGGTATTGCAAATGCATGTGCTGTTAAGAAATCTGAGGCTCCTTCTCCATATCATCCCGTTTGATAACAGAAGCTCTAAAACCAGCAAGGCAGGGAATGGCAGGGACCACCCACAAGGGCATGGTCTTGTCCGGGCAGGGCAGGGCCTGATTCTGAGGCTGTGTGGCCTTGGGCAGGTCACTTCTATCTGAACCTCTGTTGCTTTACCTGCAAAAAAAGAGAGGTGTCCAATGAAGTAGGCATCCTTCAGGGTCCCTTCAAGTCAGAAGTCCTGTGGATGGGAGCGTGCTCAGTGACTGAAGAGCCGTGAGGCTTTGGCAGGGAGGTCTCTTAGGAAGCCAGGTGAGTGCGAGGTTGTTCCTTAACTCATCCTTGTACCTGGAGATCGTTTCATACTGAACGCAAGACGGAGCCAGCTACAGGTTTCATTGATGGAGATCTGATTGAAAGTTTCCTGGATATCAGCCGACCCAAGATGCAGGAAGTTGTGGCTAACTTACAGGTGAGCCTTTGGGCCCCATGAGGTGGGGGAGGGTGTAATTGTGTCTCTTTCCTGATTTTAGGGAGCCCAGGACCCCTTATGAGCATCTTCCTTTTCATCCTTCCGTCCTTCTGGAAAGGGGGGTTGAAGAGGCCATCTTCTGGGTTTGGCAAGAGGGTATTAAAAATTACTCCCCAGCCCACACACTGTTGGGCAGGGGCTCCTTAGTCAGCTTTGTCGGGACCAGACCTTGTCCATGTACTTTTTGCGCGTCCTGTCTTCTCTGGGACAGAAGAGCTGTTGTCTCTGCATCTTTTTCTCCCTTGGTTCATTGGAGAGGATGTCTCCACTAGCCCAGTCACACCCCAGTGTGTGCTCCAGGCTCCCCACGGGAGGGGGTGGGGCCCTCTTCTTGACGATTCTCTTCCCAAACCCGTCTTCCTTGTTAAAGTATGATGACGGCAGCGGTATGAAGCGAGAAGCCACCGCAGATGACCTGATCAAGGTCGTGGAGGAGCTGACCCGGATCCATTAGCCAGTCGGCCGCGGTCCAACCTTCCTAGCACCTCTCTCCATGTTTGCGCCTGGAGTCTTCCCCCACCCCCTTCTTTCTTTAGCAGGGAGGGGGGGGCCCTGTCCAACAGCCCCAAGAGCCACACTTTGCCCTGTGTGGCAGCGGGGTCCTTTTCGGAACAAAAGCCAGCTCACTAGAGATATTGGAAATGGGCTGGGGGTGACACCGCTCTCATGCCTGGGTTTTCAGCTGTCGCCAGGGACCACCAAGCCTTGGTCTTGACCAATTGACCTCTTTGGTAGCTCTTGGGCTGAAGGGAAGATCCGTGACTCTCACTCATTCACTGTTCTCTAGGATCTTTGGATTTGGATTTGCTGGGAGTGGGGGTGGGCAGGGCTCATTGTCTTTGAGGCCAGGTCCTCCTCTTAGCCTCCCGCTGCTGCCTCCCAGAGCTTCCCTTGTTCAGGCCTGGACTCCCAGGCAGTGGGGCGGGAGATCCCCAGGCTCACTGCAGAGCTGCTGCCTTCAGGGACAGAGAGAGTGGGGGAAGCAAACGGGTTGTTGGTTTCTGAGTTTTACCAAATAAAGTAGAATCCAAGAGGAAAACCCGCTGTTTCTGCTTCTCTTCCCCTCTGCCTGCCTGGCCAGAGTTCGGCTGCCTGGTTCCAGGGGTGAAACTCCTCGAGGCTCTTCTCCCCCCACCCCACTTGGGCAGCGTCCCATCGGCTCACCTCCCTCCACACCGCCTCTCCTCTGACTGTCTGAGGCAGCATCCCTTCAGCTCACCTCCCTCCACACCTCCTCTCCTCTGATTGCCTGAGGCAGCGTCCCAGCCAGGGAGATTGGTCCAGGGTTGAATCCCCAGTGTTTCTTTGCCTCTAGCTGCTTTTCTCTCCCAAGTCCAGCCTGCTGCCCAGACCAGCCTTCCTAGGCTGTAGGCTGGTCAGCCCCTCCTTTCAAGGCTTCCGTAGCTGTGCCAGGGATGGGATGACTCAGATGTTGGTAACGTTAGGCTCACTGTTGGCTGCCTCCATTTCTCCTGTGTTCCCTTTGCCTGATGTGTGACTCCGCTGACTCTTCCCAAGTGGTCAGAATGTGGAGAGGGCAGCTGAGAGGCAAATTTTCCCAAAGTCCTGTGGTCCTCTGGTCCACTCTGAATGACCCTGCGGCTGCCCAGCACCCTCCCCCACACACTCAGAGGCCTAAGAAAGATGTGAGGAGACGATTCCTGGGGCTCCTCTGTAGAGAACAAACACATGCTGGTTTGCCGGCCTCCAAGTGCCACACACTCTCTGCGTTCTCCCTTTATTTGCTTCCTGGCTCAGCCTGGCCAAGTCAAGTAAGCAGTTGATGCCTTTTGGACTGAGAAACCCAAGAATGGGGCGAGGGTCTGGGATTTAGCCCTCTTTCTAATTCAATTCGAGGAACATTGAGTGCCTACCTACTCTGTGTTAAGCCTGACTCAGTTTAGAGTAAAGTGTAAGTGAACCACCTTTCCCCCAGTAGGATGCCCTCTAGTCATTCTGAGAGGAGTTCAGTTAAGGGCTGGCGGGGGAGGCTGGGGACCACTAGAGGACAGATGCACCCCTTTGAGGAGGCCGGGCAAAGAAGATGGTTGCAAATAACTCTGCTTCAGGAAGGATCAGATCATCCGCCAAGAGCCTCACAAGAGGGAGCAGCCAATGGTACTAGGAATCCAGGCAGCTGCACGGATTGGCACCCAGCCCCTGACCTGGGCCTTGAACAGTGAGGAAGACTTTAGACATGCATCAATCGTGTAGGGGGTAGGGAGGTAGAGCCCAGCAGGAGATGATCCTCCCAACATGGCAAGTAGCATGCTATTGCTGGGACATGGAGAGTGGTACAATGAGGCTGAAAAGATAAACCAAATTGAACTAGATTGTGGAGGGCTCAAAATGCCAGGCCAAGAATCTAGACCTTGAGTTCTACAAACCCTAGAGAGCCATGAGCCATCACCTCTGTGGAGTGGGAAGGTCACTTTGGCAGGATGTGGGGAGGAGGCTGGGTTGGAGCACAGAGATTGGGGTTGGGCATCCATACTCCCAAGACTATTGGCCTTCCCGCAATAACATCAAAAACTTAGAAGTCATTGCGCAGGTCAAGCAGGTTTGCAGTGTGAGTGGAAGGACAGGGGACTGTCTGCAGTGGGCTCCCTTCTCTGGAGTTTTCCTCTACTGGCTCCTGACTTAGGGAAGTCAAATGATTTCGCTCTCATGGACCCTCTCAGTCTCCCAAAGACACAATTTGACCTCAGTAATCGAGATGCAGAGCTAATTGTTTAAAGACAAGGTTTGAATTTGACCAGGCTTCTTGTCTTGGGGACCAGTCTTGACAGGGAGGTGTCCACCTAAGGTCTGGAAGACAGAATGCCCGTGTGATTGACCAAGGTTGTGCAAGTTGTCTTTAGTGATCGAATGGTTCATTATTATGGCAAGGTGGCCAGTAAGTAGACCCCAAACAGGAATTTGGGGACAAAAATCAAAAAAAATGTCACTTTCTGAAATTGAAACTAAGAATCCATACAGTATGGCTAAGATTTGTAGCAGAAGCTGCATGCCCCTAGATGGTGGTTTATAAATGGTTTGTTGATGAAAAGCACTCAAGAAAATGGGCTGTCCATTGAGGCATTTTACCAGGTCATAATGTGGAAGAATATTGTTTTTGTGTGGGAAGATGTTCAAATATAGGCACTAGACCTTACTATGCCTGTGTAACCTTGGGCAAAACCCTTTTCTCTGGGCCTCACTTTCATCCTTAAAATAGAGAGATTGGACGACATGACGGCTAAGATCCTTTACAGCTGTAACTCCTATGATCCCATGCGCAAAACATTAATTTATCTAGTTAATTATAACAAGTCTACTATGAAAAAAAGTGATCCATGTGAGAAGATTGAAAGAGAAAATTTGGCACCATTAATCCAGTACTATCCAAGGGAGAAACTCTCATGTCGACAGGGGCACTCTGTTGACTAAAATGGCATGGCCCAGTGGAGCAAGGATAAGTGTCCAGGGTCTACCACAGCCAGAGAACATTTCCTCAAAACCATTTTCCTCAGCTCTGATTCTTGCTCTCTAGGTGGTCTCTTAATGACTAGGTTTGGGGTTTTGGTTTTTTGAGGGTTTTGGGTTTTTTTTGCCTCAAGTATTGAGAAAGGGGTGTTCTGGGTAATGGACTTGCATATCTTGGTCACTGGAAAGATCTATCCCTTCTTCCTCTCTCCTAACCCCATTGTAAATTAATAAATTGGTTTTTAAGTTTATGAATCTGTTCTTGTGCATTTGGTATTCTTCAGCTATGCAGAGCCTCTGGGTGACGTCCAGGGTCACACACCCTGGGACCTGCGGTTAAATCTCCAAGATTTTCTGTTCTCTCTCCCTACTGAGGCTCTGCCTGAGTGGCTTCCTCACACCTTTCCATGGCTGTGGCCCGTGGTGTAGTAAATGGAAAGCTGGGCTGACAGTCAGGAGAGCTCTTTTCTAGTCCTAGCCCTGCCATTGTTTCCTGGCTAACTCTGTAATCAGAGGCAGGCCAGGGTAGCCTCAGTTTCCCCACCAATAAGGCGATTGGGCTCTCTTCCAGCTGTGTCATTTGGAGAGTAGCATGCTTTTAGCCTATCCTGCTCCTCTGTCTCATCTTTCCAAGTCAGGGAGCCCCTGAAGCCTTTTGGCACTTTCCTTCTTTGAGGCCCATGCTCTTGGGAATTGTCATTGAGAATTAAGTTTCATCATTACACATCCCACCCCCAGCAGCCTTTGGGGAAATGACGTTCTGCTCTGAAAAGCCCCCTCCAGCACCATTAATCACTCCTCCTGAGGGGAAGGGCTGTCTGGAGAGCTTGGCTATAGCCAGCTGGAACGGCCCCTTTCCATGAAGCCTCTGATGAGCTAACCTCACTCCAGGCCTCTGCACGAACTGACCTTTGGGAAAATAATAGAAACTAACTGAGTCATCACATGATTGTTTGGGATGGGTTGCAAGCCAGCCTTCTTAGCAGCCAACATTAGTTAGGGATCTGTGCTCATTGCAGTGAGTCTATGAGTTACCAAGGTTGGGCAGGAAATAAGACTGAGTTGGAGTCTGGGGGAGAGGGAATGATGATCAGGGCACCCCACCTGCCCTGATGAGGTATCGGGCCAATCTGGCAGACAACCTCTTGAGTTTTCACCCGATTACAGGCAAATCGGAGAAGGGTGGGGAGGTGGACCGACAGTAAGCAGGAGATGGATGCACGTGAGAGATCATGTGGAGGGATAAGGGACTGAGAATTCCTATTCAACAAATATCTGTTCAGCATCTGTTACCCGATTGAGCAGGTATTTATAAACGCCTGCTTATTTAGCACGGGCCAGGCACCGTGATAGACGCGGAGGATTAGGAAGGCACAGACAAAAACCTGGCCTCAAGGAGCTCACAGTCTTATTTGGATATGCCTCATTTAAACAGTCAACACATAAGCACTGCCCATGGGACGTGGCAGCCAAACGGGGCCTTGAAGGAGGCTCAAGGGGAAGTGACGTGGTAAGCATTCCAGGCATGCGGGGCAGCCTCATGGAACTTGTGTTCCTCTAGATACAAAGGAGAAGGTGAATAACAGAGGAGGTTAAGGGTGGTTGCTTACCAGGGAAGAGGAAGAACTCCCATTGTGTGGGCACTGTTTTAAATGCTTAGAGAATTCAGACTCAGACTGCTGTCTTAGCTATTCCAAATTCTTCCCCAGGTTAGATGTGGACTATTATAGCACCAGGTTGACTCTAGGAACCATTCAGGGACCCTGGGAAGTGTTCAGGATCCTGAATATTTTTAGTAGGGCTTGAGGTTAAGGCTAATGTTTATTGAGGTCTCGTCTAGGGCAGTGAAAGCTGAAGACAGGTATGGTCTGAAAAGTTTTTTGGATCTAGGGTAGGTGGGAAAGACTGACAGAGCATGGATCCAGCGTGACCAGGTCTTGGGATTGACCCCAAAGACCATTTTAGGGATAGGAGCAAGAAAGAGTGATATTGAGTGGAGGGAGTTTGGGCCGTGGCTGAATGGGGGTTAAATAGGAATGAAGGTGGAGTTCCTGATAGATTGGGGTAATGGCCGTGGCTTCTGGCAATGTGGTGATGTTGCTTTTATGTTGAGCAATTCAGGGTGGGCACAAATAGATTTAAAGTCACTGACTGAGCTGGAAGACAGGGCAGACCTGAAAGGGACCTTTCCATGAAATGGCAAAGCTGAAGTTCCTTTGAACATAGACTGTTGGAGTTAGATGTGATATTTGGATATAGAACATAGAATTTCAAAGCTGGAAATGATCGTAGCACACAGAATGTTTGAGCAGGGAGGGGCCTTAGAACAAGGAGATCCAGAGCCGGAAGATACTTTAGCACACAAAACAATGCCAGAGCCGGAAGACACCTTTGAACATAGAATGTTGTCATTGAAAGGGACCTTTGAGCCCTGGTGTCAAACTCATCTAGAAAAGGAGGCCACCAAACCTTATGCAAGTAGCACTGCAGGCTGCATATTGACTTAGAAAACCACCTATTAACATCTGTGTTCTACTGTATTTTTATATATTTATTAAATATTTTCCAGTCACATTTTAATCCTGTTGGGGATGTACTCAGAAGTCGAGTGGTTTGGGCTGCATTCTCAAAAGGGGGCCTGTTTGATGCCTCTATCTTAGAGGCAATTCAGTCCTCCTGGAGACACTTTGTAAGGGGATGTGTGTGTGGCATAATGCATTGGGGCACCCGAGTGGCACAGGGAGCTGGCTTGAGGGGATCAGAGGCTTGGTGATCCTGGCTTGGTGACCTCGGGGTTAGACACCATTGTGGGAAGGCAGCATGGGCGTGGTTGATACCATTGATCTTTACTTGTAGGGGCAGTACATTTTGGCTTGATTCTTAGCTCTTCCTTGAATTGGGTTCACCTATTTACTTACTAGACATGGTTTCCTTTCCTTTAAATTCAGGCTGGAACATAACAAGATGAAATAAGAGAATGTTAAGCTTCAAGTTTAGCTTTTAGATCCAAAAGCAACTACACAGGTATAGGATAGTGCCTGCTTGGCTTAAAAGTAGCTTATGTTAAAAAAAAAATGACTTGGGACGTTGGGTAGACTGCACTCAGAGAGGGCAGAATGGTATGTTGAGATCAGCTTCAGATTCAGAGTTCATGGACAGGATTCAAATATTTGCCTCACTACCCACAATCTGTGGGACTTTGGACAAGTCGCTTCCAGTTTCTTGGGTTTCTGATTCCTGTCTCCCCTGTAAGACTGGATGATCCATTAAAGTGTCTCCTACCTAAATCCTTTTATTCTAAATCCAATGGGAGATAACACTGGGATATGGGAGCCTCAATGTGATGCTCTGGTCAGACTACATTTAGAATATTGTGCTCAGTTTTGAGTGGTACATTTAAAAAATTTCACCAACAACTTGATTTGTCTAGAGATGGGTACCATGGTCACCATGGGTGGAAGAATGGTGGAAGATATAGAAAGAATGGTGGAATGAGGCAGAGATGGGCAAGTCAGTTAAACCCTTTTGTACTGAGTTTCCTCTCCTCTAAATCGAGGAGAAATGGATTTGATGATAATACAACTAGACTTGGAGCTATTGCATGCTGGGCTCAATGTGCTTGAGGTCTCCAGTGGAGTGCTCCAGGGACTTGCGTTTGGCTACCAATGACTTGGATCAGGCCACATATGACATGCTTACTAAATGTGCAGATGATACAAAGCCTGGAGCAGTCACTAATACATTGGATGACCAAGTCCAAAAGGTCCTTGACAAGCTGGAATAGTGAACTGTATCTAATATGAAAGTCAATAGGGATGAATGTAGTCTTGCACTTGGACGCAAAGAATCAGCTTCACAAGTATTAAGATGGGGGAGGCATGGATGTATACCAGTGGCTCAGAAAAGGCTCTTGGGGGTTAGTGAATAGCAAGCTCAGGCTGAATCAGCAATGGGTTGTGGTAACCCAAAAGGGAATGTCATCTTGGGCTGCAAGAAGTGGGGTGTAGCTTTGAGGCATCTGAGGGGTGCCCCTGGCGACTTTAGGAGGAGCTACAGAGTTATTGCGGTGTTAAAGGGGAGGTCTTGAGAAGCCAAATAGACCTTCCCAACCCTAGGAAGTCTCATAGGCTTGATGAGTTCAATTGCTTATGTAGAGGTCAGGGAGATAATGAATTTGCCTCTGGGGTACAGACTGCTTCCAGTTGGTCCCTTGGTCCCAACTCACTTGTGTACATAAAGTCACCAAAGGAGTATGGAAAGGAAAACTGATGGAACTGGAGCAGATTACCCTAAGGCAAGGTTGAATGTCTTACTGTGGAAAGGGGCTTTTGTGTCAGTGTGGAAGTGATGATAGCTGAGTTGAATCTCCAAGGGAATTAAAGGGAAGAAAGAGGCTTCTGCTTATCCCAAGCTAAGGACCCCAAGCTCTAGCTGCAAGAACAATGTGACATTCCCACTGAAGAGTGCAGCCAAGCTAGCAGCATCCTGGTAAGGAACCAGCATAGCTGTGACTTGCCAGGTGCATGCCAGCAGCAAGTGACGTACTGCCTAATTCTCTATGAGGACACCATCCCTCCCCAAGTTGGGGGAAATGCTTTGTAACTATTCTTAAACTATGCCGTTTGAGTAAATAAATGCCTTTGCTAGAGAACTAACTGCAGCTATTGGTTGATTGTTAAGGGGGAAGTACACCAGAGTGGGCTCTTGATTTAGTGTTGTGAGGACAGCCACCATGGGGTTAGCTTTAGAACCCTGAAGGTAATAGCAGTCATTCCTTCGGTTACTCAGCCCTGAGGAGGGACATTACACAGGTACTCTGCCCTTATCCTACTAGAAAGAGAGTATTTTGTTCGCTTCTGGACACCATCGATTAAGAAGGACGGTGGTAAACTAGAGAGTGTCCAGAGGAGGGCTACCGAAGAAGGTCCTGGAGTCCATGGCACATGAGGACTGGTTAAAAGAACTGGCTCTTGAGGGAACATGATGATTGGCTTTGAAGGGCTTTCCTACAGAAGAGGAATTGGATTTGTTCTGTTCGGTCTTAGAGGACAGGGGCAATGGGTGTACGCTGCATGGAAGCAAATTTAGACTTGATGTCAAGGAAAGCTTCCTACCAATGAGGGCTGTCCAACAGCACAAAGCGCTGCCTTGGGAAGTGGGTTCTTTCTGCTTGTGATCTTTGAGCCTAGGCTGGAGCAAACCCAGTGTTATAGTGAGAATTCTTTTGGGGCCTGGCTTGGACCAGATGACCCCTGAGGATGTCTCTTCCAACGCTCCAGTTCTGTGGTTCTGTGACTCCATGATCTTGGAGGGTCTTTCCAGCCCTAGTTAGATCATGATCTAGGCTTTGCCTGGGAAGGAGAAAAGACCCATTGGATGGTAGGCATACGGAAAAAGGAAGTAAATGGTGTTCTTTCAAGGAGCAAAACTGGGGTGCAAGTGAAACAGTACATTGGCTTGGAGTCAGAGAACCTAGCTTCAAATTGCAGCTCTCCTGCTTACTCTGTGTGACCTTGAGCCAGTCACAGAGGTCATGTTGTTTAGTTGTTTTCAGCCACGTCTAACTCTCATGACCCCATCTGGGGTTTTCCTGGCAGAGACACTAGAGTGGTTTGCTATTTCTTTCTCCAACTCATTTTATGGATGAGGAAACTAAGGCAAAAAGGGTTAAGTGACTAGCCCAGGGTCCCAAAGCTAGTAAGTGTCTGAGGCCACATTTGAACTCAGGAAGATGAATCTGTCTGACCCCAGGCCTGGCACTGTGTTCACTATGGCACCCCCTGGCTGCCCCTAGGGGACATAAGGTCATACATTTGATGTGACAAAGCAACGTGGACACCATCTAGTTCAACAATCTTGTTTTATAGATGAGGAAACTGAGGCCCACAAAGGCTAAATAACTTCGTCAAAGTCCCACAGAAAGCAGCTGAGTCAGGATTTAAAGCCCATCCCAACTCCTGATCCTGGGCTCTTTCCACTCTACCAGCATCTGAGCCTCAGTTTCCTCCTCTCTAAAGGAGGTTAAACTAAATGACCTAGAAGATCCCTTCTGGCTCTAAAACTGACTTCCCTATAAAGTTTCAGAGGCAAGCTTCAGCTCCATGTAAGGCAGAACTTTCTACCAATCAGTGCTTGCCCAACAATGGAATAGGCTGATATGTGAGGCAGTGAGCTCCCTGTCGCTGGGAGTGTCCAAGCAGAGGCTAAAACTTGTAGGAATTATTCTCTGCTTTGGGGCTCCCCTGTGCCCCCGTTTCTGCTACCAGTCTTAGCCACTGCACTGGACACTGTGGGCACCTGGGGGGCTTCTTGATTTGTCTGGTACCCTATAGCCATTAGAGTCCCTCGGGAATACCTGATCTGCTCCCCTGTGGCTGTCTGATTGAAGTGGGGGCAGCTTCCCAGATGAGCCACTCACTACTATTGTGGAAGAGAAGTATCATGGATGAAAAGACTGGAGAGAGCCTCCCCCAGGCTGTCTTAAAAGGGGCCCTTCCTCCGGGCACCCACTGGTCAGGGTTCCGAGGTATCATCTGCCTCAAGAGAGAAATCCGCCCTAGATTTCTCAGGTCCCCAGCTCTCTTCACCTTAACGGACAAAAGAAATAGCTGCCCTAAATGAGAGGGCGGAGTTTGGGCCCACGAGGCCAACAGACTCAGCACCACCAGGCCAGGAGAGGGGCGGGGATGGCAAAGGCCAACTTTGCTCCCTCTCCGGGCCCCCGGGCTCTCTGGCCGTATTCCCCAGGGCAGGCTGGGCCCCAGAGCTAGCCCCCCCCTGCCAAGGAAACGGGAGGTTCCCCTCTGCCCTGTCCCAGAACCCTGGCGGCCCTAGGGGTCAACCTTTCCCAGGACATAGACAGCCGCCCTCCAGTAGAAACCCTGTCCGCGGCTGGGGGCCGAAGGGTCGCTGATCTTTGCCCCTGCCTCGCCAGTCCTTCCCTACAGCCCCTGGCCCCCGGCTCCAGCAGATCTCCCCGGCTCTTGCGCCCTCGTGGCTTCAGCGCTCCCTTGGCCCCGAGACCCCAGCAGCGGCCCCCTTGTCTCCAGCGCGCGCTTGTTGGCTCCTGCCGCGCCATCCGCTCCACGGTCCCACAGCAGCGCCCCCCTCCCTCCAGCGCGCCCCCCTCGGCTCCAGCGCCCCAGCAGCGCCCTCGCGCCTGCCCTTTGTGCTCGGCTGCCCCCCCCGCCCGGGTGCCAGAGAGCCGCCCCCATCCCCACAGGCGCCCCCCACCGTTCCCTCCCTCCCGGGCGGGATCCTCCCCCTCGGCCTAGCTCAGCCCCCCGCGCCCCTCAGCTCCCAGCGCGTAGCACCCGCGGCCCGGGGCTAGCTCTCTGGGCCGCCTGCTCCCTGCGGGGCCCCCGAAGCGCGCGGGGCGGGCAAGAGGAGGGGCCAGGGGCCGGCCGGCCCGGCAGCGCTCCCCCATCCTCTCCGGCCCCCCCGCCCCACTCCCGGCTCCCCCCTGCAGCGGACCGAGGTAGGGGCGAAGGGAGGGAGCGGCGGGCCGTCCAGCCCCGAGCCGAGGCGAGCCATGTGGGCTGGACTGCTCCTGCGAGCTGCCGCAGCCGCCGCCTGCCTCGCGCTCTCCCTGCCCGCCGGCGTCTCCGCCCGAGGCTACACGGGGGGCAGGAAGAAGCCCGTTCCGTTCGCGGCCGAGAGGTAAGCCCGGGACCAGAGCGCCAGCGCTCCTCGCTCTCTCGGGCGCTCACAGCCCTCCGTGCCTGCCCCGAGGAGCCCCGGCGGGCAGGCTGGGCGAGCCAGCGATCGAGGGAGGGAGGGCACTGGTCGCCGGGCAGGCTGGGAGGGCGAGGGAGGGCACTGGTCGCCGGGCGCGGAGGGACGATGCTGCACAGGCGGTCGGATGTCCTATGGGACACACCTCGGTGGCGCTGTCCACCTGGCGGTGGGGGTGGGGGCTATGAGGTGGTCAAAGAGTCGAGGGAGACAAAGCAGCCCAAGAGTCCTCCTTCTGTACCCCTCCGTGTCTGGACTCGCCCCCTGGGGCTTCCCCGGGCCGAGCTCTGTCTTCTCCGTGCGCGTGCTCTCCCTCGCTGGGCAGCTTCAGCAGCCTTCACCCTGGACCTGAGCGTGCGGCTGGCAGTCCCTGGGCCAACCCGAGGACTGCTGTGAGCGTAGGGTAGGTTGTGTGTGGGGGGTCTGGCCCCTTCGTCTGTGTCCCTGCCTGGGCCACGTTGCCTTTCCGGATCAGATGGCCCAAAGAGCCCACAGTGTTCTTTCTGGGTGACCAGATCCCCTCCTGGCACAGCCGGGAGGCCCGACTTCAGCCCTGGAAGCACCAGGGTTCAGCGGGAGGAGAAATGGATTTGGGGTCCTAGGACCTCCGTTCCAGTCCCAGCTCTGCTGCTGGTGACCCTGGACCAGTGCTTTCTCTCAACCAATCTGCAAACATTTCCCCATCCTCTAATTTTGTGCAATGCTCTGTCTGTGCTGGGCTCTGGGAACGGGAAGAGGCATTATAATCAGGCCCGGAGACTGCAACGGTATCTGTTTCTATCTACATGATACATATATGGGGAAGGAAACAATTTGTTACACACCAAGTGTTTTATAAATATTATCTCCATTGAGCCCCACAACAACCCTGGGAGGTGGGTACTGTTATGATCTCCATTGAGGAGATCTGAGGCAAGTAGGTTAAGTGACTTGCTCAGGGTCACACAGTGCTATCTGAGGCCCAGCTCTCCTCACCACCTCCATGCCTCAGCTAGATATCAGTATACAGATAGGAGCTAATTTGGGAGTAGAAAGGCCCAAGCAGCTGAGGGCAGAGGCATGCCTCTGCCCAAGCCTGGAATTCATTTCCACTTCACCTCCATTTCTGAGAAGCCTGAGTGTCCTTCAAGACTCATCTCTAGGGCTCTGGAGGGCTCCATGGTGCTTCTATATGCCCTGCACACAGTAGGAGGTGAGTAAATGTTGGCTGAAAGGAAGTGGGATGGTAACTGGTAGTGTGGTGTGACCATCACGTTCTCACTCTGGAGACAGAAATCCTGGGTTCAAATTCTCACTTGGTCACTGACTGAGTTGACTTTGGGCAAGTTTTTTAACCACTCCGGGCCTGGGTGTACTCCATAGAAAGAGAGGTTTAGAGTAAATGTTCTCTCGGTCCTTTCTGTCTCCCTGTAATCCTCATTAGAGCAGGAGCTTCTTGAAGGCAGGAAAGATTTAGCTCTTTACCTTTCTCCAAAACCCCAATGGTAAGCACAAATGCTAGTGCCTGGCATACAGTAGATGCTTAATAAATGCTGGCTGACCTGCTGGGTGACTGGGTGATCTCTGCTTCTCTTTATACTTTCTTTAACAACACAGAGAAATGGGGGCCGATTTTTCACCTGCAATACTTTCAAACACAACAAGTCATGACTTCTTATAGAAGAAAAGTCTTTCTTAAGGAGTTCAGGCCCATTCAAGCATTGCTTGATATTCATCTCCTGGGGATTTCTCTCTTTCTCTCTCTTTCCTTCCTTCCTTCTTTCTTTTCTTTTCTTTTCTTCTTTCTTTCTTTTCTCTTCTTTTCTTTTCTTTTTTTCTTTCTTTTCTTTTCTTTTCTTTTCTTTTCTTTTCTTTTCTTTTCTTTTCTTTTTTTTCTTTCTTCTTCCTTCCTTCCTTCCTTCTTTCTTTCTCTTTCTTTCTTTTTTTCCTTCTTTCTCTCCCTCCCTCCCTCCCTCCCTCCCTTCCTTTCTTCTTTCCTTCTTTTCTTTCTTTCTCTCTCTTTTTTCTTTCTTCCTTCCTTTCTTCTTTCTTTCCTTCTTTTCTCTCTCTCTTCCTTCCTTACTTCCTTTCTGTCTTTCTTTCTTTTTCCTTCCTTCCTTCCTTCCTTCCTTCCTTCCTTCCTTCCTTCCTTCTTCTTTCTTTCTTTCTTTCTTCTTCTTTTCTTTCTTTCTTTCTTTCTCTCTCTCTCTTTCTCTCTTTCTCTCTTTCTCTCTTTCTCTCTTTCTCTCTTTCTCTCTTTCTCTCTTTCTCTCTTTCTCTCTTTCTCTCTTTCTCTCTTCTCTCTTTCTCTCTTTCTTTCTTTCTTTCTTTCTTTCTTTCTTTCTTTCTTTCTTTCTTTCTTTCTTTCTTTCTTTCTTTCTTTCTTTCTTTCTTTCCTCCTTTATCTCTTGGGCGGATGTTGCTTTTCTGTTGGGCTTGTGTTGACTTGCTCACCCTCCAAGGGCGGGATCAGGCAGAATCCTGCTGCTCGCCAGCTCGTTGGGAGCGTGTGCCTGTGTGCGTGTGCTGCTCGCTCCCTCGCTCCCTGTGTGAGAACACTGTGTCAAGCTGGGGTTTTCTGGCAGGGGGCCAGGGATTGCTCTCCTGCAGCGTCTGGGGGTCCTTGCCCCTTCCCTGCCTGACAGCTTGCACCTGTGTGGTTTCATGAGCTGCCTAAGGTTCTTGGCCACATTTCAGGGCCTGCTGTCCACCTGTCTCTCAGTCAGTTTGTCAGCTCGTCTCCCTGGGGATTTTCCACTCAGTGCCTGGATTTGATTGGACAGATGTATGCTGGAGCTTCATCTCCTCTGTGGGGCATCCATCAGTCCCTCTGGCCAGTGGCCACAATCAGATAAGACACATGAGATCTGACTGCCTGATAAGACAACTCCCCCACTCCAGCTGTCACCTTGGCAGGACTCAGCTAAGCATGCTCTAGGGTGGGGGGGACAGAGAACAGTGTTGCCAAGGCCCCCCACTTTGGAAATTTGGGGACTTCTGTTCTCTGGCTGGTGGTGGAGAGGAGAATCTTATGAATCCCCAGGGATACTTGCCTACAGCCTCATATAGAAAAGGGCACTAGGTTTGGGGTCTCAGGACCTCGTTCAAGTCTCACTATTGAATTACCTGGGTGATTATAGACTTGTCACATCATAGGCAGTCATAGATTGGGAGTAGGAAGGGATTTCAGAACCTCTTCATTTTACAGATGAAGAAACTGAGGCGGGGAGGTGAAGTGGTCACCCAGGTAGTGAACGTCAGAGGCAAGATTTGAATCAGGCTGACTCCAGAACCAGTGTCTGTCCACTTGACCAGATGGGGTCTTCAGGCCTCAGTTTCCTTCTTCATAAAATGAGGGGGTTTGCACTGAATGGCTCCTGAGGCCAGCTCAAAATCTTTGAACCTCTGAAAGGGGTCCAGAGGAGAACCTTATTGCTGTTCCTTTCCATAGGGTTTAGGGCTAGAAGGACTTTTGTACCTCATCCAATGAAGTTGAACCTTTTTCTTTTATAGATGAGGGGCCCTCCGAGTTTCAGGGATTTCTCCCAAGGTTGTTCAGTGTAGACCAAGATGGGGAGTTTGGAACCAGAGCCTTTGCTGCTGCTTTTTTTATTTTTTTGTCTAGGCAATGGGGTTAAGTGACTTGTCCAGGGTCACACAGCTAGTAAGTGCCAAGTATCTGAGGCCAGATTTGAACTCAGGTCCTCCTGACTCCAAGACTGGTGCTCTATCCACCGTGCCACCTAGCTGCACCCAGAGCCTTTGCTTCTAAATTCAGTTCCATGTTTGCCGTACTGACCACGGCCTCGGTGATCACTGAGAACAGAGCCCAGGGCAGTCCCTGCTCACACCCTAGACTCACTCCACCTTTCTGAAGGAGGGAATCTAAATGCCCCAGCATCCCATCGATTGATTCTCCACTCTTATCCCTTAGATTTCCTGGTCTCTAAACTCAGGGCAATGTGCAAACGCAACTATGTATGTATGGGATATGTGTAATATAAATGGAAAGTCATGTTAGGGGCAAGTGTAAGCTGTAGGAGCTGGGCTGGGCTGGGCAGGGTTGGGCAAGGAGGGGAACCAGAAAAGGCAGGAGGAAGGTAGGATTTGAGCTGTGTCTGGAAGGAAGGCTGGGAAGCTGAGGAAGGAAAGCATTCCAGGCATGGACAACCACTATTGAAAAGGCATGGAGAGGGGGAGATGAAGGAAGAGCCAGGAGGCCAGTGTCCATGGGTTATAAAGTTCATAGAGGGAACGAAAGTGTAAGAAAACTGGAGAGGTACAAAGGGGCCAAGTTGTGAAGGGTACATTTAATCCTGAAGGAATGGGGAGCCATTGCGGTTTTATTGAGCTGGGGAGTAATGTGGATGCATCTATACTTGAGGAAAATCACTTTGACATCTGAGGGGATGAGACGCTGAAGTGAGGAAAGATAAGAGGCAACAAAAAATATATATATATATATATATATAAATAAATAAAAAGATAAAGAAGGGGCAGCTAGGTGGTGTGGTGGATAGAGCACCAGCCCTGAAGTCAGGAGGACCTGAGTTCAAATCTGGCCTCAGACCTAACACTTAACACTTACTAGCTGTGTGACTCTGGGCAAGTCACTTAACCCCAATTGCCTAAAAATTAAAAAAAAAGATAAAGATAAAAGGTGACTCCGAGGTCATTGCAGTAGTCTCTGAGAAGTAACAGGGACCTGAACTAAGGTCATGTGGGGGTGTGGCTGGAGAGAAGGGACGTATGTGAGAGATGTTTCAAAGGTGGAAGTGCTCTCTCCCTCCTCAGATTACCTTGTCTTTGCTCAATGTCGGTAGGGTGTATCCCTTCTGTGGAATGTAAGTGCCCAGAGGACAGGGACCTTTTTCTTGGTCTGAGTCCTTAGCACCTAGCCCAGTGCCTTACACATAGTAGGAGCTTACTAAATATTTGTTGAGTTAAACTTTGAACCTGGGATGCCACAGTGCCCAATGCAGTGCCAAGCCTCTAGACTAGAGTTGCCTCAAGGGACCGCCTTCTGTTGGTGGGCCAGCCCACTGACTGGATGATTGGTTTCCATTGTCCAGCTGACTCGGTTTCTCCCCCAGTGCAGAGAATCCCAAACCATCTCTCTCTTTTTCAAGACGCCGCCTGGGACCCCACGTTTGCCTCTCAGGGTTTGGAAGTGGTTGCTGCCCTGGCTGGGTGCCCTCTCTGGGCAGTGGACAATGTACTCTCCGTAAGTGCCTTGGCTCCTTCTGTGAACCTCTCCTCTGAGTAATGGGGCTCTGGGACCTGTGGGATGTGGGGGGGGGGTGGGAACCAGGAGACACACTGGAAGTCGTGCTGTCCAAAGGGGCCCCGATCCTTTCTCACGTGCCCCTCGGTCTCGTCCCCCAGCCCTATGCTCCTATGGTTGTGGCAGCGGCTTCTGCATCGCTCCTAATGTCTGCTCCTGCAGGGATGGAGAGCAAGGCATCACTTGCCCAGGTAAATGAGAGCAGGGGACCTGGGTTCTAATACTGTCTAGGTTATGATCTAGCTGTATGAGCTGGAATGACTGCGGTCAGCTCCCCTGGAAAAGGAGACTAGATCATTTTTCCAGCTCTAAGACTGCTCCTTTAATAGAGGAAACAGTACACTGTGGATATACTCTTTTAAAAAGCTTTTTTTTTTTTTTAGGGGCAGCTAGGTGGCACAGTGGATAGAGCACCGGGCCCTGGATTCAGGAGGACCTGAGTCAAATGCGGCCTCAGACACATAACACTTACTAGCTCTGTGACCCTGGGCAAGTCACTTAACCCCACTGCCCAGCCAAAAAAAAAACCCACCTTTTTTTTAGTTTAATTTTGATGTTTTTTATTAATGGCATGTAAACCAAAATTTTAACATTTGTTTTAAAATTTTTTAAGTTCCAAATTCTCTCCTTCTCTGTTTCCCCTCCTTCCTTGAGAAGGTAAGCAATTTGATATAGATCTATATAATATATAGGGGGCAGCTAGGTGTCACAATGAATAGAGTTCTGGGCCTAGAGTCAGGAAAACCTGAGTTCAAATCTGTCCTCAGACATTTCCCAGATGTGTGACCCTGGGCAAGTCACCTAACCCTGCTTGCCTCAGTTTCCTCATTTGTAAAATGAGCTGGAGAAGAAAATGGCAAACCACAAAGTCACAAAGAAGCAGATATGACAAAAATGACTGAGCAACAACATAATTTAGTGATATTATACGTATGCAGTCATGCAGAACATTTTGTGGATATATTCTCTCTAGTGGGAGGGATATGGGTAAGGGAGGCTGGGGCCTAATGGCCTCCACTGGGGGCTCACCGAAGCCACGACATATATGCAGAGAAGGGATCAAGGGCCTGGATTCAAGCCCTGGGTCCATTACTTAAGAAACCATAAGAAGACTTGGGTAAGTCCAGCTACCTTTGTGAGCTTTGGTTTCTTCCTTTGTAAAATAGAATAGTAATTTTTGCACTACCCAGCCTGGGAGGAAGAAAGTACTCTGCAAACAGTCAAGCATTATTACTTAAGTGTGAGCCAGTATTATAACTGTAACTAAGGCTGGTCTATCTGGGCTTTGACCCAGGTGGGAAATTCAGAGACACTATCTGGGCATGTGCTTCCTTTCCTGCCTAGTTCCATCCCCTGCATCAGCCTCCTTTAGCAGTGCAGTCCTCTCTCCTTCAGGTGCTTAGAAACTTTAGGGTGTACCAGAGCCTGCTTCATCCCTCAGTGCCCTCCACTCTTTTGGTTAGCCCCCAGGAGTGTCCAGTTTTTTTTACATCATGGGGACCTTGTAGTTTGCTGGAGTGGATTTCTTCTCTGTCCTGGTTACATAAGAGGGGCTCCTCCTTCTTTGCTACCTCCACAATCTGGGGGCTTAACCTAGGCCAAAGACTGCCCTGCGGCTGTTGTTAGTATTCTCATGTTATCGATGTTTTCATTTCAGAAGCCCCTGGACCGTGTGGTGAGTATGGTTGTGACTTGGCCTGTAACCATGGCGGCTGTCAGGAGGTAGCCCGTGTCTGCCCGGTGGGGTTCTCCATGATAGAGACAGCCATTGGCGTCAAATGTACAGGTGAGAACGTTGGCTGGATGCCTTCCCAGGAGCCATGTGTATATAGCTACCTGTCCTGGGAAGAGAGAGTGTTGGGTCTCCCGCCAGAGGACCATCTCTGCTATTCACTATCTGTGTGACTGAGAGCAAGAAGCTCTTGGTAATTTGTGAGCGAGGGTTGGAGGAGATACATCCTAGGGTCTGGTTCAGCTCTCTGCCCTAGCGCCTATGCTTTCCTATCTCCAGTGGCCCAGAAGAGACTGATAGGAGGAGATGAAGAAGGGACAGGCCTGTGGATCTGGTCACCTCCTAGAGGCTTTCTGAGATTTCCTCTTTCCTTTCCTCTCATACGATCAGAGACTTACAACTCTAGCCCTGGAAGAGACCTTAGAGACTGTCTGGTCTAAACTCTTCATTTTACAAATGAGGAAACTGAGGCCCAGAGAGAGGAAATATCTTTGTACCTGAGGATCACAGCTGGGAGGAACATTGAGAGGCTAGCTAGTCTAAGCTCTTCCTTTTACAAATAGGGAGAGTGAGGCCCAGAGAAGTAGAGGGACTTGTTCCACTCCCATTACTTGTGGAGTGATTGAGTGAGCTCAAGGGCAGGCCTAGGCATGGAGAAAGACTCATTCCACGCTGTCCATTCCACTTGCCAATCTTCCCCATCTTTTCCCCTCTTGAATTTTCGCTCCGGTTCTAACCTATCAGATTGTAAGCCTTCACATGCTTTAGGGTGCATGGTTCATTCCCCCACTTCTTACCCAACCCCAGTGGAGCAGAGTGAGGAAGGGTTTATACTCAAAGGAAGGGCTGAATTTAACAAGATGAAATTGAATGGAGATAAATGTCAAATCACACTGAGGTTTAAATAATCAATAGCACAAACACATGACTGGGCATCAGTTCACGTGGAAGAGATGCCAAGACCCAAGTGAATCAGTAATGTCACTGTCCCCCAACACTAATGTAGTGTTCAGCTATATTCACAGATGCCACAAACATTCCATGTGTTTAGAATGAGGGAGGCATTAGTCCCATGGTCTTCTGCCCTGGTTAGGCCCCATCTGGAGTATGGGGTTCACCACACTGTAAGATAGAATGGGTCCAGAGGAGGGTGGCTACCATGTTGGTGAGGGAACTCAATCCTGCAGTGTGAGAGGAACAGCTGATTTGGGGGGATTTTTGACTTGGAGAATGGAAGAATTGGTGGGAGGGAGGGGAGACACAATAGCTGTTTTAAATCATTTAAAGGGTCATCCTGTGGAAGAAGGATTAACCTTGTTCTGCTTGGCTCTGGAGGGCAGAAGAAGGAATAATGGGCAGAAATGACAGGGGCACCGATTTCCATTCAACATCAGAACGAATCCTTCTATGGCACTTCCATGGTGGGAGATCACTGGACTTGAAGTCAGAGGGGCCAGGCCTAGGTCACTCCTCTGCCCCTCACTCCTGTTATAATTTGGGGAAACTCGCTGGACTTCTCAGGGCCTCAGTTTCCTTCCCTGTAAAAGGAAGGGGTCAAATGAGGTGACCTCCTCACAGCTTGGAGCAGAGTTAGTCCTTCCTTAAAATTCTCTGTCTGTGGATCATTTCTCTCGCATCTTGACTGGGTACATGATTCCTGTGGTTTTATGAGAGTCAGTGTGTGACTTTCCATCTGAGTATGTCCCTGACCCTGCATGAGCTTATTTTATTGATGGGTGGGTGTTTTCCTTTGCCTGCCGTGTGGCTGGCCGTGTGGGCGTAGGAATGTCTAGGGGTTGGTTTCCGTGATGTAGTGGAAAGAGCGTCGGGCTGGCAGCTAGAGGAATTGTGGTCAGATCCCAGCTGTACCACTTAGTACCTGGGTGACCTGGCACAGTGACTTCACCTCATTTTACAGATTAGGAGGTAGGGCTTTCATTAAAATGGCAGATTTCTGGAGTTGGAAGAGACCACGGAGCCCATCTAGTCCAACCAATGAAATATCGTCTATGACATCCTCAACAAGTGGTCCTTCAGCCTTTGTCTGGAGACCTCCAAGCCAAGAGAACCACGGCCTCCCCGGAAGACCATTCTCCCCTCATCTTGTGCTTCTTTTGAGACCAAGTCTTTCACTTTTCCTCCTCGAGCCTCATTTTCCTCATCTGGAAAATGAGGGAATTCAACAAGATGGCCCCTGGGGGCCCTTTCAGCTCTGGATACTTTGTTCCCTGTTCCAATTCCCCAGTTTGGTTCAGTCTAGTACTGTATGGAGCTTGCTGAGACATCTTGGAATTCTCGGTTCTGTAACATATGAATGTGTTAGTGATCCCTCCTGGTCTTGTATCACGAATGACTGAATCATGAATCAAGGAGCATTTATTAAGCACTTACTGTGTGCCTGTACTAAGTCCTGGTGCTATAGATGCCAAAGGGTTGTCCCTGCCCTCCAGCAGCTTACATTCTAAGGGCATTGCCATCTGCAAATTTGATGAGCATTTCATTTATAACTTTATCCAAATCATTGATGAAAATGGTGACCAGGTTTAGATCCCTGGGACACTCCACCAGTGACCTTCTTCTATACCTTGGATTTACTCATTCAACCAGTCCAGAACCCACCTGACTTTATCTGTCTCTAGGACCCTGCCAGGTGTAGATTCTTTGAGTCCGTCTTGGGGATCGATGTCTTTATTCTTACTTGTCAGAAAATTTCCCAAAGGCCACAAGTTCTCTGTTTTGTGTTTCCTTCCCAGACATTGATGAATGCTTAAGCTCCTCCTGTGAGGGCCTCTGTGTGAACACAGAAGGAGGGTTTGTGTGTGAGTGTGGGCCAGGTATGCAGCTTTCTGCTGACCGACACAGCTGCCAGGGTAAGTCCCCCAAGAAGAGGCTGGGGAACTTGGGTGGATTCTATGGAAACTGTCCCTGAGGTCTAGCCAGGAGACAGAATAAGGGCTGAGGAGACAGCAAGAGGGAGGACAGCGTCCACCCAAGAGCGAAGGCAGGAGAAGGCCGAGGGGAGCTCGAGGGGAGGCATGACCTTCGGGGAGGGAAATGTGGCGATTGGAGGGGAAAGGAGCCCACTGCTTTCCCAGAGGCTCTGCAAGTGATAGCAGTTGGGGAGGAAGTCATGGAATCTCAGCTTTGGAATGAAACTCAGAAATCATCCTGTTTCACCCTGGGATACTTGAATCCATCAAGAGAGGAATGAACATTTATTAAGCATCTACCTACTATAGGCGGGCATGGTGCTTATTGATAGAAAGGGGCAAAAGACAGTCCCTGCCCTCAAGGCGCTTACAATCTAATGGGGGAGATGAGAGACAAACAGAGCAAGCTGGATACTAGATTAATAGGAAGTAATTATCAGAGGGAAGGTACTGGAATAAGAGGGGTTAGGGAAGGCTTCCTGTAGAAGGTGGGATTTTAGTTGGGATTTAAAGGAAGCTGGGGAGGTCAGTAGGCAGAGACAAGGAGGGAGAATATTTTAGGCAGGGGAAGCAGTCAGAGATAAGGCCTGGAGCCAAGAAATGGACACAGTCAGAGGAGGCCAGTGCCGCTGGACCGAAGTATGTCTCAGGGAGTAAGCTGTAAGAAGACTGGAAAGGGAGGAGGGGGCAGGTGATGAAGGGATTTGAATGCCAAAAAAAACCCATCTTGTATTTGCTCCTGGAGGCAACTGGAGTGTCTGTGTGCGTGTGTGTGTGTGTGTGTGTGTGTGTGTGTGTGTGTGTGTGTGTGTGTGTGACAATATCAGACCTGTGTCTAAGGAAAATCACTTTAGTGGCTGAATGGAGTGAAGCAGGCAGACCCACCTGCAGGCTATTGTAATAGTCCAGGTGTGATGTCATGAGGGTCTACACCAGGGGATGGCAGTATCAGAGGAGAGGAGGGGGTGTATTCAAGACTTGTTGTAAAGGTGGGATCAACAGGCCTTGGTAACAGAGGAGATATTTGGGCAGGAAGTGAGAGAGAAGGAGGAATCCGGGATGACACCTAGGTTGTGAGCCAGAGGGACTGGGAAGATGGTGTTATACTCTACAGAAATAGGAAATGTAGGACAGGGGAAAGTTTAAGGGGAAGGACAATGAGTTCTATTTTGGACATGTTGAATTGAGGATGTCACAAAATGTCTGAAAGGTGTTTGGAGATGCAAGGTTGGAGGTCAGCAGAGAGACTGGGGCAGGATGGGTAGGTTTGAGAATTGGCAGCATAGAGATGGTTATTAAATCCATGAGAGCCGATGAGATCCCCAAGTGAAGCAGTACAGAGGGAGAAGAGAAGAGGGTCCAGACAGAACTATTAGGGACCCCTGTGGTTAGAGGGCGGGATCTGGAGGAAGATACAGCAAAGAGACAGAGGAGGAGCCGTCAGAGAGGGAGGAGGAGAAGCAGGAGAGAGACAGAGACAGAGAGTCAGAGAGAGAGAGACAGAGACAGAGGAGGAGCCCTCAGAGAGGGAGGAGGAGAAGCAGGACGGAGAAGGGTGTCTGAAAGCCTCAAGAGAAGAGAAGATCAAGAGAATGACCAACAGTGTCCAAGGCTGCAGGGAGGTCAAGGAGAATGAAGATTGAGAAAGGCCATTGGACCTGGCAGTCAGGAGATCCTTATAACTGCAGAGAGCAGTTTCGGTGGAATGATGAGGTCGGAAGCAGGATTGTAAGGGATGAATTCCCTCAATGACCTTCCTAAGAAATGGTCCAGTAGCTTCTCCTGAGGCTCAGCACTGGAAGGACTCAGCACTTCCAAGGGCACCTCTTCCCTCTGGGACAGCCCCAGTTGGTCAGAAGTGTTCCCTTGCATTGAGACCATCTGTCCCTCTGTTCTAGCCACGGGTGGTTCTGCTCTTCGGGGCCCTGCAGGTCAATTAGTCAGCAAGCATTCACGAAGCATTTAACATGTGCCAAGTGTTGAGGATACGAAGCAAAAGCAAAGACAGCCCTGCCCTCAAGGAGCTCATAGTCTAAATGGGAAACAAGCACATACCTCAGTAATATACGCTCCCTACAAAGGAGGTGAAAGGCCCCCTTAGAGGGGGAGGCTTGGCCCCTGGGTGGCATCGAATTGAGTCTTAAAGGAAGCCAGGAGGGGCAGCTAGCTAACACAGTAGATAGAGCTCCAGCCTTGGAGTCAGGAGGACCTGAGTTCAAATCTAGCTGTAGACACTTGACACTTACTAGCTGTGTGACCCTGGGCAAGTCACTTAACCCTGACTGCCTCACCAGAAAGAAAAAAAAAAAGAAGCCAGGATTCTGAGTCAGAGGTGAGGAGGGAGAGCAATGCAGGCATGGGGCCCAGCCAGGGCAAAGACACAGAGGTGGGAGATGGAGTAGTGTGTGTAGGAGTGGAGGGGAGGTCAGTTTGGCCAGACTGGGTAGTACAGAAAGGGAAGTGATTGTAGTAAGGCTAGAAAGGGGGTTGGGCTAAGCTGAGGAGAGTTGTAAAGACCAGGCAGAGGAGTGTATCTTTGATCCTGGAAGTGGGAGGCAGCCACTGGCCTTTGCTGAGAAGAGCAGCGTGGTCAGTCCTTTGTGGCGGACAGACAGGAGCGGGGCCTGAACCAGTGCTGGCTTTGGGGGTAAGAACATAAATAGAACGGAAGCTCCTTGTGGGCAGGCATTGCATTTCACTCTTGTCTTTGCCTCCCTAAGGTTAGACTATGTGGGCAGAAGGGTAAGCAGGGATTTTTTAACCTAGGACAAAAATAGCAAGTGGGCAGGCAGCGTGAGCTGGCGGAGGGGCTGTGTAGCCCTGTTCCTTCTCCTTGGACCTCTGTAAGACCTGGTCGCTCTTGTCCGCTCCATGCACTGGCTGGCAGAGGATGAAAAGGCATGGACTCCCTCAGAGGAAGGGGGCCCCCTTCCAAGATCAGCGCCTCGGACAGAGCCTCAGCTGCCTGCCTTGGTTATGGCTCTTCACGTAGGCAGCCAGTGTTTGGAGTGGACATGCTTTTGATCGCCTCACGCCTTTCCCTTTCAGACACCGATGAGTGCATGGGGGTTCCTTGTCAGCAGAGCTGCCAGAATAGCATCGGTAGCTACAGGTGCTCCTGCCGACCAGGCTTCTACCTCCATGGTAACCGGCACTCCTGCGTTGGTGAGGCTTGGCCCGGGGAAGGGGGCTCACCACCGCTCTCCTCATGGTCTCCAGTCAATGGGTGAATGGGGGCTGAGACCCAGGGACAGGGAAGAATGAGCCTTTACTATGTGCTGTGCTCTGTGCTAACTATCTCTGGCCACACCAAGAAAGGCAAAAACGCCCTCCCTGCTCTGAAGGCGCTTGTGGTCCAATGGAGGAGTCACCGTGCAAATGACTGAGCCAGAGAAGATGGGGTGGGCCGGGTTGAGTTGAGGCAAGAACAGACGAATCCCGAGAAGCAGGACGCCATTGTATGTTCAATTAGTTATTTACTTAAAAAGAAAAAGCAAGGTCTATGACAGAAGACCTTCATATTTTCATGTGCAATCCTCTTTGGTTTTACATTTATATAACAGCTCATTTTATTTGGAGTTTGTTAACTTCAGAAACCTTTAAAAAGTGAAACAAATAAACTTGGAGGATTGGCCCGAATGACCCATAAGGCCCAAAGTCTATGAGTCCACAGCCTTTGATAACTTTCATTCCTTCCTTTGCCTCGGCTCGCTCCCACCCTGGTCCTCGGCTCCAGTATTCCCGAGCGTGCTGGCCCTCCTTGCTGACCGCCATCACACATCTAATTCCTCTGGGTCACAGGAGTCGTGAGCCCTGTGTTTGTTCAATGTGTGAGCAGCATAGAGAAACTCAGGGAGAGACCCCAGTGATCAGCCTTGAGCTTGGCTCCGTTCTGGGGACGTGAGTCTAGACCATGTCCAAGCTCCTCTGTGGCTGGATGAGAGAGCTGGAGGCCGAGTCCCTGGTCCTTGAAAAGGTCCCGGCCACGTGGCATATAGTCACGCTCAGAGTGGATCCATGTTTTCAGTAACTCAGAGATTTAAAAATTCCCTTCTGGGATTGTCAGAGGAAAGCAGCAGAGTAGCACGCTCCCCAGAAGGCTAGATTGGGGATCGGGAAGACCTGAGTTCAAATCCATCCTCAGACACTGGGCCAGTCACTTAACTGCTGTCTGCCTTTATCTGTAAAATGAAGGTAGTAATAGCATCTGCCTCACAGGTCATGAGAAAAAGCTCTTCACTACTTACACGACCTTGGGAAATCCCTTGACCAACACCCCCCCCACCTGCTCCCCACCCTGAGCCTCAGTTTCCTCTTTTGTAAAATGATGGGATTGTACTTAATGACCTCTGAGGGTCTGTCCAGCTCTGAATCTTTGACCCCAGGTGAAATCACAGAAGTGCATGGGGCTGGTCAAATTTGTGTAGGAGGTGGGTTTGTTTTTTAACATGCCTATTGTATACTAGATGTTTAATATCTAGCATTTATATAACACATACTATGTGCCAAGCACTGCTAAGCTCTTTACCATGATTATCTCATTTTATCCTCACAACAACTCTGGGAGGTAGGTATTATTATTGTCCCCATTTTACAGATGAGGAAACTGAGGCAAATAGAGGTTAAGGTTCAGTGACTTGCCTAGGGTCACATAGCTAGTAAGTGTCTGAGGCTGGATTTGAACTCAGATCTTGCCGACTCCAGGCCTGGCGCTCTATCCGTTGCACCACCTGCTTAACCTTTAGGGACACAGCGTCTAATACCTTGGTGTGGCTTGACCAGCAGTGGTGAGGGCCCAGCTCACCACTGGCCATCTGGGGCAGGGGGCTAGGAACAGGGGCCCCCATGTCTCTAGCCTATGATGGGCAGGAAGGAGGTCCCTCAGTGGTCAGGAGCAGTGGGGGCCTGCTGGAAAGTCCTGTGCTGGGCAAGGAGCCTCCGTGGACACGTAGGGGGTCTTCTGCAGATGTGAACGAGTGTCGCCGACCCCCAGAGAGGCGTGTCTGTCATCACTCCTGCCAGAATACCATGGGGAGTTTCCGCTGTGCCTGCCGGGCAGGCTTCCGCCTCAGTGCAGACAGGACGTCCTGCGAAGGTAAGCATCCCCTTCTTTCTCTGAAGGCCTTTGAGGTAGAAGGGAGCTCAGCTTTGCTCTGCTTGGCCCCAGAAAGCAGAAATAGGCACTAGAGGTGGAACTGGACCTCAGACAGAGGCTTGAAGGCACCAAGGACTTTGTAAGGACAATGAAACCTCCATGAAGGCTAGAAGTCTTTCATTTTTGTTTCTGCGTTCTTGGGGCCTAGCACAGTGCCTGGTACACAGTAGGTGTTTAATAAATGCTTGTGGATTGAATTAAATAAAATTTATTGTTTATTAAGTAGCACAGTGCCTGGTACACAGTAGGTGTTTAATAAATGCTTGTGGATTGAATTAAATAAAATTTATTATTTATTAGCTAGCACAGTGCCTGGTACACAGTAGGTGCTTAATAAATTATAAATTAATTATATTATATACTTATATATTTATATCTAAATTAATTATAAATTAATAAACATTAAATTTTATTTAACTCAATCCACAAGCATTTATTAAGTACCTACTGTGTACCAGGCACTATGCTAAGTGCTGGATGACCAGTTATCAGATATTTTGTAGAAGTAGGGGTTCTTCACCTCTGGTCTATGAATGTTTCTTTTTTTCTTTTTTCTTTTTATTTTGTTTCTTTTTTAATTTTTATTTTATTATTATTATTTTTTAGCTAGGCAATGGGGTTCAGTGACTTGCCCAGGGTCACATAGCTAATAAGTGTTATATGTCGGAGGACGGATTTGAACTCAGGTCCTCCTGAATCCAGGGCTGGAGCTCTTTCCACTGCACCATCCAGCTATCCCCATGAATGTTTCTTAAAAAATATTTTGATAACTATATTTCAGTATAATAGTTTCCTTTGTAATCCTATGCATTTAAAAAACATTCTGAGAAGGAGTCCAGCAGCTTCCCCAGATCACCAGAGGAGTGTGGGACACACAAGAAGAGTAATGAATCCTCGGTCTTGAGGGATTATTGTTCATTCACTGGTTGGACTCACTGACCTCCAAGGCCCCTCTTGACTCTGGGGTTTGGTGGTTTAGAAAGTTCCAGGAGTTAGGGAACTTTGTCTTCTCTAATCCCTTGTTCATTCGCCCTCTCCATCTTTTCCTCCATTTCTTTCCTTGTTTTCTCTCTCTTTTTTGGCAATCGGAATTAAGTGACTTGCCCAGGGCCACACAGCTAGTTAAATGTCTGAGGTGGAATTTGAACTCAGATTCCTCTGTATTCCAGGGCTGGTGCTCTCTCCACTGTGCCACCTAACTGCCCCTTTCCTTCTTATTTCTAAACTATTTCTATTAAGCCTTCTCTTTCCCCCCGTTTCCTCATTCTTTCATTCCTCCTTTTCTTTTAAAACTATTTTCTTTTTTTTATTATAAACTTAGAGATTTCAACATGCAATAAAGAACAAAGGAGAGGATTATCTATAAAACCATGACCTTCTGTACGCAAGGTTTTTAAAAACCTGTATCTTTCTGAACTTTTTGTTTTTGCATTTAAAAAAAATTTGCAAAATGTTTTCTTACTGGTCTTTCCTTTTAGAGCTTAGCACAGAGCTCAAAGGATAGTAAGCTCTTAATAAATGCATACTGGCCCAACTTCTTAAAAATTGCATTTCTCTTCCGCCGGCTAACTAAGCCTCTGCTCCCACTCACTTTCTCCGTGCCTTTTTTCTTTGTCCGACTCTTGAGCTCCCCCTTACTTCTACCCTCCCTGCTCCCTCCTTCTCTCCCTTCCCGGGCTTGCTCTGTCCTAGAGTGCAGCGAGGCATTACCCCAATGCCCTGTAGGGCCAATGCCCTTTTACTGCTCTTAGCTGGGAGGAGGCAGCTGCAATGGTTGGTGGGAAGCCCAGGAAAGCGGCTGGCCTTCCTCCCCTCTCCTCCTCCTCCTCCTCCTGTTCTGCTTCTCAGTTTGCCAGCCCTAGGAGCTGGGGTCGGGGGAGTGTTTCCTGAGGAGATCGAGGGGACTTGGGCCCATCTGGAAGAGACAGTTGGAGACAAAGAACTGGAAGAGTTGGGAAGCAGTTTTGTTTCTTAGGATCCATCCCTGTATTGAACTCTATTGAGAAAATCGATTAGAAGGGTGAGCAGGTTAGCAAAGGGCCTGATCTAGACCATGCCATCTGAGGACTGGCTGGAAAAAATGAGGACGCTTTTCAATCAGTCAGTAAATATTTGTTAAGTGCCTGCTTTGTGACATAATCATAGATTTAGAGGGGGAAAGGGACCTTAGAGGAAACTGAGTTAGCCTCCTCCCTCCCATTTTACAAATGAGAAAACTGAGGCATGGATAAGCTAAGCAATTTGCCTAGGGTCACAGGACTACTAATTGTCAGAGGCAGGATTTGAATTCAGGTCTTCCTGATCCCATATCCATCACTCTATCTTCTGCACCACCTGGCAGACTCTTGCAGAGGCTGAAACAATCCCAGGTCTTAAAGAACTTCCATTTTAATGGCGGGAGATGACACTCAAATACATAAGAGAAGAGTTGAGGCAGACAGAGTAGCGATCTGCCCATGTGGAGGGCAGCCACGTGGAAGAGGGATGGTGCTTGTTTGGATTGGTCCCGAGGGCTCCCACCACGGGAACGGTTGCAGGAGGTGGCACTTTGGAATCTTCTGTCCTGTGCTGGGTGCCCACAGGACTAGGAAAGGGATTGATGAGATGGAAAGCATCCAGAAGGGGGCGCCCTGGATGGAGACAATGGACTTGGAGGGTGTGCCATATTGCGTTCCAAGCAGGAGATCTTAACTTCTGTTTTCTGTGTTATGGCCCTTGTTGTGGTGAAAGCCTACGGATCTCTTCTCAGAATGATATTTTTAAGTACAGAAAATAAAATAAAGGAAATAAATTAATAAAGGAAATACATAAGAATAGTTATCAGAACATTAAAAAGAAAAGATAAGTTGATGGACCCTGGCCTAGGACGTAGGGAGGATTTTCCTGGAGAGAATTCTCAGAGGGGACATAGAACCATCTCATGTGGAAGGGGGATGAGTATGGTTCCTGTAGAGTGCACGAGTAAGAGTCGGGGGAGATGAGATGGGGGGGGGAATGCTAGGCCCAGAAAAACTTCCTTGCATTTAGAGCTCTGCCTTGGTGTCATGGGTGGCCTTGAGAGGGGGTGGGTCCCCCTTCTTGGAGGTCTAAGGAGCACTAATTGAAATTCTGTGATTCTGTGAAGCGATCTCAGCCCTCCAGGAGCCTTGCTGCTCAGTGCTCTCTGTTTCAGCATTTCCAAAGGCTGTGCTCGCCCCATCGGGCATCCTCCAGTCCCTCCAGCACCCCCCAAAGATGCTGCTGCTCTTCCCGGAGTCTGGCCTGCCCGCCCTGCCTCCCGGCCACGGCCCTCCTTCTTGGGCACCTGGCCCCCCACCAGTAATCAACACGACTCCTCTCCTGATGCTGACCTCAGCACTGCCAGCCTCCTCCACCTCTGCCCAGTCCCCGACGTCCTCAGCTCCAGTGGTCACCCCATCTCCCAGTTCCTCCTCCCAGGGAAGAACGGTGAAGCCATCGATCCTGGCGGGACTGCTGCCCCCTTCGCTCTTGCACGGCGAGGCAGTGAGGACCCCTTCCCCTCCCAGGGGCCCCTCGACCTCTCAGCCTTTGACTGTGCCGTCCCCTTGCGGGCACCAAGGAACCGCTCGTGAGCACGGAAGCCACTGGACTGAGCCTGGCTGCTTGCACTGTGGGTGCCAGGTGGGTGTGAGCAGCCGGGGCCCTGTCTCATCCAGCCTTTCTGTGCCAATGGCTTGGCAGTAACTGGTGTTCCTTGTTGTAGGACGGCCAGGTGACCTGCGAGAAAGTGAGGTGTAAAGCCACCTGTTCCCACCCGCTGCCCTCCCGAGATGGTGGGTGCTGTCCCGATTGTTCAGGTGAGGAGTCGCCCACCTCTGGTGGGGCCAAGCTGGATGTGGAGTCAGCAAACAGTACCTAGAGTTAAGGCCTATCTCAAACTTTAACTAGCTGTGTGACCTTGGGCAGGTCCTTTAACCTGCTTTAACCTCAGTCTGCTCATCTTTAAAATGGTCATAATGATAGCACCCTCCTCACCAGGCTGTTGTGAGCATCAAGTGAGAAAACCCATGCAAATGCTTTGTAAATCTCACGGACGACGTCAACACCAATTATTGTCAGTCACCTTTTCCAGCTTCTGAGTCAGAGAATCCCGGGACTTGAGCCCTGGGACCTCACAGGCTGTCCTGTCCAGCTGCTCACCCCCATTGTATGACAGAGGGTCCACTTAAAGAGCAGGTCAGAGAGCTAAGCCGCAGGGTGAAGGAGTGCACGGTGAGCTGGGCCCCTTGTCACGAAGACCGGGGTTCAGATCCAGCCTCAGTGTGACCCTGGCCCAGTCACTGACCCTCTGTTGGCCTGTTTCCTCATCTGTAAAACCAGGGAGCCAGATTAATGGCCTCCAAGGTCCTTCCTGTTCTAAATCTCTGACCCTGTGATTCGGGCCCAGGTCTCCTGACTCCAAATTCCACGGTCCTTCTTTGCATTGCACCCCACGGCCTCTCATTTGACAAACACAACTCATTCCTGTAGGAATGGCAGGCATTATTCCGTCCACTTTACAGTTGGGGAAGGTGAGGTTCACAGAGGTGGTGAGTTCCTGAGATCCCCCAGTCTTCCTGACGCCGAGGCTAGCTATCTCTGTGCTGCCGCCGAGAAGGCTGAGCAGTGCCCTGAGGATATGTGGGAGGAGGTGTGTGGGGCGCTGTGACTAGGATGCTTGCCTCGGATTCACCCCCAAAGAGAAAAGGGTGTGTGTATGTGTCCTGAGGCCCCAGTGCTGCTTCCTCTCCTCTGCCTCGCTCATGGTCCTCATTAGCCTGACGTGGAAGTGCTTCCCCACGCTCCCGGCCTCTGAAGGAGTCCCCTTCTGGTGCCAGCATGGCTAACCCTTGGGGGATGCGGCTTCATGAGTTCTATATTTGGTTGCTGGATGATTCTTTCCAAGTTTTCTGGGTCTACTTTTCCTTTGATCCACGTTGCTGGAGGGGGTCCCCTCTTCGCTGGGGCCGTGAGGGTAGGAAAGATCTGTCAGGTTTATGGGGGCTTTCCCCCTTCCCTGCCCCCTCCTTGGGGCAGACTAGCTCTGGGTGGTTCCATTTCCTCCTTGTCTGTCCAGGTTGTTTTTATGATGGTTTACCCAGAGCCGAAGGGGACGTGTTCTCCCCTCCCAATGAGAACTGCACCGTCTGCGTCTGTCTCGTAAGTGTGTCGCCTTCCCCAGTGAGCCCCCAAGGGCTGTTTCCTTAGCTCTCTGGGGAATCCGAGGAGGCCCAGAACACTAAAGGGGGAAGGGCTCAGCATAGGGTGGGCTTTCCACCTCGCTGTGGCTGAGGCTCTAAGTCTGGAGACCTGCTCGGGGTGGGGATAGCCCACTAGGAGGAGATCTTCTCCAGGTCCTCAGAGGCAGGGATGCCCTCAGCAGTCAGAAAAGAGTTAAGCAGCAAACACAATCCATCTGGTTAGGAAGGGAGGGGGAGAAGACTCCTGAGGAAACCTCCAGCCAATGAGGCTGAGCTCTCTCCAGGCAAAATATTTACCAATGTAATAAGGGAGTCAGCGTGTAAACATTGGGAGTATGGTGGACCTATAACCCCAACTGGGCCCATTGGGAAGGTTTCCTGTTAAATATGTCGGCTCCATTGCTGAGCCCAGTTGGTATGCAGAACTGTATTGTCTCAGTAGGCCAGGGGCAGTTGGTACAATGAAATTTGCTAATAAATAGATTTGGGGGGAATCCAGTGGGCATGGCCGTCTCTGTGCCTCTCGATATTCTGAAGATTCCAGTTGGTCAAGAGGCATTTTGCATGGGCAGGAGGCTGAGCATGTCATGGAGAGCAGAAAAAAAACCAGGGGCTTGAAAACCCCAGGGCCTGCTCCTCATCCATCTCCCCCCCCCCACCTCCGACTTTTCTGGCCTCTCTCAGGCTGGGAATGTGTCATGCATCGCCCCCGAGTGTCCTCCTGGTCCTTGCCTGACCCCTCCACAATCTGACTGCTGCCCCTGCATTCCAGGTAAGTTTCTTTGACTTACTTGGTCTCCCTCTCTGTCCTCAGCCGATCTTAGGCCACAAATATTTTCCAATCTTAAGATAGGATTTTTGACATTGTAGACATTGGTGTGCATTTAAAATGGAACAGCTGCTAGGCTAGGGTAGGAGGGAGCAGCACCCAGACAGAAGGGACCATCCCCTCCCCCACTGATAGGTCTTTCAAAAAAAATTTTCTTTTGAAACTTGGTTTTCCTTTCCATGATGCAATAAGCAGCTGGTGTGACCTTAGCAGTCTAACAGGATACATTTACCATTTGGCAGATGCCCTAATCTCATGAGAAAGGCAGTCCCAAGGACTGGGAAGAGCTAATTTTCCATTGGAGTCTGGGCTCTTAGAGAGTCTGTGGCCTTGGACAAGTCAGTTCCTCTATTGAAAGGCCCCATTGTCCAGTGGAAGCCAGACTGACTTTGGAGTCAGAGCCCTTGAGCGCTAGCTGCTGGCTGGCAGTGGGCCCTTGTCCTCCCATGGTGCCCCATCTTTCCTCTTCCTGAGCTGCTGGCATGCAGAGGACCTGACACGTTTCTCCTTTGCAGTGAGATGCTATTTTCATGGCCGATTCTACCCAGAAGGGGCTGAGTTCAGCGGGGATGGGGACGAGTGTACCACCTGTGTCTGCCAGGTAGGGAGGCGGCCGGGTCTGGGTGCTCTGCTCCCTAACAGCACCCCTGGGGGAGGGTGGGTGACTAAAGCCATGTAAGGCATGAGAACAATGACATAGCTCCATCCCATCTTTCTCACTCTCCCCACAAACCCATGTCATTTGGTTGTGGGTGGTGGGGGTTTCCATCTACCTGGTCAAGCCAAAGGATGAGGAACAGAAGGTTGATGGCGATTTCAGAGCCAGGCTCCTAGTCCCCACCCTTAGAATGGGCTACAGGACGAAGTGTTGGAGCTATCTCCTGTGGCTGCCCCTCCATCCTGTGTCTCCCTTGCAGCATGGGGAAGTCCAGTGTTCCTTCACGCCTTGCCCAGAGCTGGACTGTCCAAGAGAGGAGTGGCAGTTGGGACCAGGCCAGTGCTGCTTCACCTGCCGAGAGCCCACACCAGTGTCAGGTAAGACCCTTCCTCCACTCCCCCACCAGCCCCCTGGGCTGAATCTGAGAATCTCAAGGTTGGCGGGGACCTTAGAGGCCATTTACATGAAAGCCCAGATTCAAACAGGTCTAGACAGGCCAAAACACTGGCCCAGATCTAAGAAGATGGAATTCAATAGGGATAAATGTAAAGTCTTATAGCTGGGTCCAAATGGTCAGTGTCACATGTATAAGACAGAGGAGGTGTGGCTAGACAGCAAGTCATCTGAAAAAGACCTGGGATTCTCAGTGGCTTGAGGCTTGAGGTCTTCAGGAAAAGACGAGATGACTGCTGGTAGAGTGGATTCTTGAACAGGTGATCTCTGAGGTCCCTTCAAACACCAAGATTTTATGATTCTGGGATTTAATTCAGTGCCCTGTCCTGACACATGGATCGTTGCTATAATCGCCTCAGCAAGTAGTCATCTGGCTTCTGCTGAAAGGCCTCCAGGGATGGGGAACTCACTACCTCCATGGAAGGCCCATTCCACTTTTGGATAGCTCTAATGAGCTAGCTGGCTCAGTAGATAGAGTACTGGACCAGGAGTCAGGAAGACCTAAGTTCAAATCTGGCCTCAGACATTTACTAGCTGTGTGACCCTGGGCAAGTCATTTAGCCCTGTTTGCCTCAGTTTCCTCATCTGTAAAATAAACTGGAGAAGGAAATGGCAAACCACTCTAGTATCTCTGTCAAAAAAACCTCAAATGGGGTCACAAAGAGTCAGACACGACCAAAACAACTGAACGACAGGTTGGACTAGATGACGTCTTCCTTCCAACTCTGAGCTTCCACCAGACACTTGCCAACCCTGGTCACTGCCCAGTCCCTTTGGCGCATGCGTCCTCCCCCACGTGCGTCCTTCCCTTCTGCTCTCCCCCACTCATCGCCTCACCCTCAGTGTCTTTTGCTTCCTTCCTTGTGGGCAGGCTGCTCTCTGGATGACAATGGAATTGAATTTCCCATTGGACAGATCTGGTCCCCTGGTGATCCCTGTGAGTTATGCATTTGCCAGGTGAATGACAACCTGTTCTACCTCACTCAGCTTTACCTGCTCCCCGGCTTGGTCCAGAGATGGAAAGCTCCTGCTCTGGCCTGTTGCCAGGCCTTCTCCAGAGTCCTGTCATTGTTACCTGCCTCAGGCTGCCATCTCATTAGCTCTGGTATAGCCATCCAGGCCCTCTGTTGAGCAATAGGTTGGGACCCAGGGCATTCTGTTAAATCAAATCTGGGGAAATGGAGGTTGGCCATATAACCAAATACTTCTGATGGAAAAAAAATCAAGCTGAGAGGCCACGTGGTGTAGTGGTAGAGAGCGGGCCTAGCCCTCAGGAAGACCTGGGTTCCAGTCCTGCCTTTGCTACCTTCTGGTTTTATGACCCTGGGCAAGTGACCTGACCTTCCTAGCCTCAGTTTCCTCATCTGTAAAGCGAAAGTCTTGGACTAGATGGTCTCCATGTTCCCTTTGAGTTGTGATCTCCTGAGAAGAGAGACACCCATCTCTGTGCATGCTTTCCAAGCCATTATTACTGAGCTGAGTCCACAAACCTCAGTGACAGTTTGCCCCAAGCATTGGTAAGCACTCTTCAGATCCTCTTCAGCTCTGGGTAAAGCTTGCATTCCTGTTGAAGCAATTTGTAAAAGAGGGGCTTCCTATACTCTGTTAGGTTGGGGTGAATGGGTCCTCCGATGTTGGTGATGAATCGGGGTTCAGTTTGGGAACAATCTGCCCACCCAGGAGGTTCTGGGATTTTGCTTTGTTTTGGGGCAGAATTTTGTTCTCCTTCTCTGGTATGGCTGGGCCAGCTTTGATCAGTGATCTCTGGCTCTCTCTTTTGTTTGGAATCGGAGCTGACTTCTTCTGGAGCAGTGCTAGCCCCATGGGCTGCTTTCCTCTTTCTGAATGGAGCTTAGTGGGTGGAGTGGCGAGAAAGCCAGGCCTGGCTCCAGACAGCACTTCAGGGGTTTCTGTGAAGTGCCTCCTTCTTTCAGGCAGATGGTTCTGTGAGCTGTGAGAGGACCGACTGTGTGGAAACCTGTCCTCACCCTATTCGGATCCCAGGACAGTGCTGCCCCGACTGCTCGGCAGGTGAGGGAGAAGGGATGCCCTCTGCTCCCAGAGTCCCCTCCAGAACTCAGCTCATCCTAATTGCATAGGGCTGGGAGTCATGGAGTCAGGATTACGATGGAGCTGGGAGGGACCTTGGAGGTCATCTGTCTAGGCAACCAGCCAATAAACATTTATTAATCACCTGTTGGGTACTAGGCGCTGCGCTAAGTGCTGGGCATCGAGTTGTAGATCTAAACCTGGAGGCCACTTAGTCCCCACTTTACCGATGAGGAAACTGAAGCCCCAGAGAGTGCAGTGACTTGCCTAAGGTCATACAGTTAGGTAGGAGGATTTGGATTCAGATCTTCCGTCTCCAGATTCAGTAGGACACTGCTGCCATGTCAGTTCTGCCTTTGGCAGGTACACAGCATCCAGGGCACTAGAGGAAGATTCCCACAGTATTGGATGGTGCCCCTGTAGAGGACGTAGAACAAGGAGGACACAGACGAGAATTTCATAGGATGGGTTGCTATCTGCATCAGTGGAGAGAGTGCCTACTTCACAGAGGTGATCACGGGAGGAGGCCCTTCTGCAGGAAGCCTCTAAGGTTGCCTTCCATCTAATCTGTATTGTATCGTGGATGGGCTGGGAGCTTTCTGAGGGCAGGGACAGTTTTGGCCTTTCTTTGTATCCCCAACCCTTGACTCAGTGCCTGGTACATTGTAGTCACTTAATGAATGCTTTTTCATTGATTACAGATCCATTAAAATAGTTTATCAAAGATCAGAGTTTTAAAGGAAGTCTGGGCAAGCCCGCCCCCTTCCTCTGTAAAATGAAGGGTCTGGCCTAAGTGATGACCAAGGCTCCATCCAGCTGCCACGCTACATGATGCTAGTGGTCCATTCAATTAAGCCTCTAACTATCGAGTGCTGACTGAGTGCCTGGATTGGTGCTGCTCAACTTAGAATTTAGATGGCACCTGGCGATGGACAGAGTGGCCTCCTGACCTCCTAACCCGGTTGGGGAATCAGGACTTGCACATAGTCAGTGAGCCATGGGAAATGACTAATTAAGTTAAATCCAGTTGCACAGTGCAGATAATAAGACGAGGAAGTGAACAGGAGTGAGAGGGTGTCTCTAGGGCTGCGGCTCTGGGGGTATCCACTTTAGAGAAAGAAGAGGGTTATTCTACTGGGTGTTTAGATTCTATTCCTAGAAACGCTAGCTTTCCTACCGGAAGCCTTCCCTGATTCTGCCTGCTCCTCCCCTAAATAATTATTCTTCCTCTGGAACTTCCTAGGTATTGCTTTGGTTATACTTTGTATCTAGTTGTGTCTGTGACATTTTCCTCCAGTAGAATGGAAGTTTCTTGTGGCCAGGGGGTGTTTCATTCATGTCTGTCTGTCTCCAGTGTCAAGCCCATAGTAGGCAACTGACAAATGTTTGTGAAATTGAGCTGAGGTTAATTGACTTGAGGAGCCAAGTGAAAAAAGAGAGAGAGAGAGAGAGAGAGAGAGAGAGAGAGAGAGAGAGAGAGAGAGAGAGAGAGAGAGAGAGAGAGAGATCCAGAATGGAATCTAGCCTTAAGCGCGGAATAGCTTTGGAGAGGGAAGCTGGGTGGATGTCATCATGGGAGGCCCACACAGGCCCCGATCTGCAGCAATGCACTTCTGGGAGTATCCTGGAAGGTCACGTTGACCTTCCTGCTGTTTTGTCTTCCTGGCCCCCACAGGTTGCACGTACACGGGAAGAATATTCTACAACAATGAAACCTTCCCTTCTGTGCTGGATCCTTGTCTCAGCTGCATCTGCCTGGTAGGACGGACCTGAGGGGGCTGCATCTCCATGTTTAGACCCTGAGCTGTAGGAAACTGCTGATGGGCTAACATTAGTGCTGACTGCACCAGATGCACATTCAGAACCTCCCCTCTCCCATGGGAAATGGCCATGGACCTGCCTTTAATTCATGGTCCAAGTCAGCTCTGTCTCTGCCACTGTGTGCACCAGCAGGCTCCAGCTAGTCCCTCCCTCCCCTCCTCTGTGAAAGGGCAAAGGGGCAGATTTCCCTTCAGAGGCATCCCTGCCACTAGGGGAATGCCTCTGGAATAGCTCTAGCGGGCCACTGGCCTCTTGAACTCAGACCCGAGGCCTAGCAGAGCTTTGGAGGCCTTCCAAAAGGTGCCAGGCCCTTTCTTACAGAGAGTAAGGCCCCCGTATTTGTGCCTTCTCCTCAGTAGGTGAAGGGCATAACCTTCCTTGGAGGGGGTTTCATACCTCCCCCTTCCCATTTTCACCTCTCACCCTACCTCCCATGGCCTGCGACTCTTAGCAGAATGAGAGCTCTATTTCTCTGTGATCACCACCATCTGCCCAGACTGTCCCGATAGTACCAAGGCCTTGGGTTCAAATCCCAGCTCTCCTTCTTTATTCCCTGGGTCATCTTGGGCATTTACTCTTGGCCTCAGATTCCCAGGCTGTAAAATGGGTGGAGAGAAGAGTTCTATTAAACTACATGATCCCCAGGGATCTCCCTACAACCTCCCTGGAAAAACCTTGTGTGTTTCTGTGTCCTGTAGCTGGGCTCCGTGGCCTGCTCTCCCGTGGACTGCCTCATTTCCTGTACCTACCCGTTCCACCCTGAGGGAGAATGCTGCCCTGTCTGCCAAGGTGAGTGAGCAGCCCCACCAGGCACCTCTGTGTTCATTCATTCATCCATTCATTCAGCAAGCATTCACTTATCACCTACTATGTGCAGAGACAAAAAGGAAACCGGCCCTGTCCCCAGGGAGCTTACATACTGTTGGAAGAAATAACATGTACACATTGAAGTAAACATATGTATGTAATATGTTGTCATTCATCTGTGTCTGACTCTTCATACCCCTGGCACCCTATTGTCCATGGGATTTGTTTGGCAAAGATACTGGAGTGATTTGCTATTTTCTTCTCCAGTGGATTAAGGCAAACTTGTCCAGGGTCACACAGCTAAGTGTCTGAGGTCGCATTTGAATTCAGATCTTCCTAGGCTGATTATCTCTTATGTCTTTGGGCCTCTTAAAATACATATAAACTGAAGACAGTAATTTCAGGGGGGCACTAGAAATTGGGGGAGCAATATCGAGGAAGGCCTCTTCTAGGAAGTGCATTTGAGATGAGCTTTGGAGAAAGTTTGATATTCTAAGAGGAAGAAGGAAGAATGCGTTTTAGACATGGGGCACAGCCTAGGCCAAGGCTTGGAGGTGGGAGATGGCCAGAGGGCAGCGTGCATGAGCAGGAATGATGTACGACATGCTGAAGAGGTAGGCTGGAGCCAGATGGTGATGCGCTGTGGCCCTGGGCTGAGCACCAGCTGCTCATACCGGTGCCGTTTCTTCTTTCCTTCTGCAGATTGTAACTATGAGGGCAGGAAGGTGGGCAACGGGCAAGTGTTCTTGCTGGAGAATGAGCCCTGTATTCGCTGTATCTGCCAGGTGAAGGGTGCCTGTCAAGGGGAGAGGGCCTGCTGGAGACATTCCTGGCCCGTTCCTCCTTTCTTAGACCTTTGTATGTCTCTCCACCCCCCAAAAGCCGGTGGCCCTTCGCCCTCCTTGTTCCTTTTTGGGGGGACCCAGAATGACAGGAAGTGATTGATTTAAAATGGATCGTGGATTTCAGAACGAGAAGGGAGCTCCAAGGCCGTCTAGACCCACTGCCTTATTTTCTAGATGAGGAAA